TGACCTATGGAATAATTTGGAAACCAAATTCGTATTCAGCATCCAAAAAACTATAAGAAACAACTAGTCTCGTTCCGATTAATTTTTTTGTTATTTTATATCTTATTGTGGCAGATATTAATATTATTGTGGTAAATATTAATGAGAAAAACTCTTATTCTTCCAATACCATATTGTCCCGTGTCATGTTATCATCATTTTCAGGGTAAATTCTAAGAGAAAATGTTCACTGTGTAGAAAACTGGTCCGCGCAAAATCGCGCGGTTATTTATTTCGTACCTTTTAAAGAACGCTGATTGCTAGATGACCTGGATTCCTTCTCTCGAGCGACCGAACTTCTCAGGGTGGACTGGCTCCAAGTACCGGCGTCCACAGACGACACTTCAAGATTTCTTTCATCCGCGTGCGGAAGCGTCTCGGTAAACTTGCCCGCGGTCAGAGCTTTCACCGGTTGCTTCAACACGAAATGATCCAGGAGATTCAGATATTCCGTTTCAAGTTTCGTGGAGACCGATGGATACGTCGCGGCGGCGTTGTCGACCTCGAAAAGATCCAGCAGATCGTTCCCGACGTCGTTCCCGAGTCTCGTCCGCGAATTCGGCGTGTTTAATTGGATATAATTTAGGACGACCTCGCCCGGAGGATAATTCGCGCCGTATCGCTCCCTCAGGCTCGTCTCGAAGGACGAGTAACGATACGTGTTGTAATTGCACGTGATGTCCACCACGGGAAGTTCGATCTGCGTCGCCACGTAAGACGACGAGTGTCGCGCCAGCGGTATCGTCTTTCTAACAAACTCCCGGCCGTGCCGGCTGTCACGTGGCACAGCGGGTGACGAGAGTACGGCCCTCGGCGTGGTCCACATTGTCATCCTCGACTCGGAATTGAAATTTAACAGTTCCGGTAACTTGGGATAGTGTTGCACTAGATTAAGCTCGCCGCGCCGGACATCGCGAGCACTTTCTGTCAAGTAGCCTCGAAGCGTCGCCAACAGCTTTCGAGGATGCAGCTGGAAATTCCAGATCCAATGCATGGCATCGCGCGTCAAAAGAGGAATACAAAAAAAATATATATATATATAGTGATAAATAAACGTGATAAATTTTTCAGACGCGAGAGGCGAGACAACGCTTCGCTTTCGCGTTTAAACTTCGATATCACGGCGAGACACGACCACGAAATGATTAATGAACGCGACACTCTTTTCAATTACTTCCCTCCTTTAATGCATTGTGTGTCCTTTTACACATACGAGGATTTGTTTCCTCCCCGCGGCATTTAACCTACATATTCCCGCGCCGTAATAAATCATTACTACTCCCTTAGACGAAAACAATTCGTAGGTGCAATTTACGATCAATTAATCTTGATCACGTACGACAAGCATCTGCAGTTGTACGAGCAGCGGTAACATCAGGAGCAAGCCGAAAATTATAGCGGAAATGCTTTCCATAGTTGTTGCGCGAGGACTCTCTCGTTACTTGAAAGGAGTTGCGAAAGTGATCAAGGTTGCATTACCGAACCATCTTAAAGCACGTAACTGATTTATGCGTAGAATCGTCATCTTATAGTATCAATTTTGTTTGATGCATGGCTCGTGGTTGGAAAATCGAGACATGTTAAATTTGGCACTTGACACCACCACGAAATGCGACCTGACAACCTTTGACGCGTCGCGTCGACCTGAAGTAAGTAATGAAAGACTATCGATTATTTAAACTGTAAATATATAATTGCGCACTCTTAATGATACATATATGTACGAAAAGATATATAATTAGAATAATTTTATACATTTTGAAATAATTATTTTTAAATAGAAACCCTTTCAGAGTTTATATAAAAGTATTTTTTCTCCAATTTAAATCGTTTTATTTAAATTATTCAAATAAACAAACCGAATTAATGCGCATTAAAGAGAAATATTTTTATATTTGTATAAACATTTTAAAAGTTTCTATTTAAAAATAATTATCTTTTCATCAAAACATATGAAAGAATTCTAATATACATATATCTGCTTATATATATTATCGTATGCATCGAGTGCGGAAAGCTTTAGCGTGTGCGATAATAACTTTTGAAAATATTAATTATCTCGGACGCTGTTATAATTTAGACTTTATACTTGTATGTTGTTACACATCAACCTGTTGTATGTTATCTCTTCATGCTGGTCGCTTCGCGCATACAGCGAATTCGGCTCGTTCGGCAATTCTCAATGGAACGCATACTGAATCAAGTGGGAGAATTCCATTATCGCGTAATAACTCTCAAGATTTGACTCACAAGAGAAGAAACCGGGGGTCTCTATAATAGCATGCAATTTAGACGCGGTCGAAACAGACAACACCGCGTCGTCCTGCGAAGCGTAAATCATGGACGCGGCACTAGTCCGAGGAGGGTTGCACGCGAGAAGGAAAATGGAGGGTACGGAGAGAAGTGCATATCTTAATTACAATATTCCCACGGGCGGAACAGAGGACCCTTGCCCGCTCTTCGTCGACCACCGACTTTCCTCCCCTCTTATGCCACCCTGTAGCCAGGCAGCTTGTAGGAATTTAATTAATTTGCCAGTGGCTTGCTCCTTGTCGCCACTCTGAAATATTGTAGCCTTCCCACCCTTTAAAACCCGAGCCAACCGTCGAATGCACCGCCTTTGCTCCGGACTCGCAATCTGCGCGCGATTATCACGCTCGGTTGCCCCCATCGCTATCTCTTATTATTTCCTCTCCTTCTCTCCTTCTCCGACTCTAATTGATAACGGCATTTGGCGAAGAATCACGTGTCATGAGTGATTGCCGTAGCTTTATTAGCTACACTGGATGTTGATAGATAGCCAAGTGGGAAACCCTCGACTAAGTCGAAATTTTCATTGCGTGTGCGCGCTCGCTGACTTTTCGGCGAATAATAAGGGTAAGTTTGCGCGAGAGGGAAGTTTTCGAGATTTCGCAGAAACCGAAACACTTGAGAAACTTGAAACTTTCTTCGCCGGAAGGGAGATGCTCCGGGAATATGCTGCACGACAAAGTGAAAACGCGGCCGATGGTGCTTGGTATCAAAAATCTTTCGAATTAGTGCGAGGTAAATGAAACCGTAAAAATATATCACATTTAGAATTTATACGAAGATTTTATTTTCTGATTAAATAATGCTCTTTGCGAAAAGAGAGCAATCGTTCATCCTTTTATTTCTTTTAATTAAGTATATATATACAATAATTTGCATCGGAACAAAGTCCTACGCGTATTTTGTGTACGAATTCAGAACGGTTCATAATCATTAGATCGTTTGAATGTTCTGTGTTATAACTTTCCGGAGACTATGCTGGTTAGTATATATTTCCGGATGTTTGGGGTTTCTCCAAAGTTCCAAGTTTCACAAAGTACCGGATTTACCACAACTCCCTGATTTCTGACAAGTTTTAGGTTTCGCATCTCTTCGATGGCGATAATCAGATAACGTTAAGAATCGTTCCATATTACATTATCTACGATATAATATTTCGTCCTTTGTTCCTCAATTTCGCTATAATTTAATATTAAGTTTTGCAGCATATGTCTTCTAATCAAGTATTTTTTTTTTCAAATTAATTAATTTTCAAACAAATTGGATATATTTTAACCAATTATACTACATTATACACACACACACATATATATATATATATATATATATTGAGAGATAATGACATCCACGATAATTAAAAGGGATCTCGTACTTTAGGTTTATGACATCCTTCAATGGCACAAACTAAGAGAATTAATTTTGAACCGAGGACGACGTCGCGCAATATATATAAAGACGCCTGGACTAATCGATACTGCTTGTTAGTTTTGCCTCTACATCAGTCAGTACATATTTACTTGTGTATGACTTCGTGCTTGATGTATCCTTCGTATCGCGGTATGGTATTGCGCCACTATACACCTAAATTGCCATGCGCATGTTTAAGCTTCGCCGGATAGCATTGCGCGATATTGGAAATTACATTGACGCGATTCATGTTGATAGAATGTAAACCTAAATTCCCTCTCTCTCTCTCTCTCTCACATTCAATAGACTATATTACATAGTATTATACATTCTCCGGAATGCTCTTGAGAAGTTTAACCCGTCCAAGATTGCACGTTAAATGATTTATCACATTTATATTTAAATGTATAATTACATAGAGAAGGAAGAAAAACATTAACGAACTTACTTATTATTTTTATTACGACGGACAATAACTGAAACTTCACTGGATTTTACAAAATAATCAATGTAGGAAGATTGTAAAATTAGAATAAAAAGAATGCATTGGAAAAATATGTGCATTTAAGAAGCATCGGATCTAGGCAGGATTTTCGCCGAATAATTAATCATCCATGATTTTAGACTTCCAAGATTAAAGATTAGGCTTCGGACACGCTGGATCTTTGGTCCAGTGTGTTGCGATCGAAAAAATGATCGTTTCAACCAAAGGAAATGCAGAGACGCGCACCGGAGGTAACTTGACTTAGAGATGAGATTAGATGCGAAGAGAGTGCGAAACCGACGACACGATGAAAGATGGATGGTGACAGAAAAAGGCAACTAAGCAGCATGTCTGCCGTTGAAAAGCTGAGAGTCTCTGACTCGACCGAGCGCGAATGCTCGTAAAAAGCAAAGCGGAAACGGCCGAAAATCCTTTGGTCGCGCCATTAACGGTGATTTCTCCTAAGCCCCGTCAATCCTCTTCCCTCGTATTCTCTCGTCGATGTCAACTCCATTTCGACTAATCAAGTCGTCATTCATCGATCATTCCAGCCGCGATATGTGTTCGCGGCATCTTCCATCTCCATCAGCATCTCTCATCGAATTTAGCAATAAATTCGACTGTTGTTATCATTCTGAAGATCGTCATCATTTAAAGTGAAGAGATGGGGTTGCTTATCACCTTTACCAAACATTTTTATTTCAAGATACATAGAAATGTTTTAGATTTTTAAATAAAATAATAATAGGTAATAAATCTCTTTATATATGATATACTCTAGATATACTTCGTAAATGCAGATAAGAATAATGCGAGAGATGCGCAAGGAGACAGACAGGGAACCACTTTCGGTATACACCGTGGTGAAAAGCCAAGTAGCGTCGATCGAAGCGGAACCATCTAATACAATTATACATGTGTTTCGTGAATCTTCACGATACCGCCATTCGCGACGAGAGCCTGCGTGTCATAGATAGATCCCGATCTAACTCCCAGGCCGACTCTCACACCCACTAGCCCTGGATTCGCAGCCAGGACATTCGTGATACCCGAGATAGCTGGCTGTCTCAGAAAAGGAGAACCCAAGACGGTCGCCTGAACAATCAAACATAAGGAAACCCTTTGAAGCCATTGATTTTTCATTTGCAAGATCTTTCGCCGATAATTTTCTTCGTAAGAGGAAAAGTCAACTCCAAATTGAGCAGGGAATCTTCCTCCCTTTCTCTAGGTTTCTCTTTCGCGGAGATTAATGGACCGTGGGAAAGAGCGGTCTAAAGTAACTGGATTATACCGACCTGCGGGCGAACTGCAACGGCGACCGGTGCAGCTGCGGCGATCACGGAAGGCGCCAGGACCGGATGCACCGTTGCTGCAGCAGCAGCAGCAGCAGTGATGCTGGGATCCCGCTGTACGACCGCGTTAAAACCGTTGATGGGATCGGCCGCGTAGGAGACGATGCGCCGGGCGCCGTCGGGCTCGATTAAGCTGTAACTTCCTTCAACTACGTCCCCGTTGCGAGTTTCCTCCTGCGCCTTATTGTCGCCTGGAAAAGTACGTACGTGTTTATAATACTCGAATAAAAGTTTCACGGAGATGTGTTCTTTCATTGTTTCGACGGGGTGTTTCATTTAAATTTAATCCACGAGCAAAATTCCTAGAAATTATATATATCCTATGTATATCCCATATGAGTAGTCCTATATATGAGTTTTCTGAAGGAGTGCATATAGACTTTTTCCAATTATCTATTGGTTCTTTCAAACGGGAATTAATAAAAGTTTTGAGCTAAGGTTGGATTCTGTTTAATTAATGTCAATGCGTATATTGTTGTTGTAATTTTATGTGTTAATATTGATGTTAGTTTTCTATTGTAACTCTATATTTAAAGGGACTTGTGTGTTTCCCGTTTATGATAATAATAATAATAATATAATTCCATATAGAAATCCTCAATAACAAATGGCCGAATTAAGTAGTATCGACAGGAAATCAATCTGCGAATTTGGTAACATCCTTCAGACTCGACTTCCTTTTAATTACAAAGTTTGTCTCGCAAATCTGGACATCTTTCATTTTTGTTCCATCGATGCACCTATATTATCGATTGCCACATTTTTAATTTGATCTCCAGTCATTATATATCTTTAATTACTGACATTGAATAATTTTGGAAAGCGAAAAGTATATTTGCGCGTAAATAATTTTCCTCGAAATCAGCTATATGCTATATGCACTTGAAATAAACGACCCGAATTCTATGCATTTAGTTCGAGCTGCGCCAATTACAATTAAACAGAGGGTCTATAATATCTACGAATTATATTGCAGGGATGTTATACCGGTGAGACCATCTGCCACGCTATAACCAAAGCTATATCGAGGATGTGAATTGTAGTTTTCGGCTCTGATAACCGTTGCAGTTGGTTGTTGCGCGACAGCTACTGCAGCTGCACCTGGACCAGTGATCTCGGCGCGGGCGACGGCCAGTAAGGCGACGAAATAACCGATAATCTGTGTGCATCAAGAAGGAAATATCAGATATCGTCGGCATGCCAGATAATTAACTCAAATATAGTTTCACATAGCGCCCTAATATCGCTGATATTCCTAGCCGGATGTATAATAAGAAATGCATTAAAGCTGCAATAAAATATACAATTGTATATCCAATAGAATCTTATAAGATATCTTATTTAAGATTTTCTTCGCGAAATGCGTTTACATATTGAATAATATATCTCGCTAAATATTCTATAAGGAGTTTATATCTTTTTTAAAACCTAAACAAGGCAAAAATGAATTCATCAAACTTGTTTATTATTTCATTAAAAAAACTTTGATAAAATAGTTCATAAAAAAAGGAATAGCGAATTAACGTTACGGTTTCGCTACGAAAAATACAAGCGCAACCTGTAACGAAAATTAACAAATAATAATAAAATGTAAAATGTTACTTTATAAGACATGATGATTTTCACTGTTTGTGTCTCGTATTCGTTGACTGACTATGTACTTTACACGACTTGGAGACACTAGATTTTATACCGTGTCGAAGAGATCTCCCGCCCTTGCATCTCTATATTCTTCCACCCCACCCTCATCGGGGTCAGTATACGTACATTACTATGCGGATTATAGATAAAGTATAATGTGCACCGTATGCAACGTGGATTGCAACGTACGCGATATTGCATACCGCTGAAAATTCCAAGAGCGTCATATGAACTGAAGTATAAATATCTGATTAAAAAAAAAGAGCCTTCTCCATTCAATTTAAAATTCTCTCGAGAGTTAATATTTCCTCAGTAAAATTAAAATCAGACATGTGAAATTTCATTCCAGGTGGGTCAAAGTTTTGCATTAAATTTGTCTTTAGCACCGATATCGTATTTTAAACCATATAATTAATTTCACTATTATCTGAGAAAATATAACGAAAAGCAGAAAAAATAAAAATCATGAACATTGCATAAAAATTTAACATACACAAAGATATAGCCATTTAATATTTGCATTCTAAATTATATAGAAGAAATTTAATTCCTCCAGATTCCAATTTTATTTCGATGGAATAATGAAAACCATTACTTTATAAGAAGAATTATATTTATAAAATTCTCAATTTTTAAAGCTACTTCTGTAACATTTAAATAAAAAATTTAATTTCGCAAAAAGAAACTGTCCATGATTATGTCCAATTCATTATTCATAGAATGTTAAAATCTCGTTATATATGTATATCAAATTAAACTAAACATCTCGGCCCTAGAATAATAGGATCGCGAAGGTCTTGGGGCAGCCAGTTGACCTGTAACCAGACACTCAATCAAGGTGGTCCAGCTAAAGTATAAGCTAAGAAGGTGATCGTATTATGCAATAACACTGATGTAAGCTAATAATTGATGTCATTGCAACATATTAAGTAATAAAATCTCGTCTTTATGAGCCGAGAATTGTTGGGCCGATTTTTGATTAAATGCCAGTATGTTTGCTTAATATATGGGTCAAGTAAGTCGAGTATAGAGTAACTCGAGGATCCACTCGAGGAATCATATGCTTACGCCAGTAACTCTACCTGCGTTAATCTGCGTGTGCAATATATAGCCATGCGTGGTATTGAGTGTCTGATCATACGCGTGTGTGTTCGATTCATAATGTAAGAAATAATTGGGACTGGGATGTACTGCATTATCAAAAATGTAACATTGCATGACTAATCAGGGACCTATTATTTTTTACATATTATATGTAAATTAATTAATTAATTTAATTATATATAAATTAATTCATACAATTAATTATATCAATTTGCACTTTTCTTTTGTATAAAAAAATATATAGCTAGTTTTGTATTTAATAGCCTGCTAAAAAGATGTGTTATTGATTATATGATTATATTGATTATAGATGTGAAAATTAATCTGCAGACATGTGTCCTGACCAAACATAATGAAATCTAAAATAAATAAATAAATAATTTTAAAAATTTGTTCCGAGGATAATTTAATATACAATATAAAGAAGACTTTTCTAAAATTTGTTTCTGGAACAGTTTAATAAAAAGGAGACTATTTTAAAATTTGTCTCCCGGACAAGTGAAAAAAAAAAGAGACTTAAAATTTTATTTGTATTTAAATATTTTATTATTTTAATGTTAAAACCTATTATTTTAAAATTTAATTAGGAAATTCGTTTTAATCAACTGATTTCTGTCATAAAAGATTAATGGAGTTTAAGTTATATTATTTTTGTTAAATATCAATCCTTTTATTATAAAATGGCGCGCTTATATTGTTCTAGTGTCTAAAAAATCACAGACGAAATCGAAAATCGTTAAATATATATTTTAAAATTGTTTTATATATATTATTCTATGTGATTTACAAAGGAGGAACATAAATATAAAAAAGAAATTAAAAAATGAAACATTTTCAAAATTATGGACAACTTTCGAAGATTAGGAAAAGCAGGAGAATATATTTAGGTAGCATATAATTGTATAACTCTTTAAGAGTAATATTCAAAAAACTCATTTATTAATCATTTATAAATCTTCTTTTGCTGTTTATACACACACTTTATACTAGTTTATATTTATGCAAGATCCAAAAAAATATTTTGTATTTATTACATTAAATTTTTTTCACGCGTTTCTCGTATTAACATTATTTAATATTTCCCTTGTTAGCTTAGTACATTCCGCTTAGATTATAGCCAATCCAATTATTTCTTACGTTCATGATTTAATCGTAGATGTAGCGGCTTCAGTATGTATAGTAATATTATATTTCATATTCTGGATATATCAAGGATTAAATGTTTACTAAAGCTATATCTAAAGAAGAATGGCCAGGTCTCTGAGCCATAACGATAGATAAAATGACTATATGCAAGTGGTCTGTTATTTTTAACCATTATACTCTTTTAAACTTAAATTACTTACATCTTTAAATATTTTATTCTGTTATCAAAAAATTCCAAAGCCTATGGCACATCTTGTAACAATGTGCAATAATTATTACATTGAAATATATCACCGCGATTGCTATATCGTATCTTTTTACCAAAAATCTAAAGCTAATTAAAAGATCGAAGGAGGAAGGATGTAGGAGAACACACACACAATGTAGAACTGTATGATAAACACTATTTTGATACTTTACACATTTTTTGACAGTGATTTCTCTTTTACACGTATAACCGACATCCGTATATTCCGTATCTCTTTCCAACAGCATTCAGCAAAAAACACATTTATACCGATTACAATAGTCAATAATACAATAGAGGAACATTTTTACACACTTTAAAAATGTAGATCGAGTGTTGTAGAAACTGCACGAAATTCGTTTAGACATAGAAATGTATCTTCGTATAAATTACATGTCTGCAAATTGTGCATGGACAGGAACACCGCAAGGAGATACTTGGTAAGCCTTATTAGCGAAGCATGCACAAAGCTGTCGTCTCTTCCATCAGATCCTCCCGAAATGTATCTGCTTGATATATTATACATTGCATCTGCCAGTTAACATTAAAGGATCAGAGTTGGCACGTAATCCTTGTTTTGGGAAAACCCTATCCGTTTTCGTAAAATTCGCTACGTAGCCAAGTAGCAATGCTTGATGTAGGCATCGACATGTAATTAACGATTCAGGATTCGTATCCTGACGATAACGCGATCCGCGGCTTGAATTAGAAAATACGAACTTGAAAAAAATATGCGCGCACGCATTAAATTATTATATATACATTTTTACATGAGGTCCAACATTCGCTTAGGAAATGAGAAACAGAAAAGAAACGGGTCGAGAGTCCCATCATTGAAATATGTCATGTGTGTGCGTGTACCTGTTATATATTTTTTGTCGCTGCATTATTATTATTGTTATTATTATTATTAACTTGTTGATACAGCACTTCTCAGTATGTGAAAAAAAAAAACAAAAATCGTACCTTGAATTGTTAATAACATTAATCGCATTTACATAATATTTATAAGAGGCAGCGAGTTATATTAATCGCATCTAAAAATATACATGTAAAAAAATGGAAATGTCTTTTTTCAGAGTTTCGCTTTTTTTACCCGTCACCTAACAGGCCACTTCACGCAACGGAATATATTTTACTTAACTATTCACACAATTTTCTTTTTTAGTATTTTAACGATGTTAGGTATGTTCTTTCGAACTCTTAAATCTCTCGCGTTAATCGATTATAATTATTAATAATAATTATTGTATACAGTTGTATAATTAAATTACATAAGTATATATAATTAAATTATATAATTATATATGCAATTATAATTAATAATTGTTTATCAATTATTATTAATCATTAATAAATCGATTCGCAAACGTGTAACAAAAGCGAATCGTAAGTTAATCCTGGAACGGATGCATATATATATATATGTATATATATGTGACTTTGTCACTTAATACGTTTTTATTTAACATATGTCATTAAAATTTATCATTTAAATAATCTTTTATAATGTAGTATTATTATTTCGATTATTGTAATATTACAATGCTCGAAAAACAAGCATAGACATAAAATATAAATACAATTTCAAGTTAATTTGGCATAGATATAAAATATAAAAGAATTATTTAAAAGAATATTTAGACACACATATATAGAAACTATTATAAAAGTGCATTTTTTAATGCATTTTAAATCCGACCGCTCGAGGATTAAACTTATGCGTAATCATAAATTAGATTTGATTACTGTCATAGTTTTCTTACAAAACCATGAAATATTCCGTTTCGCAAGAACACAAACGTGTAAAAAATATTTCTCAATACATTAATCTTATAAACAAGATTTTCACTCAAATAAATTATCATTCAATATTCATGGTTTGTGAAATTATGTTTTCTCTATTGTCGCATATATAATATAAAAAAACAAAAAATATATATTTAATTTGAATCTAACAAAAATATTCGACTGATCAAACATTTACGATTCCATTTGCGAAACGGATAACAAAAATAAATGTCAAATTATAATCTATGTATCAGAATCTAAAACCGCATACACAATTTATTTTGTTTTTAACAAATGCGCATTAGATGTTACTTATTCGTCGTATAATATTAATACAAATATAAGTCAAGCAAAAATATTAAATAAATTAATGTCTTCAAGTATACAATTTGCCCAATATCAGAAGTCAAAAATCTCATTGGGAGAACCCCTCGATGGTTTTACACGACATATAAAACACGCAAAGGTATGCGTGCGACAAATGAGCAAACTATGCTAAATTATAAAAGTAGTTACAGGTAACTAATTATACTTGAAAAACACAATAAGCGTAATTATAATACATATATAGTATATCGCTGATTTCTTTTTTTTTTACGTTAAAATCTTTTCAGTATAGTATTGTCCTTATCGAGAAAGCTGGCGAAGATATTATTGTATCTTGCCTAAATATTTTCAATTATAAAGCATTACCCTGCACTTTCGGTAATACCAAGATTTAGGTATAACAATAATTTATGTCACTGTGGATTATTATAATCTAAATATAACGCTTTAAGCACTCTTCTCTATATAACGCGGGCACAAAATAAATATATTTCCCCAACTGTTTGCAATCCCCCTTACCCCCTAAGAGAGTATCGAATACTCATTGGTATAATTTATATAATTTTAATGGCATTCAGTACTTAGTGAAAATTCAACGAAATGTAAAGATCATATCGTATAATTTCTATATTCCTCATTTGCCTATGTGAAATTTTGATCAAGTTAATTTGGCATTCGTATATTACACACTCACTATCCTCTCTCATCTTACACAATAACTATTCGTATGTTCCCTGTAATACCATGCGGCCATTTTTTAATTTGCGACGGGGACATTTTTATATTTATATATAATTTTCTCGCTCAGGCATACAATATATATAATACGCAATTTTTTCATAAGCTACATGTATCCGTTAATAAGCTTATAATCGGAACGGCGCGCGTTGTTCGATCGGCGTGGGTTTTCCCTTTCGTGTACTCGGGGTCGTCCCCGACACGGATGTGTCGGAAGCTCCGGAGGGTTTCCTCGATAATTTCGAAGACGGTGGTAGCGGCGTGCTGGATCCACTGGACGGCGTGCGTACCCTGTAACAAATTATCACGTAAGAAAGTGCATAAGGAATGCGCATCCAAATGCGTTATACCTTTCAACTGTTGAAATTGCTCGAATGCAAATCTATCGAGATATACCTTTTTCTTTAGGCAAAAAACCTCTAGGCGAACGAGTCAAAGAGAAGACAAATGACAAAAATTGTGAATGAATATTAATTCTTTTACCTAGTTTGTTTAATGGCTGTTGGTATGTTAGTTGCTGAATTTGTACACACAGAGCTGCTCCTAACATTGTGAAAAAAAATATTGTTAGTCGACAAATATAAAACGATCACAATCATACACAAGTATTCCACAAAACTCATAATAATTGAAAGTGATAGCAACATCTAAATAACAATATTTCATAAATTTTGGCTGCATTCTCGACACAATGAACGAAACAAAAAGTCGCCAATATTATTATTAGATGAAGCAAGCTATTTTTGTCAAATGACTTAAATTATGCAATGTATTATGTGAATGTCATAATCAGATATTAATGATAGATAGACATATTAGATATCAAAATAATGGTATCAATTGCGAGAAGAAACCCAAAACACACAAAAGACGAAAACAAAATATTCGCAAGAAGAACAAGAAACAAAACGAGTGTAAGAAGAAACGGAAAACGGGTTACACATGTAAAAGCGCAAATTCAGCCATACCCAGTGGAATCAGTAGAAATCGTAGAATGGTTGCTTTGAGTCGACATATTGCTGGTGGTCGACTGAGGAGATTTTATATCCACTCCCACATACACAGGTATCCTAGAGCGGCTAAGGCATTACGAGCAATCGAAACGTCATTTTATTGCACAAACTGTATATATTGCATATAAGTACATGACAAAGGAATCTCTCTTTACGAAAATTAAACGAGCAAAGAAAGAGAAATGAAGAAACAGAAACAAAGATACAGTAATGAAGATATAAAAATGAAGAAACAGAATGGAAAAGATATACAAGATCAAGAACTGAAATAAAACAATAGAACAAGTTTAAATGTATCACCGTCACCACGTCTTTTATGTAGAAAGCCTATACCCTATACCGTAAAAACACCTTGCAGCATTCCAATATGTGCTTTGCATTTTGTTTTTGTTACAATTTTCATAAATGCGAAATAAAGTAGAATGACAGACAGAACGCAAAGTGCAAAGCGAAAGCCGCTTTCCCGAGTAAGTTTTATTAAAAATTGTCAATTCATTAATTTGCTTTACCTGATAGGTGTTCCGACACCAGTCAGGGTTGGAATGCTTGAAGCTCTATGGATTGAGCCAAACCTAAAAAACGTTGTTAACCAGATCCGTTAAATTGATGATTATTAAATTATTATATCGATTGATTAGTCGTATAAATGTTTTGCTGTTAACATGAGATGTGTAATAAGATTCGATCAATTAATATGTAAATGCCACCGCGTTGCAAATCCTTGAATTAGGAAATTTTTCTTCAGCTTCTAGTACTTTGACGGTATTCATTTTACGTGGTATGTATCAAATGTATACAGTAGAAACATAATGAAAAGTTAAAAAAAACAAGAGAAACAAAACAAAACTAAAACAAAGAAGAATTCATTCAGTAATAAATAACTCGATTACTTAGGGAAAAAATAACATATCAAACATTCCTCGAACCATCGCAATCAGTTTTTGATGTAAGATGAGATGATACTAGATGCTCGATTATTGTTAATCTAATGCAAACGTTATAATAATCGGTTATGTATGTTTTTACTTTAAGGCACACACTGATGCGAGTTAGTTCGTGATCTGTTTTAAATTGTATGTCGATGAGAAATAAGTTTGGACTACAAACCTGGAAGGCACCCCGCTGGCGGGACTAATCAATCCTGTCGGGGTACGGGGTCGGGAGCTTGAACCGTTCATCGGGGTCGTAAGTTTCCTACCGGATATACTGTTATGTCTACTGGACGTCGGTGTATTGCTGGAGCCACCCACAACGGTTCTTCGCGGAATGCGACTCGGAGTGCCCGAATCATCTGCGCAACATTTAAAAATGTACTTAAAATGTGGCGAAAAAATAAAAATAAAAAAATATAAAAAGCTGAGTTTGATTCATACCATCCAGCGACTGCGTTGATCCATATCGACTGGGTGGCTTGCTTCCTTGTCTCGATGCGGGTCGACTACTAGGTCTGCTAGCAGGTCGGGAGGCAGGTCTTGAGGCTGGCCTGCTAGATGGACGGCTACCACCTACAGACAATATTAATTGTAGATGTTATATAGATTTTTAGCAGCAACATTGTTTTCAGATTTTCTCAAAGAATTTAGAATGATAGTTTACCGGGCGTCACAGTAGATCTATAAGGCGTGCTGGATTTCCTAGATATTTTGAAGGAACTTTCGTTGTCGCTAAGGCTGTCCGGGGTGCCGGCACTCAAGGATGAGCGCGAGGCTCGTGTTTGACCCATAGGTACGCTGCGAGCACTGCGTTCTCTCACCTAAATGATAAAAAAATTTGATAAATTTTACATGTAAACGTAAGCAGAGAAGCAAAAAAGCCATCGTGATTCATGTTTAATCAACAGAATCAGATGTAGGGTTTTGTGTTACGCGTTCTCTGCCGCCATAAACAAAATTATTAAATTATCCACACCGTAAAAATATATTTGTTGTAATGCAAATTGCATGTCACTTGTAATATGATAAAATAATCTAACAAAAATTTATTAAAAAGCTACTGAAAAAAGAAGAAAAATATTTCTAATCTTCTTAAAATACAATAGCACTTAACTTTTCTGAATTATTTAATAAACATAAAATTAAATAATATAGTGAAAATATTTGTATAAATGAATTACTATTAAATTCTCTTGATATTTTTACGGTAATACAAGGTGATGCTTCCTCTAATATTTACTACAAAAATCTACAGCAAAACGTGAAAAGAAAAAACTACTATAAATATATTACAAATATATAAATACATTATAAATAAAAATTGATTGATTGAAAATACGTAAATAAATTAATTTTTACATCGATAAATGTGTCCAAAAGTTTAACAAGCAATACCAATTTGTACATAATGGTCAACTGGTAAAAATCTGCCGATTTGCAGTCCTTTACGCTTTTGTCGAAGTGCTGTGATTGTAAAAATAATAGAGATTGAATAATATGAAAATAAAAATAAAACCGCTACCATGTTTGCCAGAGTGGAGCAAAGCTATACTGTCATGCAAACTTACCAGAAGAAGTTGGGAGAGATACAGTAGCTTATGATGATTCGAGGTATCTCCAATCAATGCCACTACGCACGCAGTAATACGACATTCGTTATGCAAATTCAATGTTCATTAAATCAACTACGTCCCCGATGCGTGTCCGTTTCGTCGCATTAAATAAACGCGTTTTATTCCAGCAAATTTGTTTCCGAAATTTTTAGTTGCTTAAAAAAAATTCGTGTAAAAAAAATTGTCAATAATAATTACCAAAATTCTGAATAATGCATCCAAGAATAGAATTTTTTCAAAAAATTGCACCAATTTATCGTTTAAAAATTTGTATTACATCAAATAAAAATCAGCTAAAGAGAAGTCTCTTCATGCTTATACAATAAGATATAATAGATTGTATCGAATCATTCTCTATCAAGGGGCAAAGGGGTGGGAATTAGAGGCGTCCAAATAATTCTGACAATAAAAATCAGATATATTCGACGATCAAACTAAAGAAAAAAAAATCGATTTGATGCAAAGTGATAGTAAGTGGTGAATGATGCGACAAGGTGTTGCATTCCACAGAATTTGGCGCAACATGTGCTATACGAATCTCTTTAATCGAAGTGATACGAGATCGCGAAATATATCTATCAGACACGTAAGAGATCCTCCTCATCATGCGTTCCTTACGAGAGAAATGGATGAGTACGAGGCAGAAATAAAATGACATGACATTTATGTGATAATAAACTGAAAATTATAAAACTTATAAATTATAAAACTTTTTATTTCCAAGCCTCCTATCCATTTTCCTTTATGTATTACTTGTTCTAACGTGACACGATGTTCCGACATGCATTTATCACATTATAAATTGCATCGCAATTAAAGAAGCATTCGTGATAGATTATAAATAACATTCATAATCTCTGACGATTGCTTATTCAACGCGATCTTCGTGATATATAGAGAGAAGAATATATAGAGCAGAGAGGACACAAGCAAGACACAATGACAGTCTACGGAAACATGTCAAAGTGTCGCGACCATACTGGAAACCCAAACTCAAGTGTGTCAATGTACAACAACGTCACACGAAACGGCAATAGAAAATTGAGAAAATTTCGTTATTTACCCAATGATAAGAGGGGGCGTGCATGTGAAGGGGATACGAGCACGGGAGGTCCTCCTTTTGCCTCAAATTCTCAAATATCGGCATCAGCTGGCTCATAAACTCCTCCGCTACACCACAAACGAAAATCTTTAGAATCCTCATGCAATCGCAGCAATCTCTCTTTATCGCACTTTTAAACCTCTCACTCCAATGAGCGAAAAATATTCCTGAAACGAACAGCTACCACATCTCCACGCTAAAATGATACGTAATTCGTTCCTTCCCTTGATCGCAACATCGACCATTTGGATTACAAATCGTATATAAAAAAAATTTCACAAATTAATATAATTACTTTCATAGGTTTCCTTAAATTTTCGTAAGGATTGGTGATTGGTATAGAACTTGGGATGTGTCCTTTCGTCATTACAAAGCAACGGGAAAGGATTTCAGGAGAAGATAGGCAAAACATTTACGAAATCGCGTCTCCTGAGGTTGGGCGAAAAATTCAAGACGCAGACATAACGATTTGATGTCCGGTCTTTAATCGATACAGTCGAATCGTTTTCGCAAGATCGACCGATATGATGAAACTAAACAAGCATTATTTCTTTCTGACTGCATCTACATGTTCGAACAACGTAATTGTCTAAAAAACTGCCATGCTCATGCGAAAATCAAACGTCTAGGTTGACAAATTGAAGAAAACGTCGTCGTATACTTACGTAGATTTTCGATGATGACGAACATCGACAAGAGCTGTCCAGGTAAAAGTTATATATACGTGCAACTCAATTTTTCTACTCTTCTAGCCAAAGAGTCCAATCCTCTAATCTACTGATTCGGTGTGAAAATTTTAAGAGAGAGAGAGAGAGAGAGTATTCAACAGTTTGTACAAATTAACGGCAGAGAAATAAAGAAAAAATCGGTGAAAAAATGAGTACTATACGTGCCTCGTCGCATATCAAGCCCTAGCTCGACTGTAACTCGCTTTCCTTACCTTGGTGATCGGTCCAGCATTGGTGGAAGATATCGGAGTACGCTGCAGCGTCGAAGTCGGACTCGGTTTGGATCGGAAGGCCGTCATGGTTTGGCTAACACCATCCGCCAGAATGAATTGCTCCCGCAGCTCGATATTCGTTCTTCCCTTGGCTACAGTGTGTTGCGTGCACGCAGTTAGGGAAGAGGCGTTGGGGGATGCGGGGTATATGAGAAAAGGTGCCAGAGAGAGATTTTTGAAATTTGCACAAAAAACCCGGAGACAGAGAGTTAGAGAGAAAGAGCGAAATGATGACATCGAGATGACATAACGAACGCGAAAACGAGATGAAAAAAAAAGGAAAAAAAATGAGTAAATATCGGAACGACAACATCCGGAACGAGAGTTGTGAATTGTATGAAGCGGAAGGTGTGACGATATTTTTTTTTACAGATTCACAATATCAAAGGCATGCGCGTTATCAATGAATAGCGGTAATAATGGACAGGGAAAAAGTAAAAGGCAAAACAATGTATCACGATATGCGTGCATGTTTTGAGTACGTGTATGTTCAAGTGGCGTATCCAGGTTTGTATGTATGTTCAAAGTGTCATGGAAAAAAAAAGAAAAGAACAGCGTATTTAGAATATATGATCGAAAAAAAAGTTCTAATTTATAGTAAAATCGAGATCATTTCACACAAGCTTATTAATAAATATACATAGTTGTTCAAGACAAAGTTTTGCGTTATTATGGTTATCACGGAAAAAAGGTTTACGATACAGAAGTCACTATCTAAATATTCTGCTACTGAGACTCAACTTCATAACACTTATTTCAATGTTTAAGATATTTATATAAAATGTACGACTTGCGAAAATTATCTTTTTATATAATTTATTATATTTTTTCTTTATAATAAAAATGTAATGAGTCACGTCGCTTATTATTGTACATTTTATAATATATATCTCAGAAATTAATTTACGCATCATACTTGTAACCATGCCAAAAGAAACCAATGTATCCTCGAATGTAACATTTTAATGATAAATTAAATAGAAAAAAAGAACGAGAAGTTTCAAGTATATTCACATATAAATTTTCCTTCTCTTTCAGTAAATTTCAAAAATTTAGAAAATTTAATTTAAAAAAATATAATAAAAACATTAAACATGCATTGGTTATCTTGTAGCAAAGACATGAAAATTTCTACAGAGGGGCTACGAGAATAAATCTTTGCAAATAAATATATAAAACAGTCACATTGAATATATTACAAGATTGTGCGAGGATAAAGAAAAAAAAATAAATTGGATAAATCTAATTCAACCAACCACCCAAATCAAGAAATTGCAAAGGTATAGAACGCGGAGGAAAGAAAAAACGAAACAATTGCGGGATAACTACGTTCATAAAAATTCTGCATCACTAAACATAGACTCTTTTCGCAACATTGACATTCGATTCTTCATCGAAGTGGCGAAACGATTGACATTACGCAGCGCAATAACTATAGCTCTTGTATTTCACTTCTGTACCAAATCTATTATATTTACCTTACCCGGAAAAGTAGCCAATCGTTCAATCATATGATACAAACGTATACAAACGCATATAGAGACATACTCAAACAAAAAGATGGCACTTGGGAAAATTAGTCCGGAGTAAGCGAATAACACGTCATGCGTCATACGTAGGGATGTTACCTTCATGGCCTATACTCTATACTAATTATAAGTACAATACCAGAAAATCGCAGGGTGTCTTCGTAAAAATAGCGCGCATAGAGTTCCGAATGAGACTTTTTAATCATCGAACAAGTGAGTTATTCTTCCGTATAGACCACGAAGGAATTATGTGCACGTAAAACAATTCTCACCGAGCGGACACCAACCCTCATGTTGTTCCGGTTTGTTAGGATCCGGTATTGGCATTAGAAAAACTTAACGAGTTAATCACGATTCGAGAGACAGAGTCGATTAGAAAGCGGCGGGATGTACAGCCATGCAATCATTCGTCGCGGTTTTCGTCAGAATTTTTTTTTATAATTCGCGAAACGCATTCGAAAAACAAATTCGTAAAACAAGAGTCATACAGAAATAAAATAAATGGAAATATTTGTCGTAGAGTTGGATTTACAGGATGTAAGAAGGAACGGAACGGATATAAGGAATAGTAGTTGTGTTAGTACATAGTCAACAAGATATTAGATTATATATCTACTATAATATTACCCTTTACCTCACTCTATACTCTATCCATAAAACAATATCTACAATACCAGAAAAGATTCTCTGACGGAAAATTAGTGATTATCTTGATATACCGGATAATTAACGACGTACAACGAAATTAAAGAGATAGAATAAAAGAAACGATAAGAAGATAGAGCAAACGGACAATTTTCATTTAATTTAATATACAGTCGAATTAATCATCGTCATCATGCAATTACTGTGAGTAGCGCGAACATAAAATACAATGTGAGAAAAATTATGTCGATAGTAAACAATTTCGAATTTTTAATACCCTTACTTAGCAATCAAATGCTAAGGAATTAAAAATCAATATGTGTGGTAAAAAGATGGTTTCTAGATAAGTAAAAGCAATAAAAACAGCGAATGTGTATACTACCCTCAACTGTCCGTTAAATGTTAGATATGTCTAATGTTAAATCACAAATATTAGATTTACATTCAGTTACGTTCAATGTCACTGTGATTAATGGCAAAGTTATAACACCTCAGGAGTCGAAATCGTACATATGTAATGATATCTTCTTAGTATTAGGATAATAGCATACGAAGTTTAGTAGTTATATCGAATCAATATTCAACTACACTTTCGTTAATGACACAATGATATTCTTATAAATAACATTCTTTTATTTAATGCAGCAGAGCAAATTAATATTGATTAATATAAAATAAAAACAACAAAAACAAAAATGCATGATTCTTATTAATGATGTTAATAATAACAAATATATTTAAGAGTACGTCATTTTCGGAAATTAGCAAATTAAACAGGAACCTAAGTTTAATTGCCTCTTAGGGAAGGAGAGAAAAGGAAAGAGTGTACTGATTTCTTTATAAGTTATTTCAGTTGCTTGTAAAGAGTAATTCATCTTTTAAACATATTTCAATTTAGCAATTGATCTGCTTGATTAATTACGGGTCCACCATTCGGTCAACCAGCTTTTCTCTTGGTATTAAATAATTATGAATTGAAAAAAACGCGATTATCTCAACCTAATCTCGGATCGTCTACAAATATTTTGTAGATTAAAAATTCGCGGGGAATACTTACCGCGACAAGGATCGTTTTTCAAAAGGAATTCATCTAGCGCCACCCAGCCTCCACCAACACGTACCATGACTGTGGAACGTAAAATTCGGACCAATCGCAACTTCTGGCTGTCACCAAACTGCAATTACACATATCGTATAAATAAAATATATTGTTAATATTAATTGATTGTTAATTAACTGATTAAAGCTATGCGCTATAAATTTATAGCCTTACATACCCTGTATTTTCCTTCGCCAACTTGGAAGACACGGAATTTCTGACGACACGTGCACAACATAACCAGCCGCTTAACTTCGTCATGTATTTTGTCTGTATCGTTATAAGTTCGTCGTTCTTCCCAATCGGGTCGTAGAGCGGCGATGAACTCTTTCCAATCTATCAAGCCCTCGCCATGACGATCGAAGAGATCAGCAACAGCACCCATCTCCAGACGAGAAGTATCGAATTCTATAAATTAAAGACTCAAGATGTTAGAAAACACGTACAGCGCAAACGTGCTTTTGTTTGAAAGAGAATGACAAGTACTCGTGTTCATAATTCCTTGAATAAAGTCCTCCCTCGGTATAAGTCCATCGTTGTTTTTGTCCATTTTCCTGAATAAATCGGTCAGTCTGGATTTCTTGTGATTCATGAATTTTAGGAACTGCAATTAAATAATAAATATCATATTATTTTACGCGGATTGTCTCCCCCCAAAAATCAGACAGATTTTTATCTAAAAATTTAATTTAAATTTTTGCTTACACGCTTGCGCCAATCTTCCCAGCTAAAGTTAGCAACGCGATCCAGCTCCTGGATATAATTGTACTTGTCCTGAAGACGACGTTGTCGTTCCCACGCCAGCATCCAAACGTGACGCCACTTATCCCAGAGTAGCTTGACTCGCGGACTACGGAATTCCGGTTCTGCTCCTTTGCTGCTCGTAAGAAAGGAAACACAGATGAAAAAATATATACAAATTAAACATATACAAATTGTCTAAGTTAAAAATTGATGAATGGCGTCTTGTCTGGCAACTACATCACCTCACAGCAGGAAATATTCGCGAAAAAAAGAAAAATTGAATAAAAAAAAGTTCAAGAATGATACATACTTCACATTTTTAAAACAGACGATTTTGTGAATGAAACAAGGAACAGTTCATCAAACCCAACCACATTTCAGCCCACAAGAAAACAAGAATCCCATTACCGGCTCATTAGCAAGTCGTATGATACGTCGAATTGTACACATTAAAACCTGTATGATTCCAGATGAAAATAGAAGCGCAGAATGAACTGAAATAAAATTAAACGAACCTTCCTTTAGGCGGGAAGCGTGGACCGATGTGTGGCAACGAAAGATCTGGTGTTCTGTCACGACCTGGGCTGCCTCGGCTAAACAGGAACATGCGTCACATCACTCAAATACTTTCTACTAAAGAAAGCATCTATAGAAAGGTTGCTCGACATCTCGATACACAATAATCTAATTTATAAATTGTTTCTTTTTTCATGTGAGTATTGGACTCTATGTGAAAAACAACGAGAATTTTTTTGTCAAATGTATAACTTTTTACGCTAATATAAATTATATTTGATAAATTATATTTATCAGAAATAATATTTGACTGTAGAATTAGAAAATCAGTTCCCCTTTATGTCAGAAAAAAATTGTAATGATATCTTAAGCTATGTGTATTATAATGACATATAACATGAATTATGTAATTAACAAAATATAAGCAACACTTTAACGTAACGCAAACATTTCAAACATTATGGACATTGTGGAAACCAACTACAAGTGAAAAGCAAGTGAAACATTATTGATACATTTGATGTTGTTGCTAAATCGAAAATTTTTGCTATTGTGAATTTATTGTGCGAATAAGAATTAATTGTACAGTGAAAATGTGTTGTGTCTTGAATATCAAAAAATTATAACACAAGAAAAAGCATGTATGTACATCCATTAAAAATATGCATATTAAATGCATTATACTTACGAAAAAGCTGTGCGATTAAGTTAAGTATGTAAGAAAGATTTATGTTACGATGAGCAACACGCACCTTTGTTTACGAGGCTGAGGCTGCTCATGCTCGCTATCCTGATAGAGATCCTTACTGAAATTCCATTGCAAAAGCAACATATCATGCGACAGTTACAGACACAAAACACAAAAGAGATTCATACATAAAAAAAAAGACTTCATTAAAAAGTGCGAGCAAAGTGAAAGATTCTGTCTGGTGATTCTTTCCAATACGGTGATCTAAAACTTTTTTTTGCTACAATTGCAATGTGTATAAGATACGTGATATACACTAAAATAATTCATTAAATACACAAAGACACAAATGTGATAACACAAATGACTAGGATGCAAACAAAACTTAACACAAAGCAAAACAAAATATAACACAATACTTTGCATGAATAATATTATCAGCGTCCATGATATATCTGCATATACTTCGTAAAATCGGAAACTTCCGTTATATATGCAATATTACAACATTAAACATATAAATTTTTATATCGATAAATACGTACGTAGGCGCAGGCGATTTAACTTTCGATATTTTTCTCGCGTCCTTAATCGGCTTAATTTGTCGGGCCTTGCAGACGCGATCGACTTCGTTTTGCCTTCGACTGGTGTTCTCCATAAACTCTCTGTGATCTGCGATAAGCATCTCAAGCGTAGCCCTGTCGTCGGGCAACGGTTCCGCTTCCAAGATGTTCAAAGTGTTCTCCAAACCTTCGAGCCAGGCTAATAACTCCTCGAGAAGATTGTCAAGATCCTGAGAAATGCACAGTAAAGATATCAGTATTTTTTTACATTAGATAAAGTATTACACATATATAATATATAGTATAGTACGAACTTGCAGTCCCTGCATGTGGTTCTCCAGTCTTTGATTCCTTTGATAAGCCCAGGTCGCCACTTCTTCCCACCTCGATTGAATAATCGTAATCCAATGTTTGATAACAGCGGCACCATCGGGATGCGCCTTTCCAAGAATAATATGCGCCAACTCTAATGTATGATCCTTCTCAATTTCTTTAGACTGTAACTCGCGAAGGAATCTCTGGTGTTCCATCACTTGGTTTCTACTTTCTTGCTCATCCTCCGGCAGCGGACCAGCAAATCGTAACTTCATCTCCGCGTCGCTCAACCATTCTAACAACACGTGCACGGCTTTGTGAAGTCGTTCAGCCTCCCTGAGAGCTTCTTCCAGTTGTGAGGACTTCTTCAACGAGAGACTGGTCACTCTGTCCCAGAGACTGTTCAATTCGGACAACTGCGATCGAATCATCGACGCGTCTTCGATGGAAGCCTTAGACTCTAACTCGCGACCGGTCTTGATGACAGACTCCATCTGCGAGGCACGAGATTCCAGATCTCTCTCGAAGGTCTTATGCTGTTCCATTAGATTGGTCACCGTGTCTAGATCGCCGTGCAACGGTCCGGTGTTGGCCAAGTATTTCTCGGTCTTGCTCAGCCATTCTAGCAGCGCTTGAATCGCATCCTTGAATTGTCCAGAGAATAATAAGGCTTCTTCCAATTTCCTCTGTCGATCGACGCATTTACCGCAGACCGTGGTCCACTTGTTTTTCAACTCGTTCAACAGTTCCCTCAAAGCAGGCTCGTCGGTCTTCGGCGCCTTGTCCTTCAACATTTTGCCATTCTTCATAGTGGTATCGTACGTACCTTGTTTAGCACTCAAAGCCTTCTGTATCTCGCGGTGTCTATTGAGGCGTGATTTAATTCTATCCGGATCGTTGCCACCAAGCCCATCAGCAGCGACTTCGTCCAATGTCTTCTCGGTATCATCTAACCAATACATCAAGTTCGACCAACTGTCGTGGAACTCTCTAGCTTCCTTGTAACCATGATCCAGAGCCCTCGTTCTCTCGGCTGACTTGGAGACGACACGTTCCCATCTGTGTTGCACACTAACGAGCAAGTTCCTGATAAGAATCACATCCTGTTTTTGAGAAAAGTATTTGAGATGAGTTCCCTTTTTATCGAGATTCAACATGGTCTCGCGATGAACGCCGACATCCTTCTGGAACGCTTTGTGTTCTTCGATTTGTTGAAGTATAGTCTCCATGACCCTCGAGACGGGTTTGAGATTCGTCAGAATCTTTTCGGCATTGGTCAACCAATCGACGAAGGCCTGTAACGCGTCGTGGAACTCGGTGGCTTCCTTCAGAGCAATTTCCAATTTGATCTTTTTATCGCTTGCGCGTGCCAGTACGTTATCCCATTTCTGTTTCAATGTTCGCAGATTATGGTTCAATCCACCGGCACTGGTTGTATCCGCTTTCTTTAGGTACTCCTGCCCCTGTTGCAGCACTGTCTCGACTTTTGGTCGATTTTGCTCCAGCTCGTTATACACTTCCATGAAACGTTCCAGTTGTTCAGATGCCGTCTCCGGCAATCCACCAACAGGCTTAGAAGCTACTATCATACTATCAACATCGCCCAACCACGAGAGCAGGTCCTGTATTTCAGCGGTAAAGGATTGTGCCTCTCGTAAGGCGTCCTCCAATTCTCGCTGACGATCGGCGGCGCGTTGTAGTAGATCCCGCCAACGACGATTCAGCGTTCCTAGCTTATCGGCTGTAGTAGACGCCTCCGCGGTACCCTTGCCATCCTCGATTAATTGACGTCCGGCATCGTTCAAGGTGTCAACACTCGTCTGATGAGCCTGTATGTCGTTCACTAGAACTTTCAGCTTGGCCAACTCGACTTCGATCACCTGTGGGTCGCCCGCTACTGGCCTGAGATTATCCAAAGTAGTGTCGGTTTTATCGATCCACACCAACAACTCGTCCAAGGCGTGCTGGAATTGACCGAGTCGCAATAATGCGTTTTCCAGTAATCGTTGCCTCTCCACCAAACCTCTCAATAGTCCGTCCCATCGTCTGTTTACGTCACCAAGCGGTTCCTTGATCGCTGCTGCTTGTTCGGAAGAGGTTCTTTCCGTTAATTCAGCCGCTTGCCTAAAAAAGATGATAATGTTAGAAAATGTATCGCAATATGTTTCGTGATGTTATGATATAGCAACATGTATTGTGTAGAATGTTTTTTTAATATGTATATATGTTGCTATATATGCTCGAGGCACATAACATTGAACACCACATCTACAGGGAAGATGGGTATAAAAATTTCAATGAGTTTAACTACCGAGGGAATTAATATCAACTGAATATTAATCAATGCCGCTTCCACATTATTTCTGTCAAAAATATAAATTGTATTATCATCTACGAATTCTCATGTGGTTGATCGCTCGATCCACCTGCTACATGCGGATGAGCAATTTACCTTGGAATAACATAAATAAGGGAAGGATATAATTAAACGTTTAAGTAAATTGTGTTAAGGGCTGCAAGATTAAACTAAAACGGGATGAAGTAGACACGTTGACAACAACATGAAGCCATGCTCTAACTACCAGTGACAACACAATGAGAGATTGACTTGCCTTGTCAGACTCCTATGTTCGGGAACCGGCGCAGAGAAAAACAAAAGTCGGGATTAGAATTTACACGTTTTATTAAAAGGTCTCATCGCAAATAACTCTCGGACGGGAGTTACACAAAGGGACCAATGCTGTGCACTGAACTCTTTGTAATGTCATTAACGTTTAAATATAATCTTAATTTGAAAACTAATTGTCACCTGTTCAACGCCTCGACCTTCACCATATGTGGATCCACTTCGGCCTTGAAGTTGGCCAGCTGCTTAATTTGCCTCTTCACTTCGTCGATGTCACTGCCGAGCGGACCCATGTTTTCGAATCTGATCTCGGCCTCTTTCAAAAATTCTAACAGATCCTGCAGCGTTTCATGGAACTCCATCGCCTTCTCCATGGCATCGATCAGATTTTCTTCACGTCTAGCGTACAGAGCGGTGACGTTGTCCCAAGCCTGGTCTAAATCTTCGATGTGTTTTCGGACTTCAGGTTTATCTGGCTCGCCGCACAAGCCCATTAATTCGTGTCCCGATGCTCTGACTTGTTCGACATCCGGCTTGGTCTGATCAATTTCTTGCCTAATTTCTTGCAACGCAACTTGCTGTTGTTCGATGGCAGCCGGTTGAGCTGCTGGCGGTGCCTGTCCAGCGAGTGCATCTTGCAGTTCTCTCAGAGTTGCCATAACTCCATTCAACTCGGCCCAAAACTTTTCGGCGACCGTCAAAGTGTCATCCAAAGTGCGACCGCGATCGTTCGTAGCTTTCTGCACGTCGGACCATAATTTGTTGAGCTTGTCCAGTTTACGTTTGATGTCCTTTACTGCTGGATCCCTGCTGCCGGCCTTGCTGATCACATCGTCCGCAGCTTTTCTGACGGCTGCGTAAGCTTCGGATCGCTGAGCGAGATCGTCTGCCAAAGCCGCATTCTCCTCCATTTGATTGCGCAGACGAGGCGGATGAGCGCTAATAGGCTCAGCGCCGTTCACCTGATCAGCGGTGGAAGACAGTGCGCGCAACATACCCTCCAATTTATCGGAAAACTGCGAGGATTCTTGCAGCGCTTGTTCCAGGGCCTGTTGCCGGCCTCTCAATTCGGCTCTCAATGCTGCATAGCGAGCGTTATCGTTTTCCAGAATGTCCTGTACCTTCAAACCTTCCTCTTCATTGCATAATTTAATGAGAGCTTCGCCGGTCTTGTTGAGCTTCTCTACCAGAGGTTTATGCTCGTTGATGCTCTGTATGAGAAGCTCGTTCTTGTCCTGCTGCGCCGCTATTAAGTCAGGTCGCAAAGCGGGCATGGGTAACATAGCGACTTGTTGTTCTGCTTCTTCGAGCCAACTGACCAGACCAGCGTGGGTGTCACGAAGATGCTCGGCTAGCGGTAGAGCCTGCTCCAAAGCTCCCAATCTGTCTGTCGATAGGCTTGATACAATTTCCATTGTTTCTCGCAAATCTTCCATCTTGTCTCTGATCGTAGATGTATCTTCGTGTTGAGCATTCTCGCGTATTACTTTCTTCGCCGTCGATATGACATCTCGAACTCTGCCTTTCTGACTAGATATATCATCATTGAGCGCTTTATGCTCTTTCAGTTGTACTCTAATAATCTCAGGTTCGCTGCTAGGCGGTTCTGCCTCTCGGAGTTGATTATCCACTTCTCTGAACCAGTCGAGCAGATCGTCAATGTCGCCAATTACTTCCAAGGACCGCTGCTTGCTTAACTGAATTCTCTCCGCTTTCCTCTGAATCTGTTCAGCAATCGCGTCAAATCGTCTGTTGTCTCTGGTTACAAGACCCTCGATAGTCGCGGCACCTTCTCCTGGTGATAATTGACATAACTGCGGGCCCACTGCATTGATCTTGTCCAAAACAGGTCTGTACTCTGATATTTCCATCTCGAGTCGGATAATCTCCTCCTCGCGAGGTTCAGCAGATTGTAGAGCGGATTCCGCACCCTGCATCCAATCCATCAATCGATTGTGATTATCATGGAATTGTTGCACCAGCGGTAAGGACTCCTGGGCGTGTTTCAAAAGGTCCGAGCCACGCGTGACGAGATCATTAAATCGTCGTTGCAGGGAGTCCAATTTGTCCTTCAGTTGAAGCGCCTCATCGCTCGAGATGTGTTTCATCAACTCCAGACCGGAATCCACGGTGCTGTCAACCTCCGTTTGTCGCGTCGAGACTTCTTCTGTGAGATCCGCAAGATCTTCCATTTGTTGTAAGAGTTTCTCCGTGTGTACAGCCAAAATACGATATTTTGATAATCGAATCTCCATGCTTTCCATCCACGCTTGTAGATCTTGGTACGTGAGAACCAGATGACGCAAACCTTGTTTCGAACGTTGCAACAAGCTGCCGAGAGCCTCGGATCGTTCGACCAGAGCGGCATATCTATCTGCCGCGTCCTGAAGTTTATCAGCCAATGTACTAGCTTCGTCTTCGCCCACGAGCGACATTAATTGACTGGCTATCTCAGTGAGTTCGCTGAAATCAGGTGTTTTAGATATAATATCCTCATGAAGTATGTCATGCTCGCTGATACGTTGTTGTATCTTCTCCTCATCGGTTGGAACCAATTCCATATCCTTTACTTTCTTTTCCGTCTTGTCCAACCAAATGGCAAGCGGTACCAATTTATCTTGGAATCGTTTCGCCACCACCATAGCTTGCTCGAGAGCCTCCATTCTTTCCGCGGCGCTTTCCGTCAGATTATCAAATCTACCTATTAAATTGTTCAATTGTTTCTCGATGGCTTTACGTTCCTTCGAATCAGCATCGGCAGCTACCTCCCGTCCCATATTGTAGAGAGATGACATAGAATTTTGACGATCTAACAACATCTTTCGCAGGAACTTCTGTTCCTGCAGCTGCGCTTTCACAACCTTGTAATCTGAGGATGGTGGTTTCTGATTGGAAACCATTTCTTCCGTATCGGTTAACCATTTTTCTAGGCCATCCAAAGCTTCTTGGAATTTGCCCGATTGCAGTAATCCAACATCCAGTTTGCGATCTCGCTCGTTCAACTAAAAAGAAATGGTAATTATACATTAAATTAAATAATAAAATAGAGATATTTATCTTAGTTAATTTTTGCATATAATATTGATACAAAATAAAAACAGATTGAGATATTTACCCTATCTTTCAGATCATTCCATCTTTCATTCATTTTGTCAACATCTTTCTCGATATTACTAGTGTTGACATCTCGTCCTGCAGTTTGTATTAGACCTTGACCAAGCGCATTACATCCATCAACAGCATGCGCCAGTGGTTCCATCTTGTTAATTTTAAGAGCCCGGAAGTCTTCTTGCTGAGCCTTAATCGAATCCACTTCGGATCCAACAGGTTTGAATCTTCTGACATGTTCGTTCGCGTCACTGATACCATCTAGAACGTGCGTGTGCAATTGATAGAATTCTTGTAATTTATTCAAAGTAGAAGTGAGCTCATCTTCTCTAGTACGCGCACGTTCATCCAGCTTGCCAATTTGTCGTTTAAATCCGTCGACCTGATCTCTGGTTGCAACAGCATCAGCAGCGAAACCGTAATCGACCAAACGTTCACCACGATTCTGCAGATCAGCAATTTCTTCGTACAATTTATTAATTTTGCTGATGACTTTAGCAGTATCTTCCAATTGGGCCCGTACAATCTTAATTTCCCTACCGGGGGCCTTCATGGAATCTAGATCTTTCTCGAGAGCGGTCAGCTGTTGATTAATCGATTTCGCTTGATCATTGAATTGCGCGACCGCCGTGGCTGCGCTTTGCAGTTCGTTGCATCTGTCATCCAATTTTGCTTGCAAATCATTGATACGATCGGTGACATTATCAATTTCATCTTGTAAATGAGTCGCATCGACGCCTTGCTCACCAGCTTTATTTACGAGATCGTTAGCCTGTTGTCTCACGCATTGTAAAGGTTTCTTCAAATTTGTCGTCTCTTCTCGTAAATTCTAAAAAAATTATATTAGTATATATACATATTTTGCATTAACCGTGCGTTTTTTTTTCAAGAATACAACAAAGTCTCAAATTACCTTTATTCTATCGAGAAGTTTCGGATCCTTAGCCGCTCCACCAAGAGCATCATGCGAAGCTAATTTATCTTCGCAACGTTGTAAACTATGCTGCAAATCGCGCAAGTTCTCATTAAAGTCCATTAAGTGACGTGCGGTATCTTCCAAGGACTGCGTCCTAGATATTAAGTCTGCACAAAAATAATTACATTATAATACTAGAACGTATTCTAAATTATGATAAATTGTAATATTAAATAATGAGCATTAATACGTACCATTATTTAGTTTATCCCATCTAGTTTTCATAGCACCAAGTTCATTTTTAACATTTTGTTTATCAATGTCGCAAGCACTGACAAACGTCTCGCCAAGCATCTTATTATTCTCGAATTCTCCAGAGTGTTTCCACACTTCGTTCCTGAACGATGATAATTCCTTCAGTTGCTTTTCGATGTCCTTGCGTCTAAAGGAAGAGGGAATTAAACTATCCAATTTATCTTCGGCCTGTCGAAGCCATGGAAGAAACACATCTTGGGCTTTGTAATATTTCTTGCAATGCTCTGCGCAAGTCTGCAATCTGGTGTGTCTTTCAACGGTGTCCTTCTTTAAACGGTCCCATTGTGATTGCATTTTATCCAAGTCGCGTTGGAGAGAGCGATTTTCAGTTTTTTGAGATCTTGCAAGTATATCGCGTCCTTTATTCAGCAGCATTATGACTTCATGTTCTTTGCCCATCACATTTCGGTATACAGGCTGAAAAAATATTTTAATTTTATTTTAATAACAATAAAAAATGAATCAAGAAATATAAAATATGTATAAATTAAGAAAAAAAAGCAAAAATTTCTTGAATATTTATATACACATACTTCGTGATGATCAAGTTGTTGTTGCAAAACTTCTCTGTCGGCAGATACGAGTAATTTTTCAGACATGTTGCCAAGTTCGTCCGCGAGCCATCCCAAAGTTCTGCTACAGGAAGCCTCAAATTGCCTTCCATCTCGAAGATTGCCTTCGATTTCAGCCTTTCTGTGATCTAACTTCTTCTGTAAGTTGTTGTACATCTTGCCAACTGTGGCAAGCTTTCCTTGGATTTCGGATTTCGATGCTGGATCACTCAAAACTTCGCACAACTGCGCACCAGCCATCTCCACATCCGCTAATAACGGCCTTTGACCTTCCAATTGCCTCTCTAGATTTTCGATTTTACGAAGCTGTTCTTCAGGATCCTTTTCGAGAGATAACTCGTCCAAATTGTCTGAAATTCCTTGCAGGGCATTTCGTAGTCGGTTAAGACTGGCATCGAATTCGCGACTAGTATCAGCGGCGTCTCCTAAACTCTGGGCTCTTTCGTCCAATCTTCTCACTTGATCCGTCCACCTTTGCCGAATGCTCTGCAATCTCGCGTTTATCTTCTGTCCGTCCGAAGAATCTATAGATACCGCAATGAGAATGCTTTCTCCGACTTGTACCAGATGATCCGCTTGCGGCTGTTGAGTTCTGAATTCTTCTCGCAAGACTTGCACCTGCTGCATTTGACTCGCAGCCATACGAGGATCGGCCGAAATAGGTCCTAAAGCACTCAGCATACGTTCCTTAGCGCCAAGCCAAGCGTCAAGACTCTCATACGTGTCGTAAAAGTCTTTAACATCTTCCAAGAATTTAATTCTGTCCTTGCATTTGTCCGAGATCGATTTCCATCGACTAACAACATCTTCCATCTCGTCGTTCAATCTATCCACACCGTCTGCTCCTTTTTTGCGTCTGACTAAATCACGTACTTGCGTTCGAGTGCTGTCTAATAGAGACTGTTTCTCATACATCTCTTCGACGAGAATCTTTACCTGCTTGATTGTTTTGTCCGCATCGTCTTTAGTGGCAGGCATACTTTCTTTAGGCAATTGTCGCTGAATCTATTAAAATTATTTTAATATATTACTACGTGTGCACAGATTATGATAAAAAACTATGTCATTAAAAAAATGGATAATTACCTTGTCCAAAAATTGAGAAAGTATTTTCAAATGGTCCAAATATTTCTTCAATTCTTCCTTAATATTATCCAATTCTGTTTGGCGATCCGATAGTCTGACGCCAAGTAATCCGTATCTATGATTAATTTCCGAAAGTTGCTGTTGAACCGGCGATAATTCTTCCAAATGGAAACCATCTTGACTCGAACGGCGACTGCTGAATCCGCTGCTACCACCTGGGGAGACCGGACTTTGAACTGCGTAGGATTTAGTGGGTGACGGTGAGCGACCGTCTTGTGACATTCGCAGTACTACAAAAAAAATGACAGAAAAAAACGATCAAACATAACTGAAATGGCAATGCTCGTGTGCTGAAAAAGAGGCAACGTGAAAGATTTAAGCTAGAATTGCTATAACTGATAAATTGGCAGTGTAAACTGGCGCGCAAAAGGTTGAAATACAGGCATGATAAATAGCCATGCTATCTATGCAATTGAAGTATAAATAATCTTAGCAAACAATACCTGGTCTCTTTGTTGGGCTAGTACTACCACGTCGACGAGTCGGACTCTCGCCACGTTCCTTCAGCAAGCTATCATACGCGATACCAAGATCATTGATTTTATCGACAGTGTTGCCGTAGTCACGATATTCCTTTTGTATGGGTTTCAACTCCTCCTGTTGTATCTTTAGTTTGTCTAGATCAACAGCAACCGGTTCGAGTCCTTGCACTCTGTTCTCTGTACGGGTGAGCCATTCAAGTACTTGATCCCGCAGTTTCTCATATGCCGTATGTTGTTCCGCCCTCGACTTGCACAATCGTTGTTTCTCGTCGAGCAGATTATTCAATTCCTTCCATTGAGATTCGAGAGCCTTAATCTTATCTCTAATCGCGCCGGGCTCGGTTATATCCTTCTTCGAGATCAAGTTCTTGCCGTTACGTATGAGATCTTCAAAGTTTCCGCGTTGATCTTCTCGCATGTCTATTAATCGAGCCATCTTGCCCTCGTATTCCGACATATCTAACTTGCCCAGATCTCTCGAGTCGAGAACCTCCATTATGTGCGCGTACCAATTCTCAAACTTGGATACGTCAGCGAGAAATTCGTTCAGAGCTTGTGCTATTTCATCTAAGAATTCACCGCGTCTCAAAGACTTGTCCATCAGTTTCTCAAATCTGCTTTGTACATCTTTCAATTTGCTCTCGATACGTTTGGCGATGCGAACGTTGCTGGAATTTAAAAGAAGATCCTGGGCGTTTCTTGTGATAGTTTCTACGCTCAAGCGGTGGCTATCTAGATCTGCCTGAAGTAATCGCTGCTCTCTTTGCTGCTCTTCCAAGCGTTCCTTCTGCAAACTTGCCGGACGTTGAAGCGACCTGTGCAATACAATTTACGTGAAAGTGAGTTAAATTATTCATTAAACAATCAATAAAATTCAGAAATGATAATTGATATTTATACGTACTTAAATTGACTTTCAATGTTGTTCAACCATGCAACCAGACTGTCCAATGCATCTTGTACTCCTTGGCTTCTCACAAGTGCTGTGTCGAGTTCTTGACATTTATCAGCCAAGGCGTTACTGAGTTGTCTGTACTTATCCTCTAACGCCTTCACCGGCTCTTCAAGGTCGTTAGCCTCTTTGATCGTTAGTTGGCCTTCCAGAGAATTCAACAGAGCCTCAACGCTGTGTTTAGCATTATCGACTAAACGCTCATTAGCGAGGAATTCGTTGTACAATGCCTTTGTTTTACTCAGTTGGTCCTCTACTTGTTTCGGTTCGGCGGCGACAGGCTCGGAGATAACTCTGTGTACTTTCGGTTCGACTTCCCTCAACCACGTTAGAGCCTTATTCAGAGAATCATGATAATCTCTCTGTTTACCACCGACACCCGATAATCTATCTGACAAAAGATTTGCTCGGGACAGTAGATCTTTGTACTGAGCTGTTGCGCTGGATACCTCAGCTCGTACTGGCGAATCTTGACTAGCTGTGGGCTCTTTGTGCGGCAATCTTTGCGGCAAACTAGTCCTGAAATCGTTGAGAACTTGAAGATATTCTTTGCTCTCGTCAACGAATTTTTGTGCCGCCATTGTGATGAATCTCAGATCTGCTTGATGAGCGATGACATCGCTAATGAAATCGCGAGTTGTATCTGTACTACTGCTCAGCTTGTTCAGATCGGACAGAGAACGTTCCTTTTCTTCGAGAATATTTCTGGTTTTATCCAACCAAATTGAAAATGTTGTCAGTTCATTCCTGTGAAAAAAAAGAAATCAATTAAGTCTTCGTTGTTAAATCAATTAAATTCAGAAAATAATCGATGATTATATAAGCGATACGAACTTGAACTTTGTCAATTCGTCTCTAGCACCAGTGAGACGTTTCACTAATTTATCAGTGCGATCTAACGCCTTGTCGAATCGGGTTTTGAGAGACCGACCATTCTTCTCCAACGTGGACACTTCATCGCTAGACAATACGTTGCCTCCAGTCAAGACGACTTGTCGAATCTGATCTAGACACGATGATACGGGCCGATTGTGCGACTCGAGATCCTCCTTAATGTCCTGCGAATAACATAACATTCCACATTGAGGTAAATCTGACTTCTTAAACAAGCATTTAAAAATGCTCATTAATTTTATTCTACTTACTTTCATGGTAATTATCTGCTTCCTCAACTCTTCAACATCTTCCTTCACGGTGTCCTGGTCCGCTAGCTTGTCCTCAACTTCGGAGATCCATTGCAACAGTTTAGACAGCATTTCGTCACAGAGCTTGTATTTTTCCTCCACTGCTTGCTAAAATAAAGTTAAAAGAAAACAATTCATTTCGATCTACATTCATGCAATTTGCCATTTTTTACATCTAAAATTGTGCGCTAGAAAAAAAACATTAAGATAAATAATAAAAATGATTACCGTCATCTTACCAATGACGATATTAAATACTCGTCGTATTAATTAAATATTAAAGAGAAACGTAGGTAAGCTTACGACATATCTCACGCATGCAAACACAGGCACACTTTTCAAGTACAGGTAAAATACAGTATTAAAATGGTAGCTTTAATTTATCTGCAAGAACTGCATATCTTACGTATCGGTCTTTTTCATATGCAGCTTAAAGCATAAACGATAACAGTATGAAGTCACGTAATATATAAAAACAGGTTCCAACAAGCAAATAAATTAAAACGCACAATGACGAGGAGTAACGTGATGGTACTGCGTAAAATATAATGCGTATAATGTATGATACAGTAATGTAAAACGTGGCGTAACTTCCGTAAACTCATGCTAGCGAAAACATAGGTTCGTGATAAGTAAACATAATCATACCTGAAAAAAAGGAAAAAACATTTAAATGTAATATAATAATTATATATCATAACTTTGAACAGATAGAGATATTAAAAACTAACTAGTGAATTAAACGCATATTAACAAGTAAATTGACAAAAAACTGAAACAAGATATATATCTATTAATATTATTTTATAACGTGTTAATCGTATTAATTTTTCTTGCAGAACGGTAAATAAAATCAACTAGGATTCTAGCTATTGTTTTATGAGAATTTACTTATTATTAGAGATGTTTGATAGTATTGTGTTATTATAATATTTATGTAATCGTATATTTATAATTATAATATGTAATTATTGTTAATACTGCTGCGATATTTATAATTATTGTGTTGATCTTAATTACCGTTAAGCGTTTCACGTTATTTAAAATTAGGTACGTTAAAAATGATATAAAGACGACATAATATCAATTAACTTATTGTATCATTATCTATCATTGCCTTATTTCTTGAAATATTTGTTACTTCTTTTAAATGCTATATTATAGAAATACCTAATTATCACACAAATTTTATTCTTTATTCAAAATAATTTATTTGCCATAAGCGTCTGCTTTTTCTATCTTAATGAAGCTTGAATGCTTCGTAATGAAACAAATAGCAACGATATAATTATATGTGAGACACTCCTTAATTAAATCCTTTTTCCTTGTAAAGTGTTAATTTCGAATGAAAAGTGAAATAAAATGCCAATTCGAAAATTTTATTTTATACATGCATGTTGATATGCATTAGTATGCTCAGCAAAATTTTTGTTTACAACTAAAGAAGAGATTTTTCTCGAATTGGATTAAAATAATCCAATAATTATAATTTATTTCATCAAATATATAATTGCTGTACTTTTGCAAAAACATTTTTTACGATATATATAAAAATATATTGTAAATATATTTATACATATATTGTGTAAAACGATAAATAATTAATTTACCATAAAATAAGATGAGCGCGCGCGAGAAAATGATTAGATTAATAAAATTAGATTAACGATAAAATTATAGATTAATGCTACTTATAATTTACTGCAAAGAGATTAGCGTTGTTGATGCGACCAAACTTGGCTTTGGAATTAATGATATTCTGCGTGGTGAAGGATTGCTGATGCGATGCACAATATAATTGATGGCCTGCCGATCGCCGATTATATAATGACAAAATCCTTCAAAAAAACATACGCGATGTCCGATTAATGTTGATGTGATTCCACCCTTTACTGATTCCACATTAAGGTAAGCACGAAGGTGTAAGTATTATGTGATGAAGAGGCGGACTAATAATGAGATAAAAACGAACTGAAAGCGAGCATTCCGATAAAAGGAAGCACGGGGTGACTCCTCCGAGGAATAGAGGAAGAGAAAGACAAGACTAGAGTGAAAATGATTCTTGTTTATATCTGTCCATGCACCTGTGAATTTTCTCAATTGTTGATCAATGTAAAAAAAAAGTCATGCGAGTCAAGAATGAAGACTATTAAAGGTCTATGAGAGACCACCATGCGCTAATGCAAGCGTCTCTCCGCGCGAATGATGATAAAATTCAAGTCTCAGGCAAAAGATGAGTGTGATGGAAAAAATCGCATGACAGTAAAATGTAAAATGTAGATTCACGTGAGAATATATGTAATGGTAATCACATCCAACTCTCAGGAAGCTGTTAGAGAATCATGAGTGGAAACAGAGTAGCAACGTAAAACTCGAGTGAGATAAAAATGATAGAAACCCAAACAGTAAAACGGAGGATGAAAAAAAAAGAATCAACCGATGCGGGAGACGCGAGGTTGTGTAAAAGACATTTCTGCTTGTGATCCTACTTACCCTGGCTTCAGCGGCGAGTATGTAACCTCGTTCCAAGGCCTTCACGAAGTCGATACTCTTGCCGTCCGTGTCTTCAACTAATCTGCCCCCCACGGAATCTACCTTCCCGCTATTCACCGCCTCTAACAAACTCTCGATATTACCCGTAAATGGATCTTTAATCACGGTGGTGGACGGATCGATCAAACCCGACTCGATCGTGTTCGCCAACGTGAGACGTCTGCGATCTAATACGGAAGTGACAACAAATGGATCGTGAAAACTGCCTGTGGTCGGATTATAAAGACCAAACTGCAGCGCTTCGATAAACGAGACGCCGTTTTTCGGAGTGATCAACAAACCAATCTCCAGAGCCTTGGACAAACTGTACAATTTGGACGTGGCTGTGTCCAGCACGTTACTCTTTTCCGCGTCCATCATGCCCTTGCGGAAGGCTTCCGGCAATTTTACCAGCTTCTTTTTCTGCGAATCTTTGATTAACGCCGAATCAGAGTCTACGATACCGAGGCTGACCGCTTCCTTGAGAGTCAATTGTTCGTTCGAGATCGGATCGGTGAATTTGCCCGATTCCAGCGACAGATATTCCTTTTCGATAGCTTCCTCGAAGGTGAGAGGTTCCCTAACAAAGACAGTGACATCACCGAAACGCACAAAACGCGGTTCTCTTTTGTCTCCGCCATTCAATTCGATCATGCCTTTAACAGATGGATCCACAATACCGTCCTTTATCGCTCTCGTCGTCGTCACGAATCGACCAGTTCTAGGATCTTTCACAACCGACGTGTTTGGATCAATCAGTTCGAAATTGATCGCTTCTTCTAGAGTGCATTCTTTGACGCTTCTATCGCCAGGTCCGGCTTTGAAAGTTTCCAAGGGCGAACGATGTATCATCTGTTGCGCCAGAGGTTTATCGATCGTGACTAGCAAACCTCTTTCTAAAGCAACATCGATATTAAAAGCGCGCGTCGTCTTTGGATCCAAAATTCTCCCTCGAGACACATCGACCGTTCCATCTTCAATTCCTGCCAACAGTGACTTGATCTGTCCAGTCGTCGCATCCTTCAGAGCAGTAGTATCGGGATCTATGAGGCCAGAATTGATTGCTTGAAGCAGATCGTGATACTCGTTGGCAACGGGATCAGCGAACTTGCCGCTGTCTCCGCGATAAAGGAAACATTTGACTGACTCCTCGATCGACAGAGACGTCTTCGACGTGACGATAAAACCCTTCTTCCTCGCTTCTTGCAGATTAATCGCTTTGTCTAACTCACGAATGATATACATACCGCGAATATCGTCGATGATGCCGGCAGAGATCGCCTCAGCCAACGGAATGTATCTGTTAGATTTGGTACATTTGACGATAGATATCAACGGATTTATCAGATCCATTTGGCACGATTCGGCCAATGTTAGCTTGCGATTGTTGGTTGGATGCACGAACTTGCCCGATGAGACATCGTACATGTTCATCAATAATGCCTCATAAAGACCGAATCCCATACTCTCGATGTCAACAATGAGACCAAGTTGTAATGCGACTGACAACGAGACTGAACCGCTAGCGCCTGGTTCTTTAAACATACCGGTGCGTCTGTCGATCACGCCAGCGCGACACGTCTCTGCCAACGATAACAATCGTTCGCTACGCTTGTCCCAGTAACACGGCAACGTGGGGCTAATGATGCATTTCCTCATCGCTTCGTGTAACGTTACGCTTCTTCCTGTGCTGGAATCTGTGATCTTGCCTGTGTTATCGTCGTACAATCCTTGATGAATAGTACGTTGTAGAGAGACGGCGGCTCTGCTGTCAACGATAAGGCCGGATTCGAAGGCGTCCCTTAGAGATACGTTCCTGTTACTTTTGCTGGCATCCTTGAGATAACCAGTAGTGCCATCCACATAACTCTGATGTATAGCTTCCATCAACGTCATCGTTTTCCAGACGCTGGATCGAGTGTCTTTGACGGTAACCGAATCAGCGTCTATCAGATTCTTTTGAATAGCTTCCAATATTGTTAAATAAATTCCCGTCTGTGGATCTAAAAATTTATTGGTTTTCTCATCGAGAATACCCTTTGAAATAGCCTCGCTGAAGCTCATAGGTCTTCTTGTTTCAAGAAGCAGACCGCGTTCTAGCGCTTCCTGGAAGTCTACGGGTGGTCCTCTAGAGCGACTGACTGTTCCAGATTTAGGGTCGACTACGGAGGTCTTGATAGCCTTGTTAAACGTCATCACGTCACCGTTGGGATCTCGTACGATCGCAGTCGTCGTGTCTATCACGCCCATCTTAATTGCGCGATCGGTAGGGAGTTTCTCTTGCGTGTCAGGTACTGTAAATTGTCCGGTCTTTGGATCATATAAACCTTTGAAGACTGCGTCCGGTAAGGATATCTTGCGTTTCGCTGGCATGATGAAGCCGCGATCCAATGCATCTGTTAACGAAAGAGGCACACTGGTGCACGGATCGATAGCTGTACCAGTCTTCGCGTTGACGAAGCCATGCTTGATAGCGTCACCCAGAGATATAATATCGTTGTTTCTTGGATCTTTAATCGATGGACTGTCCTTGCTAATAAAACTCTTCTCGATCATCTCTTCTAAAGTATAATTATTACCGTCAATGTTAAAACTGCCAGTCTTCGGATCGTAAATTTGAAGAGCTAAAGCTTCTTGCAACGTCCACGGTTTCACAGTACTCAAGATGTATCCTTTCTCGAAAGCAATGTCCAACGTCATAGAATGTGGATAGTTCAATGTTCCTCTTACTAGATCTATCACCTTACATTCCTCTGCCTCGTTAAGGGAAATAACTTCGTCTTTTCTATCATCTTTGATTACTGTCGTGGAACCGTTAACGTAGCCAATAGCCAATGCCTCCTTCAGTGTTAGATTCTCGCCTGTCATGGGATTTAATACAAGGCCAGTTTTTGGTGAATAATACTCCTGAACGATTGTGTCAATTAATGAAAGCACAAACGGCGTTGTGATAATTAAACCTTTGTTAAGCGCTACGTCTAATGGTAGAAGTTCTCCCGCTCTCGTATCGCACAAACGACCTGTGCTGTGAATCAGGTTCATCGTCAGTGCGTCATCTAATGAAACGGATGAACCGGCCTTCGTATCCTCGATTTCGGTGATAAAAGCGTCGACAATGCCTCTACGAACACCCTCCTCAACATCGATCGGTTGTTTAGTAAATGGATCCTGTATTTTACCCATCTCGGTATCATAAAAACCTTTTCTGATAATGGCTTCCAGTGAGATCGGCTTGCGAGAAGTAGGCACGATCAAACCTCGCAAGAACGCGGACGTGACGACGTCGATTTCTGTGCTAATTTCGTCTTTGCGAAGATCGAGAGCTTCGGTTTCCAACGCCTCGGATAGTGACATAATCTCTTCAGTAATAGGATTTCTCACGCTAAGTAACTCAGGATCGATGAGTCCCATATCGATAGCCTCGCTCATAGATAACGCTTGTCCTGATTTAGGATCTTGAATCGTCCCCGTGATAGGATTACATATACCAGTATCGATAGCATCCTGCAAATTCAGAGGCTGCGATTTTGCGAGTGTTTCTTCTTCTACTTCGTCCTCTGGTTCCTGTTTAATCCATTCCAAGCGTACAGCCTCGAAGAACGGTATCTTCTTGCCAGTCTTCGGATCAACCATGTAAGCGACATTTCGATCTAAAAGAGGCTTGCTAATCGCTTCACGCAATGTCACATACGTGTCCGTCTTGGAAGACAGATTCTTGACAAGCACCCGATCAGGATCGAAAACTTGCAGATTCAAGACCAAATCATTGAAGGAAGTAACAGTGCCTGTCTCTGGATCCAAAAATTTTTCTCTTACCGGATCAAATACTCCATATTTCGCTAGAATATTAGGCGTTAATTCTTTCGTAATAATTATAGAAACTTGCTTAGGCATTTCTTCGATTGTCGTCAATTTACCATCGTCCTCTATTTCCATATCTTCAATGTCGATCTGTTCCGCATACGAAGGTTCCTCTCTCTGCGCCGATGAATGTTCTTGTGTCATTGCTGCGTTTGATTTTTTGCTTTCTTGCGAGATAGGCGCCTCACTTTTAAATGAATCAATACGAGAAAGTCCCTGGCTAACTTGAATTTGTTTCGAAATAATTTCTGTAGATGATTCCTTCTTTGCCACGGATGATTTCGCCGTCGCGAGTACACTCGGCTTTGTTTCTTTAGACTTGTGACTCGAAATTGCGTCGACTACTGCTTTTCCAGCCAACACCGGTGCGGCGATGACTGCCAAAAGACCCATTTTCGTAGCTTGCGCTATGTTAATTGGACGATTCTTCTGATCTCGCAAGGTCTCCATTTTTCCAGTAGCAGGATTGAGTAGGCCTTTTTCGATTGCTTCTTTAGTGGTAATTGCTTCTTTGGTTTTCACATTATAAAGCACGGAATCAGATTCGATTAAGCCTACTTCCATTGCTTCCTTTAAGTTGTAAGATTCATTCGTCTCGGGATCTTTAAACGTCCCGGTTTCTTCATCGTAAATCTGCTCGACCGCCTCTAACACGGTCAAACTGGTACTGGATTTTTTAGGTGATACAGATTCGCTCTTGCTAGATGAAGTGTCAAGAATTCCTTCCTCGACAGCCTTAGCGATAGACATTGTGGTGCCGGTGCAAGGATTGGTATAAGTACCTTTCGTCATATCCACGAATCCTTTTTCTACTGCGTGATCGAAGGACATTTTGATGTCTTTCGTTGTGAATTCCTCCTTGCTTTCCGATTCATCCTTAATTATTCCTCTTTGTCGAGCTTCTGTAATAGTAATAATATTCCCTGTGTTAATATCTTGCACCTCCGTTGCGCTCTTCAACGCGTAACCTGGCAAAAGTTCGACCATCTTGGTTGTGATAGTATGATATGACGTAATTGTTTCGGTGATAGCAGCTATTGTGTTCTTACCGCTGACTGGCGGTTTAATAATGAGTAGACCAGATTCAACAGCCTCGGCGATGGGGATTGGAGTTCCTGTAGTAGGATGGAAAAATATATCGTTATCCTTATCGATCAGTCCCGATTCCAGAGCTTTTGTTATTTCTATACTATCAGGTGCCACTGGATAAGGTAACGCCATGATGAAGTCTCCTTTTATAGCGGCTTCTAGTGGCAGATGTTCCCCAGTAATCGGATGACGAATTTCTTTCTTGCTCATGTCTATCAATCCACGTTTTAACGCGACAGGGAATGTCATTCCAGCCGGTGGTATATCGGAAGATTCGATTGGTTCCCTCAATTCGAATACCTTATTTTCTATCGCCTTGACTAGATTCACACTACCACTTTGCGTCTTCACCAACGATCTTTCTGCATCAATAGTATCATTCGCGATGGCAGACTGCAACGTTTCTGTATGACCGTCGACAGTAAATATCACGTTGGATAAAGGATCTACTATTTCGCATACTATAGCTTCGTTGAGAGTGAGATGCGCACCGGTTTCTGGATGAACGATTTTACCTTCCAAAGGATCTAACAAGCCTTGCGTATATAAGCTATGCACGGACAAGCTCTTTGCCAAGGGCACTAATATGTGTGCGTTTTCCGGGTCCAAAATTCCGCGATCGACAGCTTGCTTGATGGTAAGCACGTCGCCCCGTTGAGGATCCACAATCTGTCCCTGATCAGCGTTTATTTGATTGTCGCGAATAGCTTCCGAAAGAGTAATCGGTTCTCCTTTCTCGTTGCACATGTTCTTTGCAAAAGTATCCGCCGTTTCCATATCGATGAGACCACTCTTCAATGCCTCTTCAACCTTGACTATCCTCTTCCGCATCTTCTGAAGAACAATAGGCTTCGCTTCCCGTTCAGGACTCTGTGATACAGTTCTCGCTTTGCCAATTGTGACCTGATATCTCGGTTCGACCGTCACTCGCGCTCTAGTTTTCGTACCAAGACTTTCGCCATCTGGAACGTCACTGATGAACGAGTCAGTTAATGTTGCGCTCTTACTACTATCTTCCTTTGGCACGTAAACTTTTTCAGGTTTATCGTGTATTGTAACTTGTGCAATAATTTTTTCATGTTCGCCATCGGGTGTACCAGTTGCAGATTCAATAATCGGTGAAGTTGCGTTGTCATGCATTTGAATGATACCACGTTCGATGGCGACTTCCCTCGGTATTTTCTTGCCAGTTACTGGATCTTTAACCATCGTTCTTTGCACCGCTTCTATAGCAGCTGCGGTAGCCGCAAGAGGAGCACCAAGAACGGCTATTACTCCGAACTTCGCTGCATCGAGCAGCGATATTTTCCTGCCACCGTCGATTTTATATTCACGTGTGTTCATGTCAAGAATGCCACGATTGACAGCATCCGCCATGCTAATATCTTTACCAGTTGTTGGATCCTTGACGATTACAGCGGTAGATGGTATTGTTCCTTCAGAAACTGCGGCCAGAAGATTTTCAGATTTGCCGGTTTTTGTGGAGATCACCAAAGCCGTTCCTGGATCGTAAATTACTCCCTGAGTTACTTGTACCGGATCTGGCAAGGAGACTTCATCGCTGACCTTTATTTCCGTTTGTTGAGAAGGATCGCCAATATGCGTCAACTCTACTTTGTCAGGTTGACCCGAAACTCTCGTGATTTGCAGAAGTCTTTGATTAGCATTATCACTGTCGGTATTCAATTCACCTTCTAATATAATCAGTCCGTTCGCGATCGCTTCTCTCATGGAAATCTTTTGCGGATAACTATAGTGACCTGTAGAGTCTAAAATATTTTTTTCTAAGCTTCGAACCAAGGACACTTTTCTTCCATTATTGGGATCGATAACAAAACCAGAATTTGGATTAATAATTTGTAGCTTAATGCATTCTTCAAAGGAAACTAATCTGTCGGTGCCTGGAATTATAAAAAGACCTGTCGCAGGATCAAAGAGTTTCCTGTCGATAGCCTCAGCGAGTGTCCAACCATCCGCGGGTAGCTCAAACACTCGTTTATCAGTGGAAGCACGTTCACTCTCTATAAATTTCGTGATCTCTGATTTGTAACTTGTAGTTGGCGTTGTTAGTGTGGTTGATGTAATTATTTTTGATTCCATATCTTCTTTTTCGTCAGGTGATTTAGGAGTGCCTGTATGACTTACTACATGTGTTTCTTCAAAGAGATTTGTTTTCAATGTTATTTCAGATGTTTGAGATTTGATCGCTTCATTAATTGTCGTAGATGTCGTTTTTCCAGTCTTTGGCGCGAGTGAATCTGTCACAGAAGGAACAGAATCAGTTGGTGAAATCGTCATTGTAACGGAAGATAATTCCTTCTTCGGTGTGGAAGACGCTGGTGGAGTTATCTCTTTCGTAATGATAGTAGTAACCGTTCCAATTGCTCTAGGCGGTGACTCGCTTCTTTTAGATATATCATCGATACTTGTCGTTAAAGTGCTCTCGAAAGTCGTATGTGCTGAATCCGGAGTGCGTTCTCGAGACGAATGACTAATATATTGAGCATCATTACCGAGTAGATTCTGCTCAACAGCATCTTCGATGGACATCGTTATTCCCGAATCAGGATCTTTGAATTCATTTCTATCTTCGTCAATCAATCCGCTGTTCAATGCTTCTTCATAACTCATTTTGTAATCTCTCGTAACGACCTCGCCGGTATGCAACGTCGTCACGTACTTCCTAATAGTCTTCGTCACAGTTTGCGTGGTGACTGCAATGTTCAGCATACTGGTGAGTAATGCGGCACCATCAGGAGTAATGAGTCCACGCTTAATTGCCTCTTCCAGAGGAACTATTCTCTTACTACGCGGATCCAGGATTTGACCGGACTTTGGATCAAGCAAGCCGAGCAATACGGCTTCCAAAACACTCACTTCGCATCCATTTTCGATGATACCGATACCACGATTCAGCATCTCTAGCACTTCCGGTCTAATGTATCCTTGTTCTTCCGCTTCACTCAACGAAACGGTCTTCCCAGTTTTCAGATCGATCGTAAAAGTACCACCGGATTTTGAACTAATCAAGCCCTTCAGCAAAGCCGCGTTCAGACTAATATATTCGCCAGAAACCGGATCCTTGAAACCGTCGATGTCAAAGATAGTTTTTTGCGTTACGGACGTAATCAAACCTTTCTCAACGGCTTGAGGAATAGACAGTTCTTCGGCCTTTAACATATCCCGATATGTACCTTCGACTTTAATTATACCATTGGCTAAGGCATCCGCGAGCGTGATCATTTCACCCGTTCGAGTATCTACTATAGATTTAATATTCTCCGAGTCTAAAACGCCTCGAGATATGGCCTCTAGTATCGTTAATTTACTGCGATGAGCCGGACTGACGATCTTACCCTTATCGTCAATGATTTCCAAGTCGCAACAATCTTTGAGCGTCATCGGCTTAACAATCAACTGCCGACGACGAGCTTCCTTAAACGGCAGCTTCTCCATCGATAAACCATGCATGTATTTGCCGCTCTTGGAGTTCAGTATACCGCGTGTCGTGGCTTCAGCCACCGTCACCTTGGTATCGTTCCGCGTGTCCACGATCTCTCTCACCTTCGGCTCGATAATACCTTTGTCGATCGCCTCGTCCAACAGATGGGACTCACCGGTAATCCTGTCGATAATGCGGCCGGATCGATCGTCCACGAGACCCTGAGATATCGCGTCCGAAAGCGCGATGGCGTTACGGCTCACCCTAACAGTCACGTCAACCTTGGTAAGGTAACCGCGCGAGTACGCCTCCTCGATCGAGATCCGTTCGCCATTCTCGGCGACGACTTCTCCCGTGGCCGGGTCCAACAAACCTTGCTTCATCGCATCGACAACGCTAATCCCCGCGACGGCGCCGCTTTCGGCGCCCACTGTCGTTACCTTAACTCGGTCCGCGATGTCCGCCCGCTCGGCGTCGCAGAGCTCCCGCTGGATCGCCTCGAGTAGGGACACCCGACGGCCCTCCTCGGACTTGACCCCGCATGGACCTAACAGCCGATCAGCCAGAGCGATGTCGATGATACCGTCGCGCGCGGCCTCCTCGATCGACACGCTCGTCCTGCCGTCGCTCGACGTCACGATCCTACCGTTCCTAACGTCGAGGATTCTGAGTCGAATCGCTTCGCCGACTGTCAGGACCTCGCCGCTGCTCGGATCTACGATACCCCTAACGTCAATCACGTTCTCCGCGCCGACAACACCCCCATCATCGACACGCGGTACCCTCCTAAGATCCCTAAGCTCGCTACTAAACCCGCCGCTGTCCACGACGGATGAGAACTCTTGCTGCTGATGATGTCGTCTATTGGAGGAGCTCGTCGTCTCGCTCTCGTACGAGCGTTTCGAGCTACCACCGATGGGTGAAACGACCTCCGGACTGGTGGTCTCGCCATTAGGTCGATACGGAGTCTGTTCTGCGCTGTAAATTCGCTTCGAGGTTTCGCTCGAAAATGTCGTCTCGGTGGACTCATGTCTCTCGGAGGTGTATCTAGAAGTCATGTGGAAAGATTGTGATGTAGAAATATTAGTGAAATATTAGACGTATACCATGAAAAAAAGCTTAAATCTATTTTCTGAATATACGCCTTGGAAATTGTTTTGTGAAAAGCACCTCGATCGTTCAATGCTGCTCTAAATAAGCAAGACCTTCATCAACTTTTCATACTCACTGCGACTGAGTGTAGTGTGTGGTTGTGGATGTATAACGCTCCTCGCTAGTAGTACTTTCATATATGTTGAACTCTGTACGGAACGTTCGCAGTGGCCTCTGTTCTTGAAGAACACGCTGAAAGCAAACATTGCGTTACTTATGCAGGAAATATTTGAAAATGCTATACGTGAATTTAAATATTCATATCTCTATGAATGAGGTTTCAAAAATCTGCGAGGCCATTTTGTAACGCAAATAGTCCCAGATTTTTTATTAAATTTACAATCTTATCCAATTTTTCTTCAATAATATCAGCATAAAAAATTATTTTTTAATATCAAATATTAGAGAGATAGAAATTTTTTAACATCAAATGATATTTTATTGTTTAAATTAAAAATATTTTTTAATATTTCTTGATCATTCATTAAATCCACCGCGAAAGCAACTAATGTCATTAATGTCTTTACGAAGATACCAAACGCATCTGGTTCGATCTGTCGATCTCTAATTCCTAAATCGGATGGACAGCTACGTCAACATCTATGCTATAATCGTTCGCTACATAAATCATGTACTTTTCATATTTAAACGAGCCGTGACGAGAGACGCATAAGTTTACATATGTGAGAAACTAGAATATAATTGGACCATATGCTGTGCTAACTCTTTCGACCGAGATGAGGGACTCTTAAATATAGCAGTGTTCGCGACGCACGCGCCGAATACACTTTAGTCTTATGCAAAATTCTAATGCGACGTGGCACGCGCGCCTTCCCTTTAATTAGCTAATTCCGAACGCGAAACATCGGACTCGCTTTATATGCGTCCAGGGAACCAGCAAGTCATTCGCTTATGTCATCGCGATTTGTATCATTCTCATTGTCTGACACATGAATTCAAGATATATGACGGAACACGTGCGATCTGACTAAAATAAAAAACAATTCCAGACGCTTTGAAATCTCAATGAAAAAAAAATAATAATTTAGTTGCACCGAAATATTTTGCAAAATTTTCTATGCACGGAGAGAATTTTCTCTTAGAATTTACCTTGAAAATCATGGTAATCGGGAGAAAATATGGTAGTGGAAGAATTTTATAAGAGTTTCATATTAATATGTTTTATTGTCATTGGTGGTAAATATTAATCAGAGAAAGTCTTATAAAATTCTTCCAATATGATTTTTAGGATAAATTCTAAGAGTACAATCTTTGTGTTATACATAAATTTTAACATAAACGCAGACGACATGCGATAAAATTATCGAAGTCGATGTTTGATAGAAAAAACCGAACTATAAAGTTTTGAAAAAATTTTAGGAAATCGCAGCTGCTCCATGAATAAATTAAAAGCTATTCTAAATTAGCATCAAAAGCTTAAATAAAAAAAATAGCAATTTATATAGCTATAACTCTGTTGAACATAAAATGCGACGAGAAAGAAAAATCATCGCCAAAGTAATATTTCCAGCTCTATAATAATATTAATTGTATTTACAACATTTGCATCAATAAAGCAATTTATTTCAATAAATTTAAAATTAACGAGAAAAAATTGATAACCCGTAATTGATTTATCTGCATCATAAATTCATCAATCGAAAAAATTATATTAATGTAATCGCTGACCTTCGACAGTATCGATTGCCTTTACGCTATCGGTCGCATAATTACATGGGTGTGTGATGTGTGTTTAAAATTTGTATTTGCACATTCGAAAAATAATCGGGAAGCCATTCAACTCGTCTATATAAATAGTGCACAAACATATGTATTTCGAGGGTTGTGTTTCGCTGTCAAACATTTTGTCACTGTTGATTTGTAATGCACGAGTGATGTAGCTTCATTAAGAACATATGCACAAAATCTCCTAAGAGCATCATTTTTACACGATGAACAGACAGAGATAAAAGAAAAGTATTAATTTTAGGTTCTTCAATTTCAGAATGTCAAACAATTAAAATTAAAAATTCTTTAGTGAACAAAATATCAGGGAGAGAGATCCATAAGAACTTTTACTATGAAGAAATCAATTCCGCCTATTAATCTAGAAAACCGTCGTCCAAATATACCGGCCAGTATTTTTGGGTCACCCTGTGCACGCGTTAAAATAAGAATCCGCTATTTAGATGCACGTCGACACACATGAATCCGAAGAGTCGAGCTCTCCCGGGAAAATAACAATGCAATTGCAATGTCTGCAATGCATCTGCCACGTGAGAATGCATCCATATTTCTATACTTATAAATATTTCATTCGCGCGAAAATCGATTCTTAGAGAATCGTGCTACCGATAACAGGCTTGATGCAATCATTTATCTTGCCGGATCAGCGTAATCAAAAGCATAGTGATAAGAGTGTAATGACTGAGTCAAACGTCAGCGAAAAGTTTCGTAAATATCATACGTATATGTGGAAATTGTAATTCTAAATTAAATTCTCTGAATTCTATCTAAGTTGAACATATTGATTTTAATTTTTTTAATTACTTCACTTTTTTTATCGTGAATATGTAACGAAGTTGACAATTCCGCGGTTTCGCTTATATAAGCCTATACTTATGCGTATACATATTCGATAAAATCTAAATGCAAATATATATATGAATATAGACGTTGGCAATAAAGTGCATAAGACTGAATGTGAAATGTCGGTGATAAAGTTAGTCGATATTTGTAGAAACAATAAACATCGGTCCTGCGAAATATTCACCTATTCGAGTTTACGCAGAACGCACGAGCTAAAAGTTAAGTGGTCTGAACTTTTGACAGAAATAGGACTCCAGAAAATATTACCAGATGTGCCCAGAAGATCGTAAAGAATGACACATAAAACTCACAAAAAGAAGTCCTCAAGAATTATTAATTTAAAAATATAAAAATTTTGTCGGAGAATTTCACAAGATTACGCACTCACAATTTGATATTCAATAAGTTTGATATTTAATAGTGCAAAATTAAATTCAGAACATTTTAAAATGTGTCAAGTTTTAAATAAATATAGAGACTGCAAAAAATTTATCATTTTTTTTAATCATAGAGAAGACACGAATCATTTCAACATATGTTAACTTACAACTTCAAAAAAAACTATATCATTTTACGTGATAATTAAAAAATGTTCGACACACATGAAATGGCACTTAAAAAGTAACATAAACTCATAAAAAATGCATCGCCTCATGGTCTTCATCTATCAAACACAAACACTAATATCAAACTTCTACATAACTTGACACTCTAAGATCATAACACGCTCTCTTATTTCCGTAATAAAAATTCCATAATGAATCTTTCAATCAATTTATCACTGAATCACGCATGTCTAATAAGAATATCTATCTCCAATTTCGCTGATCGAATACCGGCATTCATTTCATTCTACGAGGAAGACGATATGTCATCTTCTCGTACCTTTCGCACGATCATCATGATCGCTCACATCGGAGCGTGTCCACGTTTCCACCTAACTCTACGACCACGAAGACGAGACAAAATCGCCGGCGAGCATGCTCGACGTAGAGACCGGTCAGTCGCGCAACCTCGCGAGTTTCTCACTACGGCTTCCTCCTCTCGGATGAGAGGCGAATGCCGCCGACGCGACGCACACCGCCGTCCCCAGTAGCGCATCCGTGCGTGGGCGCGACTGGCGATGCGTTTCAGGGCGCTTTTTCGTACATTCAGAATTTTGACGGATTACGCGGTCCATCGCCGAAAACCGGCCTTGACCGATTTAATCATCTGCGATTTAAATGGCCCTCATCGAGCGCGCGCGCGCGTTACGCAATCGACTACGCCTTTATTCTAAGAGAGAGAGAACTATTTATTGCGAAATTTTTGCGATTGTTGATGTAACTCTGCCTATTCGATGTTCGTTCTCTCATGTATTTCGAGGTCACCCCGAGACACTTGTAATAAATATATCACGCGCCGGTGAAGATGTCAAGCATTGAGGATGCGGCGACTTAAGCGTCAAAAATCGAGATTGTCGGCTAATTTTAAACGGTATCTGCTGGAAAACAAATTCAAGATTTATCGTGTTTTCGAGATATTAATTTCTCCGCGTCTAGAAATTTAAATTGAAGGTTTCAATTACCGGAGAAAGAAACTTAATTATATTCAGCAAGCGTGATGAGAAGATAATGAACGTACAAGCGAAACTCGCGCAATCCCTCCCCTTCGCTTGGTGGCAAAATTAATTGAAATATAAACGCGATATGCTTCATAGAGATATACACATTTTTTTAATTTTTCCTTTAAATTAACGCATTAATTAATGCAGAACAACAACGGAGGGGCCTGGACGGATACGAACGCGCCGCCACTGCTCTTCTATCTTTGCGCCGACATGCCTATCGATCCCGACACGAGACCGACACACGAGCGGGAAAGACGAAAAACAGTCGGTTAATCGAAATGAAAGTCGGTCGCGTGTTGTCGTTCCGCTCAATCATGACGAAGCCTTGAGATATACCGGCGTGACGAACATGAACGTGAATGTGATAACGCACGAATTTATAGGTGACAGCACGCTGAACTGATGATTATTGGAGGGAAAAAAGTCTCCTTCCGGCGTTTTCCCTCGTACGATTTCTCGACACAATTTGCAAGGTCTCGATCGCGCATTGCTAAAAAATCAGTCGCTATTTCTGATGCCGTCGTCATTCGGAATATAATTATACCTGCGAGAGATGTAGGCATACAGGTTTTCATGATGAGAGCGCTCGTTCATATGTTCGCTTGCCTCATCTCCGCTCATTAATTTCAATCTTATGTCACTCGCGGTTCGGTGAAGTGGAAAAGTTTCGACTGACTTACTTCACGAAAGAATATATCTTTTTGTTCGCGATATTTATTAAAGAGGAATATGCATTCGTTTGATTATCGCAAGAGCTATCTTCGAAGAGGAATAATTAAGATAATTAAAAACACTTCAACTTTCAAACTAATTCTCGTTTAATGTAAATTTTTAAAAAAATTATACTCTATATAGGAAAGAAGATATTATTTTTCAAGCTTTCACACCATGCTTTCTCCTTTCGGAAAATGTTATTTAGAAAATCTAGAGCTCGTAGGCGAACAACTTTGTTAATAAACTCTCGAGGCAACGCGATCGCGTGATTAGAAATAGTTCTAATTCATTATCATGATGATGAGCCATTCGCCGAATATCGAAGTGTTACACAATCGAAAGTTTAATAGCGGATTCTCCACTTCGTGGATTCTCGACGTTCGCCCATCAGCAATGCAAATTGCAGACCTTGCCGAGTTTCGGTTTCCGAGATTAATTCCGTTCACGTTTCGACACGCCGCACTCATACACGCATGTGCTAAAGATTAAATACTAATCTAAAATATCCACCGGTTCGCCTATAACAATTTTCAGCCGACTCAATTGCTCAATAATAGCGACAGAAGAAATATGAAATGCTAGATTATGCAATGTCTCATTCAGAGATCAACTTCATTAGAACCACATATGACAGTGTTCCTAAAAGAATGTTGTATTGACAAGGCCACAAAAACTATGTCATACAACCTTCTCTCAGAAACGATTTGAATCAAAATAATATGCGTGACTCACCTGTAAGGAAATGTCTTCAGGATGTAGCAGCGCCAATTGCTTAATCCGTTCCTCGAGCAGGTTCACAAGGGTCGTATATCTTCGGTTCAGCGTATCTAGATCGCGCGCAACATTATCGACCGTAATAACGGAATCTCTTCGCGGCCTCTTCACCGAGGCGTCCAACGACGGGCAGATATCTTCCAATTGTTCTTTGAACGCTCGGAGCCTCTGTCCGTAGATCTAGGGGTTTCCGGTTAGTCCGTTATGGTTAGTGAAATTAGATCGCTGTGTGTGTGTGCCAATTACCGTTAGCCTCCGAAAGCGACAGCGAGAGGTGAGGCGTTGAAAACTGCCACGCGAATCGTTATCGCGATCTTTTGACAATTCAATGCGATCCCGATAAACAGAGGCATAATAATGCGATAGCTATTCGGGGGTACGTTAAGTTTTAAATATGTTTCCAATAAGATTTTGGGAACTACACGTAGTAATCGCGCTAAGAACAAGCAATTAATTATATAAATCGCGCTACATTAATTAATATTGATAAAAAAAGAGCACAAAGAATAATACACTTAAAATGCCAAAAGTGTCAAAATGTGTCGTGAACACTCGTTACATCTATCTTCGCGAACTGTGTATTAATCGATCAGGCTCCACTGTATGCATGCTATGGAGTTATATCTATGAATACAGAGTTCTCTGGGAAAGTGTCAATCATATTGTAAAGCATTTAAGCGATATGCGCGTCTAAGATTTATAAAAAAAATAGCACTAAATCGCCGCTAAACACGAGGTCGTGCAGCTCATTCAACCGTGCTTCTGATGTAATTGAGTTAACGAGGTTTCCGTTAAGGTTAAAAAGGAGAGAAAGTCCCCAGTGATATTATAAATGCGCGTTGCTTCGGATTATATCGTCCCGTGTGTTACGTAAGTAAGTATATTTACTTAGTGAAGTAACGACAGTTAAAAGACGCTTTATGCCGTTTTAAGGCACTAGGCCCGGATATACAAATAGAAAATTCTATCTTGTAGATAGAAAATTAATGTGTCATCTCGTGACGTCGACATGAAGACGCCGAAAAAACAGCAGCAGATTCGACTGTAAAGGAACGTTCATGTTTATAAACAGCAGATGCAGCGCGTCTCAGTGCGTCTTGCAACTGCTTGCTCGATATCCCAGCCGCTAAAGAAAAACAGTCGCTCCGACGAGTGCTAAATAAAAAAGATTCATCGCGCACATAATTTCTGAAAATCTCGAAACCCGTAAAAATTGTGGTTGTGATGAGACCTGTATGTATGTAAGACACACGCAGAACTCCATTCATGCAAGCATTCACACCGTAAGCTAAGGCTACCTATAAGGCTTACTAGCACCGAATTGAACATCACGATCCATCTTGTTATTACCTTTCCTTCGCGAATCAGTCTGCCGCCAGTCATGTTCACTGCCTCGATTGCCAGCGTGCGATCCAGTACATTGCCCAGCAGATTCTACAAACACAAAGACGCATTGATGATTTCACGATCTTATCGAGAACATCACGAAAGAGAATAATATATCGATAAAATCTAACATTACCTTCGTGTTCTCCACCTCGAGCTTTACGTACGACTCGTCGACAAAGTCCACCTCGTTCTGATACGAATTTTGATATTGTTGTGCCAATCCATAAGCCGTTTCGGCGCTTCTCAGCCTATCGACTAACTGTCCGCAGACGTTTGTCCATCGCGCGTTCAATTTGTTAACTTCAGCATCAAGTCTGTCCATGTCGCCATGTGGACCGCGGTGATTCGGTCTCGACTTCTCCACGAGACGTCTAGCATTATGCGCATCTTCGTTTAGTTGATCTACCGATACTTGCTGATGCGCGATAGCGTTCTGCAAAACCATAAGATCCTCTAATACGATTTGAAGACCCTTGACGTCCGCAGGTAATTCGCCAAAAGAGGCTAATTTGATTTCAAACTCGGAGATAACTGTCGTATTTTCCTCGAGACTGGATAAAACAATTTCGACGCATTTCAAACGTTCAATGTACAAGTTATGTAGATTCCACAGATGTTTCCATTTGGTCGTGATGTTATCGAGCTTGTTCCTCATAGCCGGAGTCTTCAAAGTAATTCCGCGGAACGTCTGCTGTATCTCTTCCACGTCTGGCGCTAAGCGTTGTAAATTCTGTTCAAAATCTTTATGTTGTAGCACAAGATATTCTAGACTATCGATATCTCGAGGTAAAGGCGCGGCTATGCGCGAATTCAATATTCTTTCAGCTTCGTCGAGTGCCTGCTGAAGTGAAGACGCCTGTTCATTGAAAATGCGCCCGGCGTTCTTCGATTCTTCCTCGGCCCTGGCGCGTTTCTCGAAATCATCGAAAAGTCGGTTAACATCCGCCATTTCTCGTTTCAATCTTCTAAGCTGTGGATCCGCTGGATCTCCCTCGGAAAGCAATTTATTTGCGTCCTCGTTCAACGCGTTTCTGATAACAGTGCGTTGATCTTGTCCCATTGCCAAAAACTGCGGCAAGTCCCAACCTTTGACCACTTTGATAGTCGCAAATATCATGTTTTGTCTTAGTCTCAATTCTTTTCGTTGCCAGAGAGCGATACTTCTGTCATATTGCCGTCTCAATCTTTCCGCGGCATCCAATGCTTCCTTATCAGGAGGTTGTAACGCAAAGCAGACACCCGGTACAGGAGATTCTACACCCTGCGTGTTTTTGACGCGCCACTTAACTCTGCCAGAATTGTCGTATAATGTGCATTGCTCTCCTTTATCGATGGACATCTAAAAACATTATATAGATAAGAAATATGTATATTTAAAATGCCGTGTTTCTGAATTAAGAAATATTGTGTAAATAATACTTACATTGACTTGCTTGTAATTACAGATGCAAGTGACCTGTAACGGTCGTACAACAGGTTGCTTGCGTTGCTTCATTGGAACGATATCCTTTGCTCTCTCCACAAGTCTCTGCACGTGAATATGACAATTATTGAGTTCCTCGCGCAACTCTTGCATGCCCTTCAAAAGCCGTTCTCCCTCATCCAACGAGAAATCAGATTGCGAGTAAATGGTATTCAATGTTTCGTCGTGTTTGGAGATCAGCTGCTCGGTCTGTTGAATGTCTTTAAAGAATTGCTGGTTTTGTGCGGCGTGTCTCAAATGCACCTCGAGACACAGAGTGAGTTGTAGCAGCCAGGCCCATTGAGTTTGCATCGCTGACATGTAGGCTTCGATAGTTTTCGCCGCGGGATGATGCTGAAGAATTAATGCCTCACCGCGATCTTGCACTGCAGAAAATTGTATCTCGCGCTTCTCCAAATCGCTCATCAAAGACTGCAAGCAAATAAAAATACATGTTTTTCCGATATGTGCATTTTGAAAATATAATTTATATCAAAAATTTAGTCACAATCGAATAAATTTATAATTAAAAATTAAAGAAAATAATCTTTAAACAAAATTAAATACCAGCTTAAAAGTTAAAAAATATAAGTATATATTTTTCCATACTCTTTACCTCTATGCCTGATCCATACGTTTGCTTTAGAAAGAAGAAAGTCTCCAATTTATTAATTCAATTTAACAAAACAAGAAATACTGTTATATATTGTGATAAATTTTAAAACTTTACAATATAGCAAAGTACTATTTAAGTACTTAAATACTATTACTTAAGTATTATTTTATCTTTTTAGCTAAAAGTTTAGAATATTACAAAACTACATTTTCATCGGTTCATTAAAAAAATTATCCAATGACTAACCTCGTAATATTGTTCAATACTCTGTACATTAAGGTTTTTGTCGCTCCAGTCACGCGTGACTTCAGTTTCCTCTTTAGCGTTCAACCAAACCAGTTCACCAGTCGCCGATTGTATGAAATCGTTTAAGGTGTCCAAATCAGAGAGTCTTTTATTCGATATGGCAAGAAGCTCGGCGTAAAGCTTCTGCAGAGTGCTGAGATGCTGGCTGTACAACGTGAGCTCTTCACCGTGGAAATTGTTCTTCGCTTGTACGCACTTGTCGACCTTGGCCTGGAACTGATCGATGTTTTTGTGCTCTCTCTGATGTACGTCTAATTCATTTTGCACGCTAGGCAAATCCGATCCATAGTCCGCTTCTTGCAGATGCTTCAGTTTGTTCTTACACCAATCTATGCAATCGTGTAACGCACGGAAATGAGGATTGGTATCAACTAATCGTGTTTCGTGCACTGTAGTGCGATGTTTTGTGACAACGCGCTCTTCAACGGGGAAGGACACCGCGGAGAGTGGTTGCACTAGACGTCTGTGCAAGAGTGATCGTAGTACGACCCATCTTTGATGCAATTTCTGCACTCTAAAAATCAGAATAAATATTTGTCAAAATATATTTTATTTATCATATTAATTAATACTGTTTTAGAGCATACATTATTAAATTTAAGAAAATATTAAATAATACGAGATAATTTGAAAATCGCGATAGAGTTTGATTTTCGAAAGCTGATATGGAAAGCGCGCTAATAGTTCACTCATTAATGAAAATTATGAGAGTAGAAACGTAATTATACATAGTACAAGCATGATGATCACGTTACACGCGGATGATGATTCCTGATTGCATATTAATATTTTAGAGTGAATCTTTTTATAATTTATGATAACACACACATGAAATAAATATCTTGATGTTTTACCTTTTATGAAGCTCAGGCGCCTGACTGTATCTACCCTCCGTAAGGGTGTGAACATCGGTGAATATATTCTGTATCTGGGTTTCCGTGCTGCGTATATCCTGCTCCAGCAAGTCCACTGCGTGTTTCGCCTCTAAAGGATGAAGACGATCGAGCTTGCGAGCCTCATCTTCCACGCGTCGTTCGAGCTCCTCCAGTCTATTGTCGGTCGTTTTCATCTCGCGATGCACTTTCTCGGCAAGTCGTTGCAGACGCTCAAGTCTGCCAATATACACGTGCAAACACATATATAAATATATAATCAAGCATTTTTACGTTCAATTTATACAAGTATGATGATAAATGTGTGTACCGTTTAATTTCGTCGATAATAGATTGCTCGCGTTCCTGATGTAGCATTATCAGACGATTCCAATTCTTCTCTATGACTTCAATATGCAATTCCGGTTCCATATCCACCTCACCCACCGCTTCGAAGTACTTTTGCAGATCTCTGAAGATGTACGTCAACCGCTGTTTGTCCCTGTATCGCGGTGGAACCTCCTCGTTCTTAAACTTGGTACTGTCAGCTGCTAGTTTTTTCATCTCAATCAGAGTCGGTGGGAAGGATCGCTCCTGCATGAGAGCCATCTTCTCGCGGATCCACATGTGAAGCGAGGTCGCGAGTTCGCGATATTCCGCGGATCGTCTTTGTGCCTCGGCATCGTATAGAGGGTGAATGGCCGGCGGCTCCGGGAACACGTCGTAGAGCGAAGAGATGTACGTTATCAAGGACTTCTCGTCTGGTTCGGGGGTATCAACATCTGCACGAAACGTACAAGGGTTTGCATAAATACATGTAGAAGACGAATGTAAAATGATCATTTTTTTGGAAATTATTAGTAAATTTCAAATTTATCATTCTTTTTAATCTTACAAATCTTGAAAACAAGTGATTTTGTTATCAGCGCCGAGATAAACTACCGATATTTATTTAAAAATTATTAAAAAGCAATATAAATGTTATCTATTTACCCGAGAAATCTAGTTAAACCTGTCGCAGTAAGCCGTATCGAATTCTGGATATACTATCTATCTGTGTATTCCGTTTCGCTTTCCTTGCAACCTGACCAATGTCAGATATATATCTACGAGACCCAAGTATATAGAAAGCACAATTACGACGACTGCCGATGGCGCGACGTTACGGTATACGAACCGAGACCGGAAGCGATTCTGGTCAGGTACCGTGACCAGAAAGAACGTGCACTATGCATGTATGTATATCCGTGCAGAAACGCACGCGGGAAACCTCACGCACTCATATACGCAAACATAGAAAAGATACGACAGGTAGGCTGTGAAAGGTCTCTTTGTGAGATGAAGCCGCAAGCTCGAAATGATGCACGATAAATCGCATACACAGAGAAAAAAAGTCTAACGGGTATGTTCCGGTTTTTTCTCTGCTTTAAATTTACAATTGAATGACATGTATGATAATTCATTTTTTTCGTAGGTTACTGAACGACGATTTTAGAGATAATTAATTGCAGTTCGGTAGAGATATGCTTAATCGATTGTTACCTTCTGGATCGAGAAGCCTGGTAACGCCGTACTCGCGCTCGGCGACGTAAAAGACCCGATCGAGTCGCTCGCGCGGCTGGCTCGAACGTGCATTTCTCCAATCGACGAGATCCGGCCGATTCCGGTGGAGAAGAGCACTGAAAGCCAAACCATCCCGCCAGGAACCAGTAAAGTCGGTCACTCGGACGCCAGGATATCGGGCGGTCGATCGTCGGGCCCATCTCAGGAGAGCCTCGCGCGCTGTCACGTTCGGTTCCTGACCGACTACTATATCGGATATCTGCGAACAGAAAAAAAGGATTATCTATATAATTTATGCCTCTATATCGACTTGGTTTATAGGCAAATAAGTTCGGTGATAATGTCGATCCTTCACTCTTCTTTTAACATCGTTAAGCGGTCATTAGACATTTGTTTAAAATAATTTTATCGAATAATTTAAGATTGCGCGAATTTTGGAGAATTTAAGAGATTTGTGGGATTTGAGGGTTTTGAAGAATTTATGAATTTTGAAGAACTTGAAGCTTTTTAGGAATTTGAGAATTTTTAGACTTTGAAAACTTCGAGGATTTCGAAATCCATATAGGTTTATTATTTGACATTATCAATCATAAAATCGTGCGCATTATATTAATATAAATGCACATATTCGTAATCTTTCACAATTATAATTTCGAATTTGATGTTAATAGAAACTGAACGCTGCAACCTTTGAAGAACTATTGACATTTTACGAGGCGACCGGCGCCGAGAAAACATTGATCACGACTTTAATCACACGATTTTAAAATATTATTAATTTATAATTATATAAAATAAAATTTTATTATTAATTTAATTGTATAAAATTAAAGTTAAATTAAAATTTTTATCTCGTATATTTATGTCGTGGTATTTATTTTAAATTTATTATATGATAATGTAAAAATTCATGAATATATGTGGAGCAAAATAATTCTAAAAACGGCTCCCTCGTGAATGCGATTTTTGTGTATTAGGATGGCTCAGTTTCTCACGTTATACTTTAATGCCAGGAGTTATCTTATCTCACATACATACATATATGCATAAATGCCATATCATACCTATACTATACATCTGTTCCATATATACATCTTCCTATATTTTCTTGAGTTACACATACTCATCGATTGTCAGAAATTACGTATTATTGTTACCTAAGGGCGTAGTTCTCGTTTACGTTCACTGAACCAACGCTATAGTCTTGCTCACATTTTCATAGTAAAAACAGGTAACCGACAAAAACGTTGCACGTAGTAGTATTCTCTTCGAAAAAAATAAAATTATTTCAAAGAATTGATTTAATAATAGCGCAACAGAATTATTTCTATTTTTCATATGTAAAACAGGAAAAAACAAGCTAAGCTTTACATATTTCCACGTGTCTGTTTCATTCACATACTTGTTTATCTCGAGATAATTTCAACTCAATAATAATATAATAAACAACAGCTTGACAACTTCAATATTTGAGAAATAAATAAATCATTAAACTAGATAATATATATATATAAATGTAAAAAAGAAAAAAATAATGTATATCTAAACTCCTGTTTCTTTCCCATGAAAGCTCTTCGAGAGATGGTGGAATAAAATAGTAAATTAATTTATATCAAATTCCTCAGATGTTTTTCGCGAAGACATCCCCACTTCAGGCTCTCTCGGTTGTTCAACGATGAGAGAGCACTTGACCGTCTGGCCGACTACCAAATTCGCTCAAGTAGCGAAATAATAGAGACAAATATCGTTGGCAATAGACTTGACATTAACACCGGCCGGTCTGAAATTGAGATCGCGTTCATTTGAGAGACCGCTGCTCTGCCATTGGCATTGATAAAGGCCGACGTTTAATATTCGGGTCATTGCGGTTTGCGCATGTGAGATATGCGTTACTCACAGGAGGATGAGAAACAGCCGTTTCGACTGTACCATCTGTTTTCCCCAACCTACGCAATTCGCAGCAACAGGTTGCTGCGGAAGGACGTGGGACGAGGTAATTTCATTTATCGAACGCGCTCTTTCAACCAGATTTACATCGGATTTCGAGGATATCGACTACTGTCCTCTTGATCCTCGCGAATCTCTCGTCCGTCACCATTGAGCAACATCGAAAGCGGTTATCGACAAATAAGTAGAAACCGCATTTTTGCCGACTTTCATTCTTCATGCGCCGGTATAATTAACGTCTCGAACGCGTCCTTCCAGTTTGAGCCGAGGTAAATAACATACGTATCTCTCTCGTGCTCGAGTGTTAATTTCGCAGAAGCGAAATAACGGATTAAGAGCAGAACGGTAATAGAGCTACGGGATGCCGAGGCGAGTTGCCGTTGTAAGCGTTCTAATCCTAATTAAGGCGACGCGTCCGTTACGACGAGAGAGAGTGTTTCTTTTGGAAGAGCGTTTAAATCGGGTATATACGAGACGACTTCTAACGCGAGTATATCTTTCCCAGCTCTCTGAAACGTTCGTGGAAATATCATCTCGTGCTTGCCTTACTTTCAACTACGCTCGCCAAATATAGATACTTGCTGAAGATATATATAGCCTCGACAAACTGATTAAAATGCTCAATTGTGGCGATATTAGTCCCATTATCTTCTCGATCTAATACGTAATCCAATAAAATAGTAATGGAACCACCTTTCGACAATTTTCCACGACATGATTCGCTTACCCGAACAGTTTTCGCTTTCGTTGGACCATGTCGAGTTATGGCCGTAGTCGACAGACTGGCGGCTTCCTTTAGATACCTCGGTTGGCCACGTTTCGTAAGATCTTCGGCAACGCTACGTTCCTCGCCGCGTGTCAGAGTCGTCGTCTTCCGAACAATGCGAGTGACGATGCGTTTAGTTCCGTTCTCACCTCGTCTCGACGTTTTCGTCGACTCGATCGACGAACCTGCGAGCGAACGGTGCAGATCGGAGCTTCGATCGAGAAGACAAACCGTTGAACCGAGCAACGGTTTCGCGCTCGATCGAACTGGGAAAAGGATTCATTTGACGATTTGCGCCGACTTTCAAGACTGTCGAATATATCTACGTGTACAATTATCATTTTCCGATTTCTGTGTGCGAGCACGCAACTTGTGCGTCTTACAATTAGTTAGCGGCAAGAAAATTATGTCCATTTAACTTGGCAGAATACGGTAATACTGCAATTGACTTTGGCTGAATGAGGTGGACGTGCCTCTTTAAGTCGCGATGATGTAACAGCTTATTGCACGCCGTTGAGAAAAGATCCCGGAGAAACATTGGAGAAAACCATTACACGCAAAGTGTGTACCGATGTTAGCGATACACCGGCACCTTGTTGCGGTAACTTAAAATCAGAAGCACGTAATTCCATTGAGAGAGATTTTATCCTTCACATTACTATATATATTATTTATTCCATTACAGAAAAATATCAAGTTATACTTATGTCTTATTCCTATTCACTATTCATAATTTCTCATTGTTTCGGTAAAGACCAATTAATTGATAACCATCATTCTCAGAGAGATTTAGTTTTAAGCTAATTGCTAATTAGTCACACGACTCTGCGGCGGACGCCAAGAAGAATCCGCTTTACAGCCGTCGAGTCTCTCCTGTCAGCGCGGAACGTCAACGTGAATCCTTTCCCTTCTTTCTCCGCGATTTCGAAACGCTACCTAAGACTTCGGTCGACAATCTGCGCTTCGTGTGTATAGCTCGCAGATCGTCGGCGGAGCGGGATCCCGTTGGACTTGGTGAAACTCCATCACGATTATTGTCGTCCTCCCTCGTGCCTTGCACGAACAGCCTGCTTCCCTTGCTGAATCGGTAGATCGACATTGCGTTTCACGTGGATCACAAGATCGCGTATCGCACTCTGCCTTCTTCCTCCCAAATCGTTCAAACCGCAACTCGTCCGCGAGCTGCAACCGTTCATTTACATACGAAATGCACAACACACCGCGTCGATGCACCAGACCGCTGTGTTTATATTTTTCCTCGAGAAGACCACATCGCTTCGCGTTTAATTAAACGAGGCCGCGTGATACCGTGTATTTGCCTAACACGGTGGAATTACTATTCAAACATCATGTAACAATATTTAGCGTGATAATAACAAGTATCATTAGCTCGTATTTTTTTCATCCTTTAAGTATCCTAAGTACGATCATATGATTTTCAACTCGCTCGTACAATGTAATTAAAGATTAAAAATATTCAACGCTGATGCTATGAAAGTCATATTCCAATTCAAACATGCAATTAAGATTAAGACTATTATATTTTGACGTTTAGACTCGAGGAAAAATCAACGATTCGAAGAACACGAACTACAGTCGCTATCATACGCTTTTATAACAATATTCTTATTAAAGTTTCGTGAGATCAATCTCGGTTGAACCTATATCTTTGTTTCTTTCAGATACGTTCTTTAAAAAGATAAAATTGGTTTTTAAAGGATTCATCGACAGTCCACTTGACAGTCATAAAAATTTTTACAACTGTCAAGTGGGCTGTTGATCAATCCTGAATCTTTTTAACCGCATCTTTGCCGATGATTTCGACAGAGTTAAGTATATCGCGCTAACTGTAGCTCGTTCACGCCGGCATGTTAACCAAAGCGGAACCGCGCCGGTTAGAGACAGCACAGCGGGCTGGTGCGAATGTATCAGCGTGCGAATGTTGTGACAATTTGTCCTCCCTCTCTTTCTTTTTCTTTATCTTCAACAACACGAACCTGCGAAAGATCGGCGCGCACTCGACGCGGTCATCGTATCATCGCGATCTCCTCCCGAGGCACCTGATCTCGCGAATTGACAACTGACCACGCACGACACGATCACCGGCACTAATGAGGACGAGAGCGACGACAACGACGACGACTAACCACGGCGATGATTGAAAATGACAGCCCAACGTCTGACTAGCAACTCTAGGCGCGACACGCCGGACGATCGCCGCGTAGCATCCGGCCGTCGTGGCGAGAGTAGGCCAACGAAATGCGCACAGGTGAGAGACGTTGCTCTCCCTCTCTCCTCCCTGGCACTTCTGCTCTCCCACCTTTTTGCCATCACCACCCACCTGATGTTACCTTGCGCTTCGCCGCGCCTCGTCGCGTAGCGTATTACCTCCCTCCTCCAAACTTATGTCACTGATTGAAAAATAAATTTCATGTTTACAAGCATTGTTTTTTTTTCTTATTTTAGCGCCACATTTTTCGACATCTATCAATATTCAAATTTTTTAAAAATCTTCAGAATTTGACATCTTAGAATTCTACCATTTTTAGCAATCGCACGTAGCGATTTTTGACAGCTGGAAAACATTTTTTTCTAATAATGTTATTTTCGCAAATTGTAGTTTCCCACGACAGCGATCGCGGAAGAGATGATAGATTGAATTAAATGCACTTCTCTGTGCATCACGAGTCACGGCAATCTCTTCTCGATCGCGCATGCGTCCTCGATCGATCGACTTCACGTGCAGCGGAGCTCTAACATTACGATCGGTGGACTTCGTGATGCTTCCTCCTCCTCCTCGTTGAAACGTCATCGTCGCGGCGCGTCCTTCCTCCTTTTCCTTTTCTAGAGATTTCGCGTTCCGCCGGCGCGCAAACACGCGCGCTAATATGTACATGTATATATACAATTATATTTACGCGACCCACGACATTCCGCTCTTCAGGGTCTCGAACGGTATCGTGCATAATTTACGCGTGAGCGGTGGCGTTGGTTATCGCGATATCAAGGTCGAGCCGCGATCGGGAACACGACCTTGATAAAGACCGAGATTCCTTGGACAGGCCTAAAAAGGAAGCGGAGCGAGCAAGCAATCTTTCTGTCCTGTGACATCACCGAGAAGAGCTCGAGCTCGAGTTTCGGTAGACGTCTGATAAGCGAACGCGTTGATAAGTACAACGATGATAACGATAAGAAATATAAAAATATAAAAAAACCATGAGAAACGAGACGAGAAACAGCCGCGAGATCTCAGATGTATTGTTCGCATATATGAATAAAAACAATAATTATTATATATTTTGTATATAATTCTATAGGTCTTCACGTTTTCTAAATTAAGAAAATAATAATATCCCAGAGATTAAAATGTTTAAGACGTTCTCGAGACGTCTTTTAAACGCGTGGCGCCTAGGATAATTCATAATAAAATAACAAGTCGCAAAAACGTATTATTACATATAATTAATCTAATACGGAAACACACGCATGCAGATACTCCAGATGCTTTATGCGGAAACTTGAGATTTATTCCTACAAAATGCAAATGTCAGTTACATCAGCTGATGCGTAGGATTTCTAACGAACAACAATCTCGTCGTTTTTGGAAAATAGCGTGGGTCCTCGTTTGGGCCGCGCATTCCGAACCAATTGTAAGTGATTAGGAATGTAACGAGCGAGGTCTTGATGCTAATAAGCTGTTTTGCGAATTGAGATACGTCATGTAACGCATATCATAAATTGACATCGATACGCTTTTGTGGACCAAACGCGGTAATGTCGATCCGAATCAGACAATTACGTAGTCCGATCTCCCCTTTTATGCGATTCGAGGGCGATCGAGATAATAGGATAATGGAAAATCGATGTCGTAATTGCTGGCAGTAAAAAAAAAGAGACCTCCTCGCTAATTTGTTTCTTCTCTTTAATTTTCCTCGTCAATGTCGATCTTTTATTATAACAGCGGACACAAATTTTAATCCTACGCTCCAATTTTCCATCGATTTCGTCAAGAGCAAATTATGATGGAGATCATCATGTCGTTTTCTTCAGAATATCATGGAAGATCATAGAAAACATCCGGATATCGAGTACAAACGGCAGGAAGGAAAAGCGACCTACTTGTTCAACTTTTTATTCTTTTCCTGTCCTGAGGGGTATATGCCCCGTATCTAAGAAGATATGTGACACACGTACACATAAATTGCTTGTAATAAGACAGATTTATATCGAGTGAAAGGTATAGCTCGATGTGGAGAAGAGAGGAAAAATCTTTTATATTTATTATCTCTTTAGATATTTTATTAATATTAGATTAATTCGACTACTCAGCCGAAATAATTAGAAACAAATTGCGGAAGCGAGAATAAGAATTCTCAGACGCTGATGTATGTACACGCGTCGATTCCGACCGATACGGCATACAATCAAGCTTTCATTGCAAATTTATACGCGTGCCAGCACTTAGGGAAACGGGTCGACGGCCCCTGGTGGGTCTTCAGAAAAAAAGGGATTCCATAGAAAAAAAAAAAAAAAAATAACAAGCAACAGCAAACGAGAAAGCTCGATGAATAGAAAAAAGTCGTGCTGTCAAGATTCTATCAATCAATTGATTGAAAATTATTCTCCTGCGATATCCATTATATCAATCTTGATGAAATTGATGACTCTTTGACGTCTCAATTTAATCAAAATTATATAAAATATCTCTCTTTAATCGAATGTCAAATATAAATTTTTTTGACAGATAATCGACGAAAAGAATATTAATGAACTTGATCGTGTACAAAATTATAAAGTGTTCGGCCACTTCGCGATGTGCGTAACGCATCAGATGCAGTACAAATTTTATAATCGTGGAGCTTTATGCTAATTGCACGCGGAGATCACAAGGCGGATATGAAGTCATCGCACCCGAGGCTACTTGATTCGTTCCGACATGGCTTCTGCCGTCGTGAGTACGCTAATTCGTTGCCTTTGGTGCGAAGATCGGATACAATCCAGCCGCTGTAATGTGCACGTACGGGTATATATCTCTTTTGTACAATGGTTATAGGAATAAGAAAGTGACAAGCGAGCGAATACAATGAGCAATTTCTCTCCCCGGTAATAATGACATTGGGAAAAGCTCATAAATACGCAAACGAGGTGTTTAAATCAAGCTATTGTGTACGTGTACACACGCGATCGGAATATGTAATATTAATACGAACAGTCTGCGCATACGGCTAGAATGTGTAAAACGTCAACAATAAAAGCGCCGATTCAACTTTCGCTCTCGTTCGCTCGTTAAGATAAGCAGCGTAAATTGAAGATTATTATACCAATCGATGTGGGTCATCAATCGGTAGTGAAAAAGCCTAATGCACGGTTACGAGTGTCGGAATTAATATCGACTTTTCGTAAATCAATGGTAACGAGAATTCCAGGCGAGAAGCCTTTCCTTATGCGCTGTCGTGCGAAGAGAGTGAAACTCGTAACGAGCACGCATCGAAACCTGTACTTACGGACCCTGAATGGTTTCGCATACAGGTGAATGATGTCATTCGTAATAGCGTCATCATCGAAACACTCGGCGCGTCCGAAGAGGCTATTTAAGAGAGCGCCATGAAATGACTATTAAGTCTTTTCGCGAGTATTTTTATTCTTGAAAAAAAAAAAAAAAAAAAAAATCTCTGATATCAAAAATTTTTTATCCGATAATTATTAAAATATTAACATTATTAAAATATTAAAATTATTCAAGTATTATAAATTAAGAAAGTATAATTAAAGAGCTAAATTCATAATATTTCTTGTTAAGAAAGAAAAAATATGAAAAATATTTTGTAAGATAAAGTGCATAAAAGATAAAATTTTCAAGAAAAGACGTAGCGTAGTAAGGAAAAAAATCTGCATTTGATGGCAAAAAATTGTGTTTATCGGAAATGGCGTACCCTGCATGAAGATTTCCGGAGGCGATATATTAAATTGCACGATCGATTAGCGAAGACCTTCAACTGCAAACTGCAGCAGTTACCCTGTGGAGCTTAATATTGCGCCGCGAGGTTTTTTTAAATGATCTTTTTATTGTCGATTCCACCTACACGCAATTTTATTGCATTAATGTTTGCGAGCAAAACGCACATACACACTCGTGTATACGATCAGCTGTGCATGTAAATAACAACGTGCGATCGGAATTATCGCAACTCTTTTAAATAAATTAAATGGACCGAGTTTTCCTCATTAAAAAAAACTGAATAGCTCGATTCAGTCACAAAGTACTATATACACACATATATATATGTATAGAATTATGTATAGCGAATCATGTCGCTGCGCAGATCGGAGGTCACAAGTAGATAAGCATGTGAAAATTAGCAAGGTGAGCCGTTAATAATCACGGCATAAGTTCCATCTCGAGATCTTCGATAAAAAGGGCATTGGCACGGGGCCACCGGGAGAAACCGTCAGCATAATAAATTCTGATTTTATTTTAACTGCTATCAGAAATAGCTACATCAGTTAGCAAATAACGCAAGTAATGCTAGTCACGTGCTATACATTACGTCCTGCTTTATCAGGAAAAATATGTATTATCTTATTTATAAGAAAACAATGTGATCTTACAATAGAATGTAGAAAAAATATTTTCCACATCAGAGATTAAAATAAATCCCCTCCACAATTTCGAATATACATATAGAATGAAAACATGTACTTCAATAATTCGTGGAGTGAAGTAAAATGAAAATGAACGCAATAATTTAATTAATTTAAGTTAGTTTATATAAGACAGAATTTGCTTTCTTCGTGAATGAATCTGTATAGGTCTGAGTGTGGGCATTCAAGGGTGTGGGAACCAAGTGGAAAACCGAGTGCTTCCATTCATTCGCTCTCTGTGATTCAGGTGTAACTACCTATACGAGCCATCTGTGTTTAACGAAACGATCATCTTGGCAAGTATAGTCGGTAATGCAGAAAATAACGCAGTTGTATTATGTAACCACTTTGGTTCCCAAACATTATTTATACACGCACAGGATGATGATCATTTAGAGGATGTAAATGATCGACTTACCTTGCGTCGCCATCTCTGCGGCGCAAAAGAAAAGAAAATTCACTATTAGAAGGGTCAACCACTTACGACGTTAAGATTAATTATAAAACTAAATTTTACGGTTTATTATATATAATCGGCTCTGTACGGTTTTAATTCTGACGCCGATAGCAACGCAAAATGAAAAATTATCTTTCTTATATAATCTCAAAATACGCTTTCCGAATATTAACATTTTTTTTTCTATACTTGTCATAAAGTATTATGCCTAACAGAAAAAATATACATTTATTTAAGATAAAATACAGAATTATAAAATTCTGAGAATGAATCCTAGAGATCTCATCATCATTAATAAAATCCCAAGAAAGGATCACCCAATCTCTTTAATTAGCAGACACTGCAAAGAATGAAGGAGATGCAAGAAGATGAGTAAAATGCGAGAGAAATAAAATAAAAACCAGAGAGATGTAAATTTTATATTACATTCCTCACATTTAAATTTATGTCTGGAATTTTTCTATAATTTTCTTTCTACGCTTGCAATTTTGCAGGCGTCATCGGGAAGGGCAAACACAAGTCGTCTTTATATGCTCGCGTAACTCGGTTATTCGGTTCGCGCCTTCGCTCGACTTTTTGCGGTTCCTTGAGAAAGAAACGCGAATAATCTTTCTCGCCGGCGCATATATAGATGCATACGTACATCCCGATGCATTTATCGCGAATCGTACACGGTAGCGAATCGCCATCAAAAGAAATATTCATAAGCGAGTACAAGAAGCCGCGTTTCGCCAGAGTCAGACGAGCGTTTCGAGATTCGCCGATATCGGACGTGCCAGGGTATCAATCGCGACATTAATGCGTCTTTATTTCATCCGTCTTCGTTCGTCGAGAGCAATTTGAACAGAAAAAACTAAGTCGATCGCGGACGATCGAGCTACGAGATGAAGTCTAAATATATCTTCTCGAGCTTCAAAATGCCGGCTAAATAATTTTCAGATTTTAATGAATCGCTCTATAATTTTCTTCGTACGAAATAATTTGGTTTCCCCATCAGATTGAATTGTATTTCACGCTGTGCGTGGTAATAACTCTCGATCCGGCTCGGTCCGGCACGAGACAGACGAGCGGCCGTCCTCGCTTTCGCTTTTCTTTGGCACAATGCACGTGATTCCGCGCGAGCTATATACGTTCGTTTTACCGGCACCTACCGCAACATCGTTACATCGACAGATACGAGCAATCTAAAATTAGCGTGAGACACAAACGCAAAACGCGCAGAGATCTATCGCGACGCTTTCGATTAACGTCGAGTCGAGTCGCGTCGCTAAAACATCGCCCTCCCTGTATATTATTCTATCGCTGATGAAATTCAATAGTTGGGCGGTTCCAAGCCTGATTAAAACAAAATTAAATAAATATTTTTCAAGAACAATTTACAGGGAAAGCGGAAGTTCCGCGTATACAATATATAAATATCACACGTTGTTAAAAGCGGAAGAGAAAGAGAGAGAAATAGAGTTCATCGACATTCTAATGGCCAACCTGTCAAGTTGTGTGACAGGCCACTGGCCGGTGAGATATGAAACGCAATGAAGCGAGAGATGTTTTGCGCGCGCGTAAAACGTATCGGGATGAATTTTTCTGTGTTGCACTGGAACAGCATCTCTATGCATCTCTAACGCATTGCGGTGACACAAATTGAACGGAAGAAAAGACTCGAGATTACGACACAACGCGTCGACCCGAGATAGAGGATTGGAGAACGCAGAGAGAGAGAGAGAGAATTCAACGTGAAACCCGATGACGAAACGTCGATAGTTAATTCTACGAATTATCTTTTCCACAGGCGTTTCCGCGTCTGTGCGTTGCGAAATGAGAGAATGCACTGCCATAAAAATTTTCTTTCAAGCTCTTGCTCTTACATTCACCGTGAAGTTCCAAGACCACACGATAATAATAGTGCAAACGGCGTAGCTAATTGTTTGCATATAATTCGATCGTAGCGAGAATTGCGGCGCGGAATAAAATAAAAATAAAATAAAATTCGATGAAAACGTCAAAGGAAAGGTTTGCGCGCGTGATTTTTTTATATGATGTTCCGCGGAAAGTGACCGAACAGTCATTTCCAATAGGACGAAAGTGTTGTGCCGCACCTATGGTAGAACCAACGTATTCCGTTAGTCCAACGGTACACGCACATGCGAGTACGCAAATGCAAAATACTTGCAACATGACGCCAACCATGTCGCGACAACGTATCGCTGCTGCGTTTTATGATGCAGAAGACTGATGAATATTCGACGTCATTTCCGCGCGAACGTTAACATCACAACTATATAGGATAAACATATATATAGGCTATCTCGGAAGTAATGTTAGTATCCCAAAAAATTTTCCGAGAAACTTCAACTTTTCTCGAATCAAAATTCGATTCGGTGTTTGTCATGTTTGTATGATATATATATATATCAAAATTTCTTTACTTAGTTCTAGACCTGTTTGAAAAGAAGATATATGCCTCGATATATATATAGTGACGCGAGATTATAAAAAAGTATTACGTCCTGGTCGGACACTCTGTATGCATTTCACTTTCTATCGAATTTCACGGCCGACTGGACGCATCATATATAATCCAATGGACATTACAGTAAATTGCGATGGGCGGTTTCCATCATGCTCACATAGCAGCCGCTTCATTTGCATTATACAAGCTACGCTATAGATACGAGACACAGAAGATAAACTGAGAAGGATGACGACTATTTTATATCCTTTCTTCAAAAACATCGATCATTTCATAATTATTAAACGTCAAAAATTCATCTTAGCAAAAATTTAATTTTAAATTACAAGATTTTTAAAACTTGGAGATTCTTCGATTAATACACTGGAAACAAATTTATTGAATTCAAATATAAGTAATTATTTCAATACTGCTAAATAAATCATTTATTTCAGAAACTCTAATATTGATTTGATGTAAAAAATATTTATTCGGTATAAGAAAATCCTTTTCAAAACAAATAAATATTAATTTCTTCCAAATAAATAATTTATTAGGAAGAGTATTGAAATAAATATTAATTCAATAATTTTTTTCAGTGTATTTTATCTTTATAAAAATCCTAATAAAATATCTAAATTTACTGATAAATATACGAAAAATAAAAAAGATGTGACAAATATGACAACGATGGTTCTCTATTCGATCTTCGTCTTTGGATGATTCTAAAAGCTCCAGTAATTAAGAAGGAGCGCGATTCCGGAATGTTTAATATCAGATAGACGTAAAACGCGCTTGTACGAGCGCATAAAAATTTACGATGCCGCGATATTCGCACGCTACTGGCAAATTCAATGTAAAACCTCCTGGATGCCGTTGTCTCGAGACGCATGGTCGATTCGAAAGGCCGACCATGCGTTAGCTTAGAATACATCGTTACTATGCGACCGTTAACTCGGAAGATCGCGCGGATTGTCCGCATACATTATCCTCTTACGTCTCTTAAAACTAAAAATAACTGCAAAACACTTACCTGGAAGTGCAGGATGATGGTCCATATCAGGCCCAGCGTGAGCTTCGGGTTACCGTCCACGATATCTTCCGCTCGGATGTTCACCAGCTTGATCTTCTTGTACCGTAGAAAGTCGAGGGCCATTTGCACGTTTTGCAGCATGTGGAAACGCATTCGGCCTCTCTCTCGCGGCTGAAACACGCGCGATCGAACCGTCGATTAATTACCTTCTATCGAGGACAATTATCGTTTGCTTGATCTGTCTATTTAGAACTAGACTCGACTAGAATGTACTTTTATACTTCTCCATGATCAGAGATATATATATACAAGTAACTCGAATTTATCAAACATTCACAGAAAATCAATTCGTAATGATATTTATAATAGTAAATAAAATTAATATTTGAAGAAATGTGACTTTTTTACATTCGACTATTTTAATAAAAATCAAAATTAATTATATAAAGTTCTGATAATTAAATATAAGGGGAAAAAGGCAATACATTGTCTTATTTATAACTTCTTTCCTTCTATTTATTACTTAAAAAATATCTTTTTTTTTAATTTAGAAAGATTGTTCCGAGAGCTTTTTATGTAAAATGTACTCACAAGATGCTCGCCGGAAAGCACTTCCAACAGGGAGATGAGATTGTGACCGTCGCGTAGATCTTCGAATAGATCGCCGACATGTCTGCTCGCCTGCAACAAATTCCAAAGTCCCAAGTTAATGCCGTTTATGAGTCGAATAAGCACATCCAACGAGAAGAAGAAAAAAGATCAATACACGAAGAGAAGGAAAACCGGAAAGTTAAATGGGAGAACGCATAAGGGTATACAGAATCTACCGGCAACGTACTCGTTTAAGCAATTACCACAAATATAAAGGATGAAAAATCGCAGGAATGTTGAGAATTGCACGTTGTGTTTATACAGCAAATAATGAAGGCGTGAGTTGAGTCGTGAATGTGTACATATAAGTATCATCGACAACGAATACATATAGTTCTAATCACGTATGACGCAGAAAAAAGGCACGCAACGTTCACACAAACGAATATCCGAAATCATATAATTAATTAATTGTCAATTGACATTGTTAATTATATTACGATAAAATTAAGAGCAATAAAGGATTAAAGATGAGAGCAGTAAAATCATCGGTCGAAACGTCTGAAATCGGAATTTCCTGATTTTAGGCATTCAAACTCCACTTGATTATGCGCGCGAAAGTAAACGCATGCAAATCGACAGACCGGTTTTTAAAAACACATTAAGCTCGACGCTACCATATCGGTCGACCAACGATCAACTTCAACGGTTGCAAAGCGAATACGTCATCTCATACGTGCAGGTGTTAGTCAGACGCGTTAATAACACAAGAGAACAACGCGTTGTATTGCATTCCAGAGAGGACTGAGGGCTTCCTCATGGGATTAAAAGCGCGACATATCGCGTTTTTTGCGTTTTACATAATTTTTTAATTTGTAACATCGTGGCCCACACGAAAGCGAGAGTTGCCATGTAAACACAATGATAAATTATCATGCGTGCGTGTCATCACGACCGATATAGAACGAAAATTATAAACTTACGGTGGGGGAACAGCATGGTTGGTTGTTCACAAGGACGCACACGTGTAAGCACGTGTAAGTCTGAAAAAGATAGCGATGAACCGTCACCATGGGTTAGTTGAAGTTAAAAAGAGCTTGCGCGAGCAGGAGCGAATGAAGGATGATCTTTTCCGAAAGTGAAAATTTTTAAAGCAAGCAAAAGCGTAAAATGTTAAAAAGAGCGTACTCTCCTCTTATTAAAAGTTTCATTATTTTTGTCAAAATGTGGCGAATATTTTCAGTCGTGTTTATATTCGTGTTGACAAGTAAAATATTCGTGGAGAAATATTTTAATCTGAAAATATCATCAAACAAGATTAATATAATTGAATTTTGTTAGTATTCGTGCGCGTGGAATCCGCTCCTGCACACGAATGTGCATCAAATGTTTTGTACAGCTACAAGAGAGTAAATGTCAAACGACTGACATAATAGCACGTGACCCGCCTCCTCTTCATGTGGGTGAAGCTGAGTATGCTGAGATAATTTCTTTAATAACCAGAACTGTTTACGTAATTATCAAGAGCTAAAGACTAAAGAAAAAAATAAAATAAAGTAACATATCAGAATAATTTTAATATTTAATTTATAAGATTCTACGAAATCACACGCCAGCTTCACGCACATATATCTACCTTCTATCTACATTTCGTAACTGTGACTAATTGCAATAACTCATGTCTACATCAAATGATTCCGACGCGTTCCAATTTCACGACATTGTGACATTCATTCCTTTATATCGCGATCATGAAGAGGATTAATCGCCGTTTTATCACATTGATGATTATAAATGTAAAATTTACAACAAATATTGACACGATTCGACCTCGAATGTCACAATGCGTGCATCATATACCATAAAAAATGGCAATCAAACGGAAACTTTAAAATCAAATAAGCTGAGTTCCATAAATTATATATAAATTTTTGAAGTTTGAAATAGTACAAATTTTATATCACTTATTTAAGTATTTGACCATTCTATGTTTTATATAAGTTTAAGTATTATATATAACATATAAATTCAATAACATTTTTATTTGAAAAAGAAATATGTAATTTGAAACTTTTGATTAAATCCGTTTTTATTTATTGTAGTATATTGAAGGAAATTCTGAACGCAGTTTGCAAATATTTCTATAGCAAACATTAATTTGTTAATAATTACTTAATAATTACATTGTTGTAATTCACATGTTTTTCTATTAATATATAACAAAACATAGCTTTCCAACTGTTCACCAACTGTTAGCAAACTCCGTTTACTCAAAGATAAACAACCGATTCCGACAGTTCTAAAACTACAATGACTTGAAACGGAAGTATTTCCGGAGTGCAGAGTGGAGATCCATACAAATTTCTTTCGTCTTAAAATAAAACATGCTTCTACAACTTTCCAAACATGTTAGATAAAAACCGTTTCGTATAAAATTCGCAATATATGGTATAAAACAAATTTATATTCATATTATAATGTATTTATATTCATTATATATACTCTATTTATATATGTATATATTCATTATTCATAGGTATTCCTTTTCTATATTCAATTATATGATATTTACTGTTATATTCATTATTCACATTATATGCGTTTGAAGATGTAGGAACTATTGTAGTCATTTATGCATGCAAAGTATCTTTCAACGCTAAAATTGTCCCATAAATCGACTGCTTCGCAATTAAAGTTCAATTGCCTTAGACAATGTGATTGATTGGAAATTTCACGACTAGTCGCTTCGAGCGGCAAAAAGTTCGAAACCCTCGGCACGTTGCAGTTACGAATGAAGGATCGGGTACATTGCGGGTAAAGGGCGAGAACATTACTGTCGGAATATCTTGTGCTGTCGCGTGACACGACTCGACAATTCTTGACGTGCCGTTTTGGCACGAATGCCACTTTGTCATAAAGGCATTAGAGACACGAAAGAATGAAGAGTAACAGATGGGACACATAACGGTATATACGGCGAATGCTTTTACGACGGTAACGAAAGTAATTATTCTAATCCAGCTGCGAACTGCGTTCATAATTTCACGTGTGTTAAGAATAGTCTTTATTATGAGGAAATCTGCGCGAATTGCGGTTAACAACCGCATCTAAAAGGTGACACATTATTGTCATGATTATATTGCGTTAGAATTTCTTATTATTCCAGATTTGCGACTTGTACTATAATTCAAACAATTAAAACGTCATTTGGATATATTGTTTATTCCGGAATCATCTTCAGACAAATATAATATTTCGTTAATAAATCAAGTCCACAATGGATGAATGCATCGTATCGACATGTATTTTCACCCTCGTACATCATAAAAAAAGTAACCATCATACATACCTTGACGTATTTCCAATGCTGCAGAAAACAAAAAATGCAACAAATCGATGTGAATGCGATAACAATTTACATATAATTAGACCAATCGCGTGGGAGAGCACGCTTACGTTGAATACAGCGTTTCATTCTTGGTCTTATCGTTATACGTTGACAGTAACGTGTCATTATTATAATTATTATTATGATAAACGTTGCGTTGGTCACGCAACTTTTAAGTAACGCGATTTTCAGATAATGCGTTTCGCGCGGATGTAAGTGTTTTTCGAGAGATCGACGAAAAACAGCTTTCATTCTTACGCAACATAGGGCTGTGTTCATTACTCTGTCCTCGGTTTGCGTAGAATCGTCTACTTCCTGTATCCGTGATTCCGCGAACGTAATAAGCACAAGGTCTTACAAAATGTGAAGCTCGAAATTGCCATCTACGAAGAGCGATTCGCATAATCTGTTATCTATCTAGTTGCAATATAGAATCTTAAAGAGAAACACGCAGGTAAAAGTTATGTTCCAAGGAAGTAGATCCCGTAATATCAATTTTTTAGAAGACATAATTTATTTGAAAAAAATACCTATAAGAACTAAATCTTTATGCAATCAATTCACTAACACAGCTGTTAGATAAATATATTACTTATTTATTATTATTGTATTACTCTTTCCTCTTATACTTATTCATGAACTAAATTTTTATGAAATAACATGAGGCAATTAATTATGACATCAATAGAAGGAAATCTTCAACTTAAAGATATACTACACATTATTGCTCTTGAAATGCACACGATGAACATAAAAACAAATCCGAAAAAAGGCAAGAATGTAGGGTGTTCGTCGCATTGTGATTATGCAAGCACCGCATGTTTCGTGCCGTATAGATCAAAGGCGCATCCGCCGGAGAGAGGGAGATCGCTAAAAACAGCTGTAAAAGGCTCTTCTCTCCCTCTTCAACTTTCTTGTGCCCCATGGACTCGTTCGACCCCCCGAACGAAAGACTGGCTACTTATATCTCACCTGCCCTACAGCCCCACCTCTACCATCCAGGGAGAGACGCGGTAAATCGGGAACGGGGCACTCTCGAAGAGGGTTTCCGAATAAGGTCAGACTCGCAAAACCAAACGTGGGCGCGCGAAACCGAACGACCGTGGGTCGATGCCGGCAACCGGTATTTGCACGACTCGTAAATATATCGAATATCGTCATTGTTTTTATGGTACCTCCTGGGTGGTAAAATTGGGCATTTCGAGGCTTAAGGGGTAGGCGTTCGATTCTATTCGCCGAACGGAGCTTTCCGAAACCGATGACATTTTTTAATTTAGCCAATTTAAAATCGATTTTTTTCCACCAATATCAATTAATTAATTGAGAATAAATATCAATGGATAATTGTCGGAAGGATCCTTCGGTGGATTTGTTTATTGAGAAGGCGTAGTAGCTTGAACAAACGATTGGAGAACGCAAAAAAGTTTGCAACACCTTGACCCTGTAATCGTATTCGTTGCACCGAGAAAAAGAGAGGCCACCCGATCGCTCGTATCAACAATAGAACGTTACATCGCGTTATAAAAGGTGCACGTGATACACGAGTTTGCGAGGAAGGCCGCGATCATTAAAACGCCATTCACACGAGTCGCGCTTAACACTCGCAGGTATTATACTCGATTCAGAATACAGTCGTCCTCATCATAAGCTGGCTTTTCTTTCGATCTCTCGATTGCCGATTTTTTAAAAAGGAGGTCCATAATCAACAAATTTATGAAAGACGATTTATTAAATTTCAAGACACGCAAAATCACACAATAGCATTTTTTACTGTCCTTTTTCTCTCACAAATTTTTATACAAATTATATTTTTTATTTATATGAATTTTAAATTCATAAAATATAAATAAAGATTACAATTTGATCAACCAAATTTGTACATAAAGTTTGTGAGGGAAAAGGAGATGGCAATAGAAAGTGTTGTATTGTGATTTTGCTAAATAAAAAATTGGTATAAATGACATTTTCTATTTATATAAATCTTTTCGCATTTGATCTACATCAGTTGCAGCATCCGGCGATAAAGCGCATTCATCGGTGCGCTCGCTGCGAATCGCATCCGCTATAATCCCGCTTTATCACGGAAAAAAGCACGCGGCGAGAGTGAGACGAGGAATGAGAAACGGAGCAGGAAACGGCACGACAGAATGATGCCAGCTTACGATAATTATACGTCGACGGACAACTCCACCCGTATACGGCCGTGATTCGCGAACCATTCCTGGCGCCGCCGCTGAAAGACCCGGTCTGCCTCGCGGCAGACTTTAACTCGACTCGACTCTCGACTCGACTCGACTCGGTTCAACTCCGCCGTGATGGATGAATCATTGTCCGTATTAAATCCTGACTGACATACGCGCGGTGCATACTGCCGAACCGAGGCAGATACGATTCCTGCGTGTCGTGAATTTTCTCTCGCTCTCGAGAGTGTAATTGACGAGTTAATTAAACATTTATGTTTGCGCGTAGATTAATATGCACACGACTTCATCTGGATTGTAAATTTCGCGGCGAATATCTGCAAATGTATCTCGTTAACATATCCTCTTAATATGAGATTGAGAACTGTTTTTTTTTTAATTAGATATTAAATGTCTTGATTTAAAAGATTCGAAAGAGGTTTAAATACTTTTCAATGACACTTCTTGATTTATTTTTTATCTTATTTTGTAGAGTAAAAAACGACAATAATTGTGAGATATCTTGAATAGTCTCACGATTACTATCATACAATATTATTTCACTTACGTAAGAAGCCGAAAATAAAACTTTTCTTAAAACTTAGCTTAAGAATTTATCTTGATAAAGTGCTATATTATATTAAATCTTATCAAGAAAACGCGCAAAGTGGCAATTGCTGTGATTTCTAAAATCTTTATCATCCATCAACTTTATCTTACAATCGATCTAAATATATTTTAGCAAGAATTGTACATTTAGCAAATGATTCACAAAAATATGACTGACGCGAAATTACGAGACATAATGTACATCATATTTTATCATCATTCCAAGTAGATAATTCTCTTCATCTCAGTATATAAAAGCGCGCGAATGTTAACGTAATTTCTCAGTACCCCCCTGTTCGTGATATGCAAATATTCGCCATAAAATTGCGACTGCAATAGCTGTCAAATGCAAGCGTGCACGACGCACTCTCTTATAGCGGAGATCCAGTCGTAGCTCGCGGTTACTCACGCTCGACGATCTCGAAGACATGCAACGCGAAGCAACAGACAGTGCAGAACAGACACTTGGTCCTTTCGGTGGAGAAACGTTTAGCCGGGTTCTTATCACGAACATACGATGCAGCGTCCGGCAACAGATTTGATCAGATAACGAAGATCAAAGCTGACCGGTATCTCTACTATCGATAGATATCCGATTCTTGCTCAGGAAAACAATTATATGTATTTCAGATATAATTCTTATCAAGCCAATATAGGCTCTCGAAATTGCGATCTCTTGTGAAAAATGTGACAGCGACAGAAATGGACATTTTTCCGAAAATTTAGTATGATCGATTAGTCGCTCGATTTATTTTCCCCGATCGCGCGTGTCGCCCGCTTGTCTTTGGCTCGATCCGCTGCCTTCTATAGTCGTATCTCCTCTCTCGAGCGACCAGGTACTTTCGACCCACGTGTGTGCCACATACGCAACACGGGGGCCGCAATATCGGGACCGTCGTTGCGCAACGAGAGTTTACTTATTTTTACGCGGCGATTCGCGCGCGCGTGCGAGAGACGCCTACTTGTGTAAGGCGATGACGACGAATGCGAGAAAAGGCGCGACGCACATATACTTATATTCCTTTCGAAAGTCGGGGAACAAAACAGGGAACCCCGCTTGTCGCGGCGCGTGAACCGCGGAACTATCGTGTCGTCGTTTCATCGCATTCGAAATGCAAATGCTCGCTTATGCTCGCGCTGCTCTACGCGTTTGTTTCCTACTTCGAACGGTGACTTTGGCACTTTCGCCTTGGCGATTGTCCGTCCACGAATCGTTTCGATTTGACGGCGCGTTCACTGCTTTTACGCCGCTCTCTTTCGTGTAGATTTGTTTTTTTATGTGCTTCGAAAGTGTCTATCGACGGTATAAATTTCTCTTCTCCGATTGAGTAAAAATAATTTGAACAAGAATAAATTTTCTCTCATATATATGTGTATATCCCTCTCTGTTTCTTGTGTCACAGTTAACACAGACCGTAAATCCTTTCGCGAAGACGATTTATTACTTGGTACGCGAAATGACAATCCGCCTACATGAGTAATTTCGTCACATAGTTTATACGCGTGTAGGACAAAGAGTCCGCAAATGGATGAAGCGAGCCATTATGCGTCATCACGCACAAATTTGAGATTTGTTTACCGAAAGACGAGAGAAAAAAAAATTTGACGTTATAACGATAAGACCAAGGCAGAGACCACACCTAATAATTCCACGGATGAGCCTGACGTGTAATATATGCTAACAATTTACGTTTTTAGCAGCTATTAGCAGAATGTATAGTATTAGCTATTTAGCAGAATGTCAAAAATTATATTATTTTTAAATACAGATTTTAAAAAATATGATCGATTCGAGCATCCTCTGTATCAAAGTAAATACTTATATAAAGTAAACTACTAAAATTAAAATGTTTTTACGAGATATGCAATTTTTTGCAAATTATTATAATTCGTCCCAGGCTCGTCCATTTGTATATTGTTACTCCAGTAGAATATATTTCATACAGTACTATCGCGCTAATTAAATAATGGCGTGAGCAAAAAGACTTGCGTGAATTATTCGCAAAACGCCAAGTAATAAAACTGCATGGTAGAATAATTTGAGAAGCAGTCTCACCTTTTTCAAATGCTTGTTCACCCATTTCGTGAAGGTCTTTTTCTGTATAGCATCTCGTTCGTCTGCAAACACACAAAAAAAAGTTATCAGAAAACGTGAAACGGTCTCTTCCTTTAGTAGCTGTTTTGCGTCAGGACAATTATAATGATGTTATAGGCAATAATACAACGCATTACGCTTGTATTCATAATAGTAAATGTAAATATCTATCTCTTGTAATATGTATTAGCATGTATTACCAACGATTCGATGTCAATTCGCATAACTATAATCGTTGCTACTACAATTATGTCACAAGCGCAGCCTTGTTCGGTGTTATACTGCGAATGTAGAGTGCATATAGAATAGATATCATGCATATATTATAGATATATGTCACGTGTCTATCAATAGCTCGTCATCAACAGCTACGATAGATTGCTGTGAAAATCGAATTTCGCAATTCGTCACACTGCATGGTAGATGCAGCTATTATCGCGTCGATGTGACGTTTTGCTCGGTTCTCCAGCATGACAGTGAGAATGCGTCGTGGCGCAATGCCACCTGGAAATGGGTCCTTTAAGGATGGTCGAGGTCAGTATAACGAAACCAAAGTCGCAAGCAACCAGATCGGGTCACGTCAGATGAGGGTCAAGCAGGTAGGCTGGTAAGCAAGCGAGCGAACTGACAGAAGGTCGGCCGGCTTGGCAAGCTGCTCGATCGGTTTAGCATGCGAGGCACAAAAATCCGGACAATGGGTCGAACGATAATAAATGCGAAGCCCACTTAAGACGGTCTTTAAAAGTCCGAGATAGTGGCCTAAAGACTATATCGGTAATTTTTGTGTCAAATAAGACACAATTATGAAGAAAATTTGGATGCATCAAATATTCTGTTATGCGGTGTCGATTGAATATATTTTTCGATTACCTAATTCATTATTATTCAAGATTTGTCATTTTATTGTCGATATGACGCAATGATTGAAATTACAAGAAACGTCAAATTAAGCGCATGTGTGTGAATTTCTTACAAAATAATAACTACGTTCTTGTAGCGTAATCGTGGTAACTAAAAAAAGAAAGAATAGTAAATATAATGAACACAGACATCTCCGAAATCAATTACGACACAAGTAATAAATTTGATGATCGACGAGATGTCGAAACATATACGGACCGCAGCGACATTACATTTTTTTTTTTTTTTTGAATAATGAAAATATATTACTACAGACTGTTATGTCATTATGATATAGTGCGTATTACGTGAAACATTTTAACTTTTAACTAAAATTAAATTAACGAGTCATTCGTCTTCCACAATTAATTGCAGAGAATTAGCGAGGAGATTTATCGGATCCGTGATTCGATTTAACAATGATTTATAGCGCGCACTCTTGACACTTCATCATCGTATCCCGTGAAAAGTTAACGCCACTCTTGAACGACGGTATCATCGATCGGGTATGTTTAAACCCGGTCGACAAGCCGACGTAAGTGTCAGCCTAATGCCGCCAGACGATACAAAATAAGAGGTGAGGCGAGAGGTACACTCTGTCGGAAACACTTCTCGATTTAGAAATATCTCGAGTGGCCTGCTCTGTGAACGATCATATTTCCCAAGTGCGCCTGTCTCGCTCTCACTGTGAGAGAATCGCGATCAAATATTTTAATGAACGAACACGACGCGTTCAACGACACTGCTACATGTTGCTGAACGTGCTAACATGAAATAAAATATAAATATGGTCAAATATATTAATCATCTGCGAAGGAAATATATTTAACAAGACGTTATTCCTATATACTATAGTAATTTTACAATTAGATGATTTATATTAGCCACTATATTATATAAAATTATTAATAGGAAATAACTCTAATTTCAAGCACTTTTTCAGAATGTTGATCATTCAGATGATATAGATAGTGATCTTGCGTGACAAGTATGTACCGGAAACTTTATTTAGTACAGGAAGAGTTTATTAATGTCTTATATGCACGCACCTGCGCCTGGTTTAGCGAACTTTGCGGCTTAACTTACGCTAAATCGCATATTCCATTTTCTGCGAACCTAACATTTGTTCTTCGTAGATTATCTCACCTCGTTGCAGGATCCAAGTTTGGCCCAGTTTTAACACTTTGCCAATAACACTACCCTAACGTGATTTAATTAACAATATGCAATAACACTACCCTAACGTTGTTTAATTAACAATATATATAAGATATTCTTTAAATCGCGACTTTATTTGTCTCTGACGAAATTCAAGGTCGATTTTTCCCGAATTTGAATTTATTTAATTGTAATTCTTCTAATAGAAAAAAGTGGAACATGTAACTATGCTCTGTTTACTTGTTAATAAATAATGAAACAATTATATGTATAATATATATCGATCAAGAAAAACATAAAGATTAACATTTCATTTAAATTCTTCTCAAATGTAAAAAATAAAAAATATAGAAACTATTTCTCTCCTTATAATCAATAGTGCTATTTCTACGATATTAAATTTATTTCCGGCGTGTGCTAATATTTTTTTAGCTTAATGGCATAGTTAAAGAGAGCATTGATTGAGAGATGGTTTAATCTGTTACGTCTGGAGGAAGAAATTCCAGCGTAATCAGTATTGACGTTAATGAGAGTAAACAAAGTTACGGTCAATTCAATCGGTTGATATCTTGAATGTTATTGAGAGAGTTAGAATCTAAATTCCACCGACGATGGATTTTGATCTCTATCAATCATGCCATAGTGACCTAGTACCGATCACGAGGAACTAACGTAATTTCGGAGAATCCAATTCTCACAATGCCACACAACTAGGACGGTGATAGCTTTGCGTGAACTGTCAGTCATTAATTGGCACGATTCTAATGGCTAGTTTTCGCCAATCTATGTCTACAGACAATCGGATTTTACGATCAAATCTAAGGATTTGATTGACGAAACGAAGATTGACTGACGAAAAATTACGACATGAAATTAAATTATACGCTTTAGAATTAATAAGAGAAAATAAATGTTATACATTTCTAAAATCTCCTATATGATAAACACAAAACATGTATTTAATAATTATATTCATATTTTAATTATACATATAATTATTAATTTTATAATAAAATGTACCTTCTTGCGTATATTTTTATCGCGATAAAATATACATTACGTATTTATTTTATTTTTTAATTGTTTCTTTTTCTCTGTATGTATAAAAAGAAACATGCACATTGGTAGAAAAAGAGAGCTATGAACTAATCCCGAAGAAATGCGCTGACACGCATGCTTTCTTCAGTAAAGTCCTTGTTGGCGGATACGGATGCTGGAATGTGGAAGCTCTGATAATGATAGAACGATACTGACGTTACAAGAGCTAAAGATAAACATCAATGAACGTATTCATCGGTATTTATTCTTTTCGGAAATTCTTGACAGTAATTTACGCGATACCCTCTCGGCATTTAGGCTAATACAAGATAATATAGTATACTTTTTATCAAATATATTCAACAAATCCAAGAGTCGAAAAGATTATTAAAAAATTTTAATGAAGAATTTTATTATACACACAATTATAACTTAATTAATTAATTAAAAGCATTTTTTATTATTAAAACCCTGTTTTTTAATTAATATGTGAACAATTCTCAAGTTTACTTTCATTACAATTATTATTAATTTTTCTTTGGCCGCACTTTTGCTCTTCAAGAGATAATTCACGCGTCAATTCATTTGTATGCACTCAATATTCACATTCATCAAGTGAATAACGTTTCGTGGGAAGAAGTCTTTGAAGAAACTATGAAAGAGAGAACTACCTCGCGCAAAATGCTACATGATTGACATCTTTGGTTCGTATATCATGTATACACCGTATTCGTGAGCAACGATGCGCGCGTGCATTTTACGCTTCCGTTATTAATTGCTTCGCTCATGCAAAGAGGAGATCGTAACGCGCGGACGAGAGTCTCTCGATTTCATAATACATGTCCTTCGGCATCGTCGGCTTCGTCAAAGAAGAGGGCGGGCGCGATAGGATACGATACGATATGTATATATTGTACAAATGCAACATCGTCGGCGATATAACGACGTAAGTGGAGTCACGAAACGAATTACTCTAAACCGGACACGAGATGTCGGATAATTACGATAAATTAGCGATCAATCTTCAACGTAACACCGAACGATACGAGCGCTGATGTCATTCGTTCACGCGTCTTCCGGCCGTTTACTTTTGAGCTAAGTGAAAAGCCAACACTTGGGCGTATCGCGAATCGTTATTGTATACGCAATCCGAGTGGGCAGAGATTATGAAAAGCGACGGCCATTGTTTATTGTTTGTCCACCTGGCTTGTAAAATAGTGGGCCGCGCAAAAGAAATACCGGATTCGCAATGATACGTCGATATCCGAAATTTTTGTTCACGTGGATATAGAGATGAGGCAGCGTCGAGATGCGGATTTAAGTATATAGACGAAACGATAAGGGAGAACCGCTGTCTTTCGTTATCTGTCCACGTATTATGTTGTGTATACAGTGACACGGTTTGGATTATTCTCTGCACTCTCTTTGAATATGTATATCCGGCGCTGCTAAAAGAACAAGGCGAGGAAAGCGACACTCGTAACTCAAACATTTATCAAACAAACGTTCCGAAAGCAAAATTCGATGGATCTCTTCTGGCGCCTCTCGCGTGTTACAAAAGCATGAATCAATTTATCGCCAAAGTTAATAAAAACACTGTGTGAGTAAATTTGCAATCTTCAAACTGCAAGCAAACGCACTACATATTTAAAGACATACAGAATACAGTTGAAAATATTTATATTATAAACACCGTATATAATTCGTAATTAAATTTTGCAATTAACTTGAAACGCGTTACAAATAACTAATAATATCAATTTAAGGAGAAGTACTATTTATACGAATTTATCATATTATCTTTAATATTATTTTAATTTTATTCTTTGCATCATAAATATTAATTTCAATATCATCATAAATTTTATAGAGCTCCTATAATTATAAATACCACTTTTAAGTATCTATATTTAAATCGAGTAAAAATGTTGAAATTTGCATGTTGCGAAGGACATCCGCGTACTTAGAATAAAATTTGCAATGAATAACTCTCGAAGACATTTATTTCGCATGAAAAAAATAAATTATTCCTTGCGTATTTATACACCGGATTTATATATTAAAAATAGCAGATAATTAGGCAATTCAAAGTACTCGTTTTACCTGTCAAAAATAATAAGAAAATACGAACAGGGAAAATATAAAAATTTTGATGCAACACAAAAAAAGGGAAAAAAATAAATTCACGGGAAGGGAAAACGGGGAAGAGATGAGCTTCTCACGAAAATCTTCCAGCATCCGCATGCCAACTGTTCATCGCCTCTTTTCCACCTACCGTGCGCCTCAATGAACATCGCCCAGCAGCCCCAGAAAGCCTGGGTGTTGCCGACACGGTGTTCCCCGACCACGCCATTGCAACCCGGACTTTCCTCCGGGAATCCGTTCGTATTCTGACCTTTGAACTTGGAGAGCGACTCCTCGTAACCGTGCTGAGAGCGCTGCTCGCGCTGATGCTCGGCTACGGTGTCGGCCGGATCGAAACCGAGCCGCTCCTTGTAGTATGCCTGGGTCGACATCCTGTCCTTCTCCGGGCCCCGGGCCGTCCCAGCGAAGTAGAGGGTGCAGGTTTCAACGTTCATGCCCGGCTACGCGAACTGTATCATGACACCATGAACATTCACGAACCGGCACACTCTGTTCCTCCCGCCCGAAACAAAGTTCCGACACTTTGTGAATTTTCGCGTTCGAAATTTTATCTGTTTGTAAAAATCGCACCTTGAGATATACCTCGATTCACTGTTCGTATTACTGACTCGTATAATAAAAATCGTGTGAATAAATATTTTTACATTTTTGCAGGTTTATCGTCTCTCTCTCTTTTTCTCGAGATTCGCCTCGAGTCGGAGGAGCTTCTAGTTTTCGAATCAATCGTTCGTTGAATAAATTCTCGTTTTTCTACCGTATATCGTTGGCGGTCAGAGCGGTTTAGAATGCTCGATGCATCGAGTCTCGGGATGCCCGCCGATTATCTGGTTGCTGTTTACACACAACGTGCACCAGGTTCGGACTTGGAACGCGATCGAATTCTCAAACCGTTCCGTCGATCGTTCGGAGAATCGGCCAAGGATTCTCTTACCTTCGGATTCCAACCTGCCGCGCGGTATGCAAATGCGAACGTCGCTTTATATCTTTCCGACCTCGTGTACGGTATGGCACTTTGTGAATTCTCGAAAAACTCCCGGCTCGTCACGTGTACTCCTGTCAGTGACAACACGATGGAAAACCTGTTCAATGATAATGCACAATGTGCGAATAAGACGTTCAAGAGCTAAGGAATTTTTAGATACATAACTTTACGAAGAGAGAGAGCCATCGAATCTTAACATAAAAATTCTTATATTACTGAAAAAAAAAAATTACGTCAATCTAAAAATTATATTAATAATTCTTCGATATTCTATTACAATGTTGGCGTTTGGAACTAGCCACCGCGAATCCGCGAAAAAATTGCAGGAAATCGTAGATAAGCAGTGGAAACAAGGAGAAATGGGGCGACGTAGAAGTGGAAGGGATGATTAATCGATATATCCATGTTAGATTAGAATTCAACGGCCTTGATGCACGCCTAAGAAACTCGGAAAGTCGATCATGGTTACACCCGACCATTAAATACCATTATCCTACGCGTGTCCATCAAATTTGTAATCGATCCCAGGATATTAAGCTAAAACCAAGATGGGATTAACCTGATCGTAACAATGACGGTGAAACGTAATGCGATTAAGTATGATTAATTTACAATTCATTTCGCAATCTCATTTATCCACTTAGGCTTTGCTTAATTATATGATTTTATATAAAACCAAAGAATAAGAAATTGACGAAAAGCGAAAGTGTCCGATTTTTGTCACTTAAACTTGGATACGAAGATAACGGCTTCTTTCTCTCTACTCGATGACATTAAAATACTGATGGCACCAAAGCTAGAATCTAGAAGCCTACCGGTCACGACACACCGAGCGGGAAAGCGAAATCGGACGAACGGATCGAGCGACCTTTTCAAACTGACGATCCGCGAAGGCGCGTGGAGACTGAGCGCCGACGCACGCGCCTGGCATCGGCGGAGGCTTAAGAGGACGATGGAAGCGCGCCTAACCGCGAGATCGAACTCTCCGCATATGGTAAACGGAGAATGGGTACGTGGGTGCCCATTGCGTATCGGAAAGGGTCGTCATGGACCAATTCGCCGATGCCGCGGAGGCTGACTAGACGCACTCGACTATCACTTGATGATCGTCATACTTCGCGCTCTCTTTTCAGGGTGTCCAGCAGACTCGATGAAAACAATTCCCTGGCTTTTTCAGATTTTCCAAGACAAGAAATTGATTTTTTCCCTGACTTTTTAGTATTATTTTTTCCAAATATGTAATTTGCATATACATATCTATATGATAAATCAATTAAATGTTAAATCATCAAATCCTTGAGATATTTTTGTCAGCAATGAAAAGGTTCGGAAGTTAAAACAAAAATTTTAATCAATTATACAATCTGCATTATATACGATAATCGAAACAAACATATCACTATAAACTATTTAAAAAATCACCTTTATATTATATCGAATTTTTTAGTTTTGTTTCTATCAAACACATTGAAATAAAATAATACGGCAATGAAAATATAAATTAACGACCATACTGTAAATGAATTGACAGAAAATTAACGTGCTGGGAATCAAGGAAAAGTTTATATTTATTTAATAAAAAATTTCCAATTATTGAGACAAATTTTCTGACTTTTCACTGACATTTCTAGATTTATAAAATTCTCTGGCAATGTCCGGTTTTCCAGATTTCCCTGACCGCTAGACACCCTGCTTTTTCTCTTTCCATCAAAAATAAAAATAAAAATAAAAAATATAAAATAATTCAAAAGAGAGCGAAAGAAACAAGAACTCTTAATCGTCCCAAGTGATTGAAACGTGCGTGGAATATTTAAAATGCATCGTCTCGTGTATACGATACGCATACAAGATCAGATGCACTTGCGCTGCAAGTCGTGGATGCATGTCGTCGCATGCAATCGAACCACGTATATATATATTTACACACGCAGGAGAAGCCGGTCGTCTCCTCGCTTCTTGTGTGTCCCTGCACGAAATTAGAAACGGAAAGAAAACAGAATAACGCCGGACGGACGGCTAGGTGAGGTCATTTTACACGCGATCGTCGTGTCGTCACGCAGAAATATCGACTCCGTTGAAAATATTTCATCGAATATCGAATTTTAAAAAATCTTAAAAATCAAGTCTAACTCGATGGAAAGCAATTTATTGTTTCTACAAACGCGAATTGAAATTTGAGGTTGAATTCATCTCTTCATTCTCTCTCTCTCTCTCCGACTTTCCGTCTAACGGTATATTCTTCGTGTGAATTCAATTTAAAGTTATATACTCTCGGAGCGAGGAGAATGCATTTTCGCTCGTTGACCGTGGACTTTAATTGATCCCGTGAACGCGTCGGGACACGCCTAAATGGACGAGCCCTTGTTAATTCATTAAACGCCGAATGGCCGTATATCCTATATACCAGAGCGACGACGACGGCTGTTAATGTCGCTGGGTGCTGAATCATGCGTTCTGAGAAAACTCGCTCTCTCTCGCATCCTCGTCTGCCTTATATGAGCATAGCCTGCTTGCAGAGAGCACGTCATACATTGCGAACGTATATAAAGGTATGCCGAAAACGCGGATGCATAAAAGGCTAAAAAAATCCGTATAAAAAAATTAATATAAGAAGCACGTCCATACGAGAAAATCTCTAAAATCAGGCCCAAAAGAACACGAACAATCATTCAGTATATGAGAATTAATTAATTTTTTATTATATAGAATTATGAAATTATTATGTTGTGCAGAGAGAGAATTTACTCTGAAAATCAAAATCGATAGGTAAATTATAAACAATATAGTACTTTTTTATCTTCTCTCTCTACCGAATATACCATATAAGTTATATTAATTTTAATATTAATATTTTTAATATGTGGTAAATATTAATCAGAGAAACTCATAAAATTCTTCTAATATTACATTGTTCCACGGTTGTGATTTTCAGGATAAATTTTAAGAGAAACTTCTCTCTGGAGAATTATTAATTTTCTCTAAATTTCCCTTTTAGATACTCTTTTCTATAAAATTCTGTACAAGATAAATTTTTTTATCATTTATTAATCAAATATCGCCTCTATACTGATATTCGCTGACACTTGTTCGTGATTGTATTTAAATCTGTTTATTTGATCTCTACTTAAAGGGGCGAGCACCAATATATCTTCAATGTATCTTACGTCGCGTGTATAGCGTAAATATAACCGCGGGATATTACCGAGCAATGAACCCGTTAAATGACGGAGCAAAACCGCAACGACATTACAACGGAATATCGGAATAGGCTAGAGATATAGGATCTCTTTCTCTCTTTCTTTCTTTCTTCTCATGTTCGATATTGTAGATTCTCCACGAGCGAAAGTTCAAATGCAACATATTAAGCAGATCTGCAAATAAATATCGCACGAGCGATATATATAGCACTAGAAATAATTTTTTTCGGTTTTTTATCGACATCCTCCGAAGGACAGGATCCGCAAAGACCCTGATGAGAGCAAGTGGAAGCCGATGAAAGAGAGGAAAAGGCACGCGCGCTCGTATCGCGAGCATAAAGCTGCGTCCTCACTGGAGCAACGAGTTTCTTAAAAAAATTGCTAGTTGTTACCGAAAGTTTCTTAAAATTCTTTAGTGTTTCTGTTGCTAGCAACAAAAATTGCTGCTTGCTGCGTGTTTCCATTCGAAGCGATAAAGATAAAAAAAATTAGCAACACGCGTCAACAAATGTTCCTTCAGAGGGTGGGACCTTGAATTTTCAGTGACACAGTCACGGTTAAAACACGAATAGGAACAAAACCCAAATGTTTCTGTAATTATGTCGCTTCGGTATGGAAGTACAAAATGTCGCAAGTTGACATGTCGCAGCAAGAAAAAGTTGCTCGTTGTTGCTCCAGTGAGGACATAGCTTTAACGCAGACTTTACTTTACGGAGGCCGGCTCGGCGGCATTCTTGCGCCAAGTCGCATAACGGGTCCACATAGTCGATCTCGGCCCACTACTACTCCCGGGGTCCTGCGAGGTGGGCTCCCGCGATCAACCTTGAAGGGGACCTCCTCATCTCTGAGACCCGCCGCGGTTAATCGAGTCGCGCGTTCCGCGTGGATTACAAAAAGCGTATTATCGTGTTGACTTTTGATCCCATACTTATAAATTTTCTCCGTACGTGTGACACTACACGTCGTACACAATCATGTGTTTTTTTTTCGTCATATAGCAGAGTCGTAGGTCGTTCGATCGTTACCCTCGGAAGGGCGTTGGCTATACTATGACAAATTATGCATACGATAGATGAAAGACAAGCGAGGACGATTAAGGTAATGAGAAATCGAGGATCGATTTCAAAGCAAGGTAGGCGGAAGAGTGTCGGAGAATAAACACGTCGCTTCCTGAAGCGACGTAGAGGATTTTTACGATGAAATGTGAATAAATTTTATTATGGTCATAAAATACAGAAATACTTATAAAAAAAAAAAGAACGTTCTTTTTTTCGATTAATTGCAAATTGATTAAAATTCTCATTTCAATCGAAGAATAAGAAGAATGCAGAAGGGAGGACCTTCGATCGGCCCTTAAAAGGCTGTGCGAGCCGCGAACTACGTGGGTTAACGCGAGATAACGATACGAGAGTGTTCGCACGGATGTCGCGAGCTCTTACCGAGAGCAAGTTGCGAGTTTCCGCGCACCAGCGGAGGCGTAATTTACGTGGATATACGAACATGCACCTTGTTCGATTACAATGCAATCGCCGCCAACGGCAAGCAGCATGGGTAGACGGACTCACATCTATTCTTACCCCGAGCTACTAGTAGACAAGTGTGTATATATGTTCGAATGAAAGGTGACTCTAAAATATGAGACAGCAGTCTGATAATATTAATAATAGTGTGATAATATAATATTGAAATGTAACAAAAGATATTTAGTGCGCTAAATAAAAATTAATATTTTTTATAGATATATCATATACAGTACCTATTTATTTAAATAAGTGCGAAAAATTTTAAGAGATGAATATCCTTTATATTAATGAAAAATATCCATCAAGTTTCAATTTTGGAATTTGTTTGAAATTTAGGGAAAAAATAACTTAATTTTTACCTCCCTCTTTATAAAAGTGTAACTCCTCAGGAAGAGATAAAAAAAGTATATATGTTTACATAAGAAACCCCCCTTAATTTTCGACAAAGAATCTCCTAAAATTGTTTAAACTTATTTAGATATATTCTGTATAAAAAATCTATTCGTAAGTAATATTTATAGATACTTTATTTTTAAGCATATAAAAATAAATTCTATTCTTCATTCATACTTTTCTATCTATCACAATTTATGTAATTGGGGAGATTCCTTATAGAATCGCTTTCACTGCCAAAACTGACGAGATTTTTATCTCATAATGAAAAGTGAATTCTACCTGCCGCCGTTACCAAGAATGGAAAACTCGTTTAGACCGGCCGAATTTAGTTTCGAGAGAAAGGGACCGGTTCGTGTGTATATTATTCGGGCCCAAAATCGAACGGGCCCCACCTGTATTTGCCTAGGCGAGTCCGCCCACAAAATCGAATCGCACCTCTCGAAATGTTTACGGTTCGATCCGCGAATTTGTCTCGACAAATTAACCGTATAAGGACATTTGATAGTCGCGCGAACATCTTTAAGCTGATGTTGTCTTTGACTAGAGTATCATTTACGAGGGGACGATGAGTTCACGTTCGTAAGCAAAGGGGAGCCAGTCGAGAAAACAACCGAGAATGATTTCATCTCGTCGTACACAATCGCTCGCGAGAGTCATTTGCGATAATTTGCATTCAACTTAAAACGTCGCGGCGCGATGAAAAAATGAGTTGGTTGCAGATTGAATAACAAGTAGAAAGGAAAAGCGAATCGCTTAAAATATCGGCGAGAAAGAGAATGCGGTTTAGCGATGAGTAATTCCATTGTAAAAGATGAATAATACTGATAATAATTCAGCAAACTATTTCTCCATATTAAGATTCGAACGAATTTAAAGAGAGACAACTGCACTTAATGAAAATAATTATGCGATCGAAATAAATTCATTATTTTTTAATATTTTCGTATAAAAAAATTTATCACCGATCAATTTTATTTTAACCTTTCTCTTACTGTTAAATATTATATAAAATAAGCAATGTATATCTCCAATCGACGTTTTACATATCACTGTAAAATTAATTAATTAATTATTTTTTATTACGTCAAATATCTTGAGTAACAACTTTAGCCGCACAAATCGAGATTTTATTTCATATACTCCGGGTTTCGTGTCGAGTAAATTTTCTGCGTAAATTAACGGCAATTAAACCCCCGAGCAGCGCCAATTCGAGTAAAAGTTTCGCGATCTAACCAAATTAAGAAGTCGTGACGACACGCGTGTGTGAGTAAACGTGCATTAAATGTGCTTCTCGTGCTGTCTCGACCAGTTTTGTTGCAGTCTCGCTCTCGACATCTATTACATAATCAGTATCGGATAAAAACTACTTTCTTCTGTCATCCGCTATCTTTCCTTAATATAATGATTGATCTCGTCGGTGGGGTGTTGAGAAAATTCTAAAACGGTGTAACAGCGCGTCTCTTTTGAACTAAAGCGACGAAAACAAAAAGGAAACATCGCATATTTTATTTAAAATTGTCCCGACGATGACTAAGTGTTCCTCTCGTGTTATCTCGCGTTATATGAGCATCATTTCGCGCTCATTTGCGTCGCTCATCATTAACAGCGTAGGCAAATTACCTGTGTTTTTTATTTCACGCGGTATCTGGCATCTCGTATTTATCCGGTTTATGCGGTATCGATAATAACAGATAAACACGCAGCACTTAACTGATAGTCGATATATCATATGACACTGTTGTTGATCATTCATTAGTAAGAATATATGTTGCGTGTTTAATTCTTAAAAACGCTACTCAATCTTCCGGTGATTTTTTTCTAAATTATAACTGAAACAAATTTTGAATAAAATGTCTATAAAAATAAAGTATAAAAAAAATTATCAAAAATATAGTTTTGATGTGCAAATTTTTTGAAAAATCTTTTATTTTCACCATAGTTTATTCTAAAAAATAATCTATATAAACATCATATACAAAATTTAAAACTCTACATCATGACGTTGATGTCAATGAAACATTCGATACTGATAACATATAGATATATCGAACACGCATGAGCGATAATGATAAACAAACGAAAAAATATCATGGTAGGAGACAGAAAAGGTGTATGCCACTCATTGATATCAACATATCGATCGTGAGGGAGAGAAAAAGAAAGAGAGGGAAAAAAAGGGGGAAGAATGTTGGAACTGCCGCTATTACGAAGCGTATGACTCAAACAGACGCCTGGCGTTGCTACACTGAACACTTGGAATACAAATTATTTCGATAGCATAATATATGTACCTTAACAAATATCAATGGTGTCGAAAACTAAATTAGAGATTAAAATCAATGAAAAATATTTCGATAAATTTGACTTTTTGAACCGCAAACACAGAAATTATACTTTGCATCAATCACATTTTCCGTCACAATTATAATAAACATTTAATCAACTTGGAAATAATTTTTCAAAAATTTCAATTCCTCGCGATAAGAAAAAAAATTGATGTCGCGAGCTCTCTTCGTAAACGTAGATTACGATCAAAATCCTTGCGCCGTTGCAAAACAACGTGACTCAAATATCATAAACGACCACAAGCCGTGTTTATCACGACTGATAACGCGATGACGTGCGACGCGATCGATTCGCTCTAGAAAAAAAAAAAAAAAAATAGCGCGCGAGGATCCTGCATCGTCATTACTGTCATACTCTACGAGGCCTCTAGGTATACCTATTAGACTAGAATAATGTCACTGACACCCGCGAATAACGACCGAACAACACCAGGCTGAAAAGGATCGAGCGCTTGCTCTCCGGCGCACAGTTCACTAACTCCTGGACACACGCGCGACACACGGCGACGACCGGGGGCGCTTCGAAACGTGGCACTGCGAATTCCTCCGTCCCGAAGAACGTACGTATGTATATATGTATATATATCGCCGCGCGTTGACGAAGTCGCCGAGTATCCGGAGCGGAGTCGCGAGCCAGGTGCTGGAGCGACAAGGAAAAGCGTACGCGATAGATGAGGACAGGAGATAAGAAGGAGAGGAGAAATAGAGTCAGGCGCAAGGACGGAGGCGGCAGCGAGATGACGAGAGAAGAGGCGCACAGGAACAGTAGGGGAGCGAAAGAGAGAGGGACAGACAGGCTGCGGAATAGAGAAGGAAGGAAAGAGAAGAGGAAAAGACAGACAGAGAGAGAAGAGAGCGCACCGAGAGAGAATTGGAGAGGACGCGGTATGTCGCTCCGCCGTGCAGGCCACGTCGCCTCGGAACGCAGACTGCCGACGCCTGGACAACTGCCGCCCACCCGGCGGGCCAGGTCTCCCCTGACAGGGGAAGAGAGAGATAGAGAGAGAGATCCAAGAAACGGGCCTGAACGCACCCCACCTCTTCGTCGTATATCTGTATGAACCTCGCGCCGACGACCGTCCTCGCTGCTCCCTCTTTGCCGACCCATCGGCTGTGGTTCCACGATCACGATCCTGCTTGCTCACTCCTGGCGAAGGAGCCGATAAAGAGAGGTGGGAGAACGCGAGGCGGCGAAATATGAAAGAGGAGAATGGAGAACAGAGGTAGGGTGAGAAACGTGCTCTCGCGACGCCGAGGAGAATAGCTACACGCTGAAGGAGGCAGTAAGGCAGGTCGCGGATCGGCAGGGGTTATATGCGGAAGTCGCGGCTTCACGTTCTTTCTTCCTCCAGGTCGGGATGTTATTTATTTTTGCCCTAGCAAGGGAGGGAGAACAATCGCGACTAATTTTGATATAATCGTCAAAATTAAAGATTTTTAAAACTGAGAATCTGATATATAATGTCACCGTATCGGGATCAAGAAATTGCGAGTGCATCCTTCGCGCTTTTTCGAAAGATATTTGTCAGAAGAGCAGTCGTATATTTGTATCATAACGGCGTCATCATTGAGGCATTCACGCCCGATTATTTGGCTTCTAACGACGTTTCAGAGTTCGATTCGGAGAAGCACTTGCTTGGTCAAGTGGAAGACACGTGAGAGCTACCACTACTATTTAGAGCATCGGTCATCTTTCATGCACCCCGCCAGAAATGCGAGACTGTTTAATGCACATTCGACGAACCGAGAGAAAGAGACCGGTCAAATCTCCCTGGCGAGGTCACGCGTTATTTCTCGCAGCCACGTAACCCTCGGCGATATGCGTGTCTAGAAATGCTTATTTTACACCTTTGATCCAGCAATCGAGACTTTTATTCAACGTAAGATGTTTAAGCGGCTAATCGCGTGGCTGCAATATAAATTGCTACCAGGAACCCGTTAATAAGGTTTGACTCAAGATAGATCCCAAAAAAAGTAGTTTTAACCACCCTACATGGAAAGAATTTTCTCTTAAAATTTACTTGAAAATTATGATAATCATAGGACAATATATGGTATTTGAAGAATTTTATAAGAGTTTTTCTGATTAATATTTACACAATGAAAAATATATTTTTCATTTTGTAAATATTAATCAGAAAAACTCTTATAAAATTCTTCTAATACTATATTGTCCTATAGGATTATCATGATTTCAGATTTAATTACATTTAATAACTTGTTATCTTAATCAAATGTTATTTCTATATCAATAAACGCATTTAAATCTATTTTTTAAGAGAATTGATTGGCGGAAACATTTCTTAGAGATTGGAAATTATATATTAAATTGCATTCAACGTTTAAATAAAATAAAAACGCGGACGCCAATTAATAAGCTCTTCCGGTTCATCGTTATAAATGTTGAATATTACAGACTACAGTTGACTTTTTTCAACCTATTCGCGTTTTATGTAGCTGGCTAACAAGTTTAACTGGCATTCCTAACTGTACAACGATGGAGACCACGATTACTCCAAATATATAAATACGCCGGTTTCGTGGATAAAATCAGTCCATCGTCGGACGTCGATTATTTTCACGCTCCATTGCAAATATATGAATCGTCGACGAAGTATTTAATAGTAATTTCAATTTATTGTGTAATTTATGAATTAGTTTAAAATTTATTCGAACACCGAAACAAAATATTGTGCACGTGTTAAATATTGCAAGAGTATTAATTATTTTATCGGAAAAATATGCGACAGAAATTCAAAAATACTCTACAAGGTAAGTTTCCACAAAATTGTATAAGTCGATATTATAAATTAAATATACGAAACAATAAATGTACATTTCAATAAATTTTTTAAAAAATTCTACTTCAGAGAAATGTTAATTTTTTTTTTAATTTAATATTTTTTCGAAGTAAATGCATTCATAATCGGCTTAAGAAATGAACAACGTGCAAAATCGACCATCGCAAAATCAAAACCGACGTGCGTATATCGTAGAACATTTGCGCGAATCATCAACATCGCTCTGTCAACTACGACACGTCATTCTTGTACGTGTCTTATCAAATATCGCGAACAAATTCCTTAGACAGTCAGAATATAGAAGAAAGATAAGGGAAGAAGGGTAGATGAATGCGCGAGAGATAATTTTCGTTTATCGATGTGTTATAAGAGTTTCATATCTAAAATTGTACACTTTAATTTTTTTAAAGCGATATAACAGAGTAATCTTAAAATAATATACCTCAAAAAATTTATATATTATTAGCCATATGATAATAAAGATATGGTAAAACAATTATTATATCGATGGGGAAAGGAATATTCTTACGGTATTTCGATATCTCCTGATGGTAAAGTAGAATATTTCCGGTGTATTTATATATTATATAAATATATATTATAATACAAATTAAAACGTATAATTTGCCTATACTTCCTTATCACCAAATCAAGTATCATAGAAGAACCAAAATCGCAAATAGAATTTGACATTTATAAAACGAACTGACTCCTGATAAAATGTCTGACCTTTGGCTTCTATAACGGTATTCCGAGCAAAACTTAGTTTGATACATCTCACATTATTCTAGACGTGTATTAGAATAGAATAACCAAAAATTATTTTTCAATATATTTATACGCGACAGTAATTTTGCGATCATAAAATAAAATAAAATAAAATTTCTCAATGCTATTTCGCACCGCGATTCCATCTCTTTTAAATGGCAATTTAACAAAAAACCTTACACTCTAAAGAAACTTTAGTCGTTCGTGATAATTTCAAGATGAGGTTATTATGTGAGAATAATTATAATATACGTGTCAACAAGTCAGGATGAGCACCCCGGTATCGTCAAGTATATGGCGGGTATATGGTATTTACATAGCAACCGACACCACAAAGAAACATGCAAGCCTCGAGTCGAACGAGCAGTATTCTAAAAGTATAATTTACATCTCGAAAGTCTTTACAGAAAAAAAGTATGTGCAAAAAGATGTTTCAAAATTTTTTCTTCGCCCATAAACATGTGCTAATTATTTAAATAACGTTAAGTTTCTTCGTGTTAAAAGCGTCCTTATTTAATATATATGTTCATATTTAATATATATGATATATCGTTTATTTATAATGATACAACTATATATAGTTATTTATATCCAAAAAAATTTATTAACTTTGACTTAAACCTTTCAACTAAATATTATTTTGTTAATTAAACATATACAAATATTTAAATTGAATATAATATAAATCTAACAAAATGTATACTTGCGACTTAAATACTAATATATGTTCAATTAACAAAATAGTAATTTAATTAAAAGATTTAGTCAAGTTCACAAATTTTTTTTCAGTGTAGAATGATACAAGTATATATTTGTCAAATTTGAACTGTCATTCATATTGAAAAAATTGCGAAACATTTGCTGTCTCGAGAATAATATTATGATAGATCACTACAGAGAACAAGAAGCTCTAATATGGGCAATTGATTGAAATTGAATCAATTATTTGTATTTGTCCATTCGGGCACATTATATATACATATAGATTCGTAATGCAACGTTGTGGGACGTATGCTACGATAGTTTCGCAAAATATTATTGTTTCGTGCTACGAATTATACGACAATTACATTATGAACTAAATGTGCGCCTTTTCTATTTTGGTAAGAATAATAGACGACAAAATGCGAGAACGTGCGCGACATCACGACGAGGTCTTTGGACCTGTCGTACGAACTAAAGAGTTAATGCAAAAAGCCGCAAGACTCGAGGGTGATCATTGTCCGCGGTTTAAATTTACATTAGCACTTCGTGCTTGAGCGTTAAAAGCGTACCGACGAATGAATGCCTCGTAACACGTACGTTTAGTCTGCACGCTTCAATGCAAGAAAGAGTCTGTGCGTTTAAAACAACCGTGCGTTTATGTTTACGCGTTGACATATGGAGGAGAGTACCTTGCGTGTTCCCTGGTTTAATTTTATCTTTAAATAAGAAAATTCGGAAAGTAACTCGAAAATTGCTTTTTCTTAACCCATTGAAAAAGTTTAATTATATCAAAAATTTTTAATCAAATATATAAATTATATAACTATACACGTATATATCACTAAATATAATTGTATATATAACATTTTATAAAAATTGTTCATATTAAAAATAATAAATTATTAAAGCGTGCTTTTTTCATATAAAATGTGATATCGCGTCTTAAGGTTTTAATTACAAAATGGCTTTCTGTGCTCGGAGAAAGTCGTCCAGCTGGTAATAATTAAAAGTGGAGGGCAAGCATCGCTAAGCATAGACTCTGTATAGGCAGAGAGGCGAACAGAGAGGCGGCTGATGGCGTATAGCCGGGCATCGAACCGTGACCCGAGCACCTGTTGCCGCCTCCACGGTCGTGGCTCAATGTGAACTGACCTAACCTGTCCTTACTTCCTACAGCAAAAGATGCAACGATCTCATCAGGTCAACCGGTAGACAAAAACAACGCCACTGTCAACAGCTTGCAGAGTTCATCTATATGAAAAGCCTAGCGACCAGGTTGAACATTATGTTGCCATATAAAATACATATTTAAAATTATTTAAAAATATAGTATAAATTAAAATAATTTAATTAAATGTAATTAAAATAATTTAAATTTATATTTCTCAATTTATCATTAATTTGTAGGGAGAAAGAAAGAAAGAAAAGATTCATCAAAATTCCCTATCTTCGAATTAAAGTTCAAAGTCGTTATGTAAATCAATTATTGTCACAAAGGTACGCAATTGAAACAAGCGACTTCCGATTGAGAAAAATGTCATAGATGATCTATACAGCGCTAGACACATGATTCAATTACGCAACATATAACAGGTAGCTTCTGCATTACATCATCGTCTTACAAATAGACAGATACGTACGAAATGACTGCTGACCACCTTATGACTAATAGCGCATAACAAACTTCAATTGCCACGGATCATTAATGCTTCACGAATAGGTCCATACGTGATTCATTAGGATCTTGACATTAATCCTAGCTTGACACTAGCTAACAACGTGTTATACAAATTAAATTATATATATATATACAATTATATAATTGCGTACAAAAAATGTAATGTAAGTTTTGTAAAAGAACGTAAAGAAAAGTTATACGTATTCTATATGTAAATTTTTTATGCTCATTCATCTTCGGTCATTCAATCCTTACAAAAGGCCTGTCTCTGTACGTCTGACAATGAGACCTCTCAGATAATAAAGACTATTGTCACCCACGCAGTCCGAGACAGATAATAATCCGAGCAGTCTAAACGCGTTTAACCGATGCAATAAGACGAGAAGAGTCGAATAAAAGAAGAGACGTCTGTGAAAAAGTTATCGCGGTAAGACGATCTCTAACGCGCAACTCGATATTTACATATTAAAATAATCTCGAGTTTCTGCTCTCGTCAGCACCCTTCATTGAAGGTTCCGATAAGACGATGATGTCACGATGATGTATAAACACGCCATAGAATCGTACTAAAATTTAAACGCCACCGTAGAAATAATTTATCGCACAATCTTTTAAAATACAAATCTTTTATTATTCGAAAGCATCTTGTGGGAAAAATAATTTATATAGTCGTGTTAAAAATGAATCATCGAAATAAAATGACCAAACAGTAAATAAAAAAATAACACAATAAATAATTTCAATATCCTTTTAATTGAATAAAAATTTTTAACAGTTATTATTTTTTTTTCTTAAAAAAAGCAGGAGCTACTTGATTTTTAATCCGATGCTGCCTATTAAAAATTGTTAATCTTGCACCAAAATTAATCGACAAACAGAGAAAAATATTACATTATTAGATGATTTTTTTCTGACTACCGACCGACTTTGAACTTAGAGAATTACACGGATTATTAATTTCATTCATTATCAATTACTTTTGACGTGACCCTAATCACCTCCGGGATAATACTGACAGCGGAAGAGCAGAATCGCACAATTGAATCCACTGTAGAAGCACTTGCTATTACTTTGAGCTATTCACTATTACGAGGATCATCGTTGATCTACACAATCTTCATCAATCAGAACACTAACAACGAAGTAAATAATCGAAATAATAACCGACTCTCCAATCATACTTTTCATATTAGTTCATTAATTATTTTTCATTATCATGTTATGAAAACATTGTTGTTAGAGTATATTATTTAAAATATAAAAATTCAAACACAAAGCATTATTCGAATTTAATAAATAGGCAATTTTTGTGTCAAAAGAAAGTAAGCTTTTCTTATCTGATCATTTCTTATGGCAATAAATAAACTGGTAAAGAGATTCAATGAATGATAATGTCAGCTGACATCAGCAATGAGCGATCCTATCTACAGAATAAGACGTCAAACATGACAAGTAAATTTTCAAAGATATTTATGATACGAAAAAATGTTTTTAGACAAAATTGTAATGATCTTGATCTAAATGTTGCACATCTTTCAATTGCATGTTTATTTTTTCTATTTAAAGTTGTTAAAAAGAACTTTCACAAGAAAAATACAATCTTCTTTTTTCTTCATCTCTATACTCTTGAATAGCAGTAAATTACTATAATTAGATTATATATGTTTCAACTTAAACTGCAATTATATGCTTTCACTGTAAAAATAATTTAATAATCTCAAAATTTCCTTAGTAGCATCACATAAAGAAAAATAAATGTACACATATATATCGAACAATATTAAAATATTAATTTTTCCTAATATATTTTCTCGTATTTT